ATTCAAAAAGGTCGTCGAGCTGAACCGATCTGGGATAAATGGTTTGAGATAACCAGTAAGTACCGAGCTAATCTTCACAGAAAATAAGCTTACATGCCCTTCTCTTTTTCAATCCTTTGGGGCTGTAACTCGATCCCCGAACGTCCGTTCCGCCTCTTCCCCAGCGTGATCGACTCACAATCAGATCGCCGAGCTATTCCGAACGACACCACTTTTGTATAAATTGGGTGTGCCATCAAAACCCCATAAGTCAAGACATTCCTTTTTTTCTTGTCACCGTCCATTATTCCTTTTTAGACATTTTTTCAGTTTTGGACTATCGGTAATTTGTTCAGCTTCCCCTTTTCGCCTTATCCTTTCTCACTTTTAGGCATTTTGTCCAATTTTCCCATTAATTTACTTAATTTTCTTTTTCATTTTTAGCTTTCTTTCTCCATGGACGAACTTGAAGAACAAATCGTCAAACATGGGCAAGAATTGAATTCCTACAAAGACAAAACGCAAAATTTGATTGTTGAGCAGCATAAAGAAGTGATGGATAAAATAAAAATTGGATTTGAGAACGAATGTGGAGACGAAAACATAGTTTTTTTTAATTTTTGTTTTTAATTAAATATAGTCGAATTAACCTAAAAATCTTCGACATTTTCTCAAAAATCGAAAAGAATTAACGGTTAAATTGTCAAAATCCTAATTCTGACTATGATTATTTTAATTTTGAGTGTTTTTAACTAATTTGTTTGAATAAAAAAATGAATTTGTTGTCGATAAATTATTATTTTTCTTATGCGTTATCGAAGACTTAAAATTAATCGACCTTTAGAAAAGACATACTAACGGTTTTTATTTGAAACTGCTGTAAAGTCCAAGAAGGATATTTTCATGTTTCCACGACTCTATTAGTCTTTTTTGTTTCGAAGGCTATCTGTCTCCATTTTTAAATAAGGTGGAATGTAGTAAGTAGAGATAGAAAATGTTTGAGGTAGTTGTCAAGTTGGGATGTAATATTAAAAATAAATGTCATTTTATCTCACAAGTTAGAGAAATTATAAAATGGAATACTGTAGTTAGAGAAATGAATAAATATAAATTTTTAGGACGTTTCAGTGCTTTATTTTGAGTGTGCGAAGCTACTGTATTTTGAAATATTTAAAGTTTTAACATCCAGAATATCAATAAATGCTGATTTAAATCCAACTTTTCATTATTGATAATTATGGGATTATTTGTTTTACTTAATGATAAGTTTTAATGATTAATATTTAAAAATATATTAAATATTAAAAATAATTAAAATTAAAAAATGCTTTATTAACATGTTTCTTTAGTTGTAACTAAGTTGAGAAAATCGGAATCAGAAATAAAGAGATCATATGTCTGTATAGAAAAAAACTTAAAATTATTTAGATCAGAGTTAGCGCCGCAGGCTAAAATTTTGAGAAAAAACCACTAGTATGAGAGCTGGTAGTTCTAGAGTAGCTCAATATTGGTTCCGGTATTTGAAGGTAATAGAGGGATTAAGAGAAATATCGCTGGTTTTGTCGGGATTAAGGATTTCAATTTCATAATTCAAGGCGACGTAGCCGCTTTAACCTTGAGAAATTTGAAAGGCAGAAAGCATAAAGGATAAATGGAATATAGTGGGTTCCTTAAAACATGTTCCTTATAAACTCCACCAAATGAAAAAAAACTCGCCAAATGGGGTTTTTAAAAATTTAAAATTTAAACGTATTGAATAATGGTAAATAAAAAACTCTATATTACTAATATCTCAAATTCGAAAATAATTCAATTTTACAAAAAAATTTTTGGAAGGATTTCGATTTCAAATTTGGAAGGATTTCCCCAAATTCCTTGACTTCCAAATCCTCTAATATCCCGATGTCCCTCCCAAATCTCTGTAATCATTCGATATACCTTAAGATCCTCTTATTCCCTTTATATTTTTCTTCGAGTAAATCCAATCCGAACTGTACATATTGTCTGAGCAAAACTAAGCATACTGAATCACGATGAGAAAACTGTAGCTACAGAAGGATCAATCTTTTTTTTTATTAATTTCTTCCATTTGAATATGACTCAGGGAAAAGGAGTGAAATTGAAGTTGGAAGAGTTGGATTTAAATCAGCATTTATTGATATTCTGGATGTTAAAACGGTGGCACGACACGGGCACAGTGATCCAATTGCACAGTAAGACAATTGCACAGAGGACAATTACACAGTGGACAATTGCACAGTAAAGTGTTGTTAATTCGCAAAACGACCTGCCCATTTATTCGCAAAACGCCTGTTTATTCGCGAAACTCTCCAAATAAACGCAAGGCACATTCACCTATAGGTCATAACTTCGTTGATAATCATCCGATCAAGATGATTTTGGTGTCAGTCGACTCATATCGAAGAGCTCTTTCGAATGAGCTATAATTTGCAACTTCGAATTTTTTACCCCAAAAACAGCTTGGTTTACTCTATTGTTTTTCGATTTTCGGGAGCCTATATCTCTGCGAGTCTTCGTCTCCCGCGAACAACTTTTCCAACAACGGGAAAAGTTGCTTATAGAACAGGGAAAATTGTTTTTGTTTAAGAAAAACCATTTTATTATTAAAAAACTTATTAGAAAGTCTAACACAAATCCACTTAACCACAAATTACTGTGCAATTGTCCACTGTGCAGATGCCCTCTGTGCAAATGTCTTACTGTGCAAATGGATCACTGTGCCCGAGTCGGAGCGCCGTTAAAACTTTAAATATTTCAAAATACAGTAGCTTCGCACACTCAAAATAAAGCACTGAAACGTCCTAAAAATTTATATTTATTCATTTCTCTAACTACAGTATTCCATTTTATAATTTCTCTAACTTGTGAGATAAAATGACATTTATTTTTAATATTACATCCCAACTTGACAACTACCTCAAACATTTTCTATCTCTACTTACTACATTCCACCTTATTTAAAAATGGAGACAGATAGCCTTCGAAACAAAAAAGACTAATAGAGTCGTGGAAACATGAAAATATCCTTCTTGGACTTTACAGCAGTTTCAAATAAAAACCGTTAGTATGTCTTTTCTAAAGGTCGATTAATTTTAAGTCTTCGATAACGCATAAGAAAAATAATAATTTATCGACAACAAATTCATTTTTTTATTCAAACAAATTAGTTAAAAACACTCAAAATTAAAATAATCATAGTCAGAATTAGGATTTTGACAATTTAACCGTTAATTCTTTTCGATTTTTGAGAAAATGTCGAAGATTTTTAGGTTAATTCGACTATATTTAATTAAAAACAAAAATTAAAAAAAACTATGTTTTCGTCTCCACATTCGTTCTCAAATCCAATTTTTATTTTATCCATCACTTCTTTATGCTGCTCAACAATCAAATTTTGCGTTTTGTCTTTGTAGGAATTCAATTCTTGCCCATGTTTGACGATTTGTTCTTCAAGTTCGTCCATGGAGAAAGAAAGCTAAAAATGAAAAAGAAAATTAAGTAAATTAATGGGAAAATTGGACAAAATGCCTAAAAGTGAGAAAGGATAAGGCGAAAAGGGGAAGCTGAACAAATTACCGATAGTCCAAAACTGAAAAAATGTCTAAAAAGGAATAATGGACGGTGACAAGAAAAAAAGGAATGTCTTGACTTATGGGGTTTTGATGGCACACCCAATTTATACAAAAGTGGTGTCGTTCGGAATAGCTCGGCGATCTGATTGTGAGTCGATCACGCTGGGGAAGAGGCGGAACGGACGTTCGGGGATCGAGTTACAGCCCCAAAGGATTGAAAAAGAGAAGGGCATGTAAGCTTATTTTCTGTGAAGATTAGCTCGGTACTTACTGGTTATCTCAAACCATTTATCCCAGATCGGTTCAGCTCGACGACCTTTTTGAATTACGTGAAATTTATCGAAATCGGATGGGCCAAAAAAACACCCTACAAGTCACAATACCCAAGGAAAGCAAATGGACGGAGATTTAAACATTGATAAAAGGGTACTTGTAGGTTATTCCCCGGACTTTTTTGCGGACTTCTTTTTGCGGACACATTTGTACATAATGGTAAATCTTGATTAGTTGACATGTGCATAAAAGAGAGGGAGGGAGAAACTCTTGCCATTATGCGCAAATGTGTCCGCAAAAAATGTCCGCAAAAAAGCCCGGGGGATAACCCACAAGTACCCAATAATCAAACCAATCAATTAATCTCCAAACCTGATTTGCTGAATTCTAACAAGAGATTGGAGTTCTTCAGTCATTTTTTCTGCCGATTCTTGTTCTTCTGAAGCATACTCATCAAATAGACGGCCTTCCTGCAACAATTCACAGGCCTACAAATAATCTTGAAAACCCATAGTGAATGATTAAAAATAACCTCTTAAAAATTTTAACAGCTTCTGCTGGACACTCTCTCGAAGCTAAAAATTCAGTTATTAAAAAACCTTTAAACATAAAAACAACCTATCAAAAGATCAACCATTCAAACCAAGCAAATCAATGCATATAACCAATGGGACATTTGCTGTACGTCTTCTCGCTCTGGCTACCATTTGTTGGCTTTAACATTGGGAAAGGACAGACTTATTTAGGGGGTAACGTTGCGGACAAGACTTGCGGATATTTAATAAAGTAAAAAAGCATACCATGTAGATGAGAGCACTGGAATTTAATCGTTGCACTATTTGGAGTGGAGCCAGACTGCCCAGATGTAGCCGAAGCTAATAATGGGACTTTTTCTGCCCAGATGTAGCCGAAGCTAATAATGGGACTTTTTCTGCCCAGATGTAGCCGAAGCTAATAATGGGACTTTTTCTGCCCAGATGTAGCCGAAGCTAATAATGGGACTTTTTCTGCCCAGATGTAGCCGAAGCTAATAATGGGACTTTTTCTGCCCAGATGTAGCCGAAGCTAATAATGGGACTTTTTCTGCCCAGATGTAGCCGAAGCTAATAATGGGACTTTTTCTGCCCAGATGTTGCCGAAGCAAATAATGGGACTTTTTCTGCCCAGATGTAGCCGAAGCTAATAATGGGACTTTTTCTGCCCAGATGTAGCCGAAGCTAATAATGGGACTTTTTCTGCCCAGATGTTGCCGAAGCAAATAATGGGACTTTTGTTGCTCCGCTCCAAATACTAAAAATGGGATTCTATTTTTAAGAATTAAACCTAAACAAACGTTTTGTATCGGCTGCTGAACAACTAAAAAAATTGTATTAATATTTTAAAAATTATAAAATGCAAGTCTTGTCCGCAACTCAATACTACCCCAGATCCCTAAAAATGTTAATCCCCAAAAAAAGGAAAAGCCACGCTCCAAGTTGTAGAACATCTTTGCTATAAATGGCAATAGAGAGCACTAGATGAGTCATTAAAAATCGATTATTGATTTTTGGGATGAAGTGTCATTTATTCTTAATATTTTGCATTATGCCAAATAGCGCAGATTTTTGAATTCTGAAACTAATATTGTTAAATGGTAAAGATAGAACAGTTTTTGAACCGATTTATGGATTTGACTTGTTTTCGAAAATTGCTTAAAAAAAGTAAAAAATGAGCACACATTTATCATGAATAGTTTAAGTGTCTTTAAAATTAACGTACTAAAGAAAATTAAAAAAAAACAGAGACTTGAGAAAAGCTACAAAAATTAAAACAAGGTTGCCGGTTTTAGATTTTTTGTAACCAAAATATTTTTATCAATTTAAGGCAATCTTGTTTTAAAATACAGATATTCGAAATTAAACGTTGATTATTTAAAAATTAAATTTTTTTAAAGTACAAAAGAAATTCGAAAAATATTTTAAAAAAAATCAACGTCTTTTTGTAATGTAACAGACGTATAATTAAAAAATTTAAAAAAAAGATTGTCAAACAATAAAGCTAAAAATCAATTATTTAAAAAATTATTTAGTTAAAATTATATTTATTTTCTAGCTTGTTTTCGAACCTGTAATAATGGCGATTCATCGACGTCTTCTTCTTCAGGAAAACTTTGAATACGACTACGCCTTCGACTTTCTAATATATATTAATTTTCCAATTATAAAAATATTAATTAATTTGTGTTGTTAAGTGATTATTTTTGTGTTGTTTTTTTTTAATTATTAAATTTCTATGTTAGTTATAGCGTAAAAAGTATGTGCAAATATGTTTAAAGAATTTTAATTTTAGATTCTTTGGGTATTCAGATCCAGGCGGATCAGATCCAGGCGGATCTCCAATATTTATAAAATTATTTCAGAATCCCAAAAAGCTTCAATAAACAATTTGCACATTTAAATATTTTCCCTAAAAAATTCCTAATAATTTTTAAGCTTTTTTATTAATGACCATTTCCTATGGTCGTTGTTGTTGATGTCTGTGTTGGACCTGATGTTGAAGATGTTGGTCCTGCTTGTTGTGATGTCGTTTCGACATTACTCGGTGAAGACGCTGGTGCTTCTTCCGTTCCTTCCGAAGCTTGTTCAAGTTCTTTTTTCTCTTTCATTATTCGACTCATTCTTGTAGCAACAGCAGCAGCTACAGCGGCTCCACGACCTTCAAAAATAAAAAAATAAATTAATTAAGTAAAATTAAAAAAATTCTCATACCACTTCCATCTTCGCTAAGTGCCAAAACAATCTTTAAAAAAATTTTAAATTAAAAAAATTTTTAAAAATAAAAAATAAACCTTCCATCCATTCAATTGTCCATCAAGTAATTCATGTATTTTTATATTTAATAAATGTTCAAAATTTGGATGAAAACGAAAAACAGAACCATCAACACCAACAGTCATTTCTGGACTTTCACCTCTTTCATTCTTGACTGCAACTTTTCTGGATATTACACGTTTTAAAAGTGAAGCTATTCCACAAGCACACAAATGTGCAGCACGTGTGCTAACCATTGAACAAACATAAGCAATATTTGCACAATCACCAGTGGAAAGGTCGTCAACACCTTTAAATTTAATAATAAAATTTAACAAAACAAGGAAATATTGAATTTTCTTCCATTCAAAATTTCCTGTTCTTTTAATTAGGATCCAACAAAATAGCAAAGGGGAAAGGGAAATATATAGAAAGGAAAATGGCAAAGGACGAAGCAATATTTACCCTATGTGTTGAGTCCTTTTTTAAACCTTACCCGATTTAAATAAACTATTATATAAGCAAAAACCTTGATGGGAGGATTATTTTAGCTGATCGGATTACTTAATCAGATTGTAGTGTATTAATCCGGTTATTAAAAAAATCCGGCTAGCTAAAATAATCTTAACATACAGAGCTTTCAATTGTGTTTAAACCGGTTAAGAATAAAAAAAGTTATGACCCAAAATATGGCCTCAAGAGCTATTGGATCGACCTATACCCAAGGGAAAAAAGTCTTTTCAAAAAGACCAAAAATACCTTTATCCAACAGCAAATCATTAATTTTTCCGAATGGACTAGCATGATCCTTTACAAAACTAAAATAGAAAAATTAAAAATATTTTTAGAAAAAATTTAAAAAAAACCCTTCGATATCAGAAACCAATTTAGTTGGAATAAATCCAGGTTGAGAAATATCATTAATAGGAAGGGTGGTAATCAATCCTCTTCTTGTAAGGTCTTCAAGTACAAGTCGAACTAATTCTCCCTTAAAAATAAATTTTTTTCTAATTTTTTAAAATTTTAAGTACCAAATACATTCCAGAAATTGTTTTTTCAAATCGTTGTCTTCCTGGATTTATGCTGTTCTCATCCAGTTGTGTGTCATAAATTGTAAGGAAATCGGCGAGTGCCCCATCATCTCCAAATCCACCCCATTCAGTGTTTACACACATTTCGTTTGGAAGACCATCTGATTTTTTACAAAATTTATTTAAATTATTCTATAATTAAAAAAACCTTTTTCTGGAAAAACTTTTCCCTGCAATTTGTATATTTTGTCAAGTGATTCCATATAAGCAGCATTACAACCTTTAAATAAAAACAATAACAAAGAAATTTTTTGAAATTTTACCAGTCCCAACAATAACACCAATATAGCAATGCTCCTTAAAGAATGAACAGGCAAGCATTGTTCCTGTAAAAAAAAATAATTTTTATAAAAGTAAACAAATTTTAACCAGTTGTATCATTAAGAACAGCAACAACATCAACGTCAATATCACCTCGACGTTGACAAGCTTCACGAAGCATTTGAACAACGTCATTACCAACAACGCCGGAGGCCTAAAAATTGAAATTTTATTTATCAAAATATAAAAACAACAAACATTAAATCCCTTTGTCCAATTTACTAAAATAGCAGAAGTAAGCCCTTCTTGTTGACAGGGAAAAGAAAATGTAAAGCCAAGAGGCAATTTCGTTTCGAGTTTAGACAATTCAAAATCCACCACAAATTTGGCCAAACAAGCGGCAATGTGATCGAAAAGCTTAAAATTAATTAATGAAAATTCTATAGCAAAGTATAAAAGACTAGGAAAAACCAGCAAAACCTTAAAATCTAAAATTTCCCTCTCTTATTTGATACTTAATCCCACTCAATTTAAAGAGCATATTTAAGGCAAAATTTAAAAATAATTTCTTAAACTAACCTCAACACCAGTCCCTTTCATCACTCTATCAGGAATTCGATAAATTTTGCTTTGCATAGAAGAATGCTTTTCTCCTTTAAGTTCAATCAACAAAACTCGAAAGTTAGTACCACCCAAGTCGAGAGCCAAAAATTTTCCACGTTCTTGACCAACAGAAACGTCACGAATATAGGCCGGTAACATCTTTACTGTTGCCTGTCTTGCTAAATTTATACAAAATTCGAATTAATTAAAATACCACAAACCAGTTTCTGAACGTAACCCTTCATCATAATGAGCATCCATACGAGCCATAATCTCCAAAAGTTGTTCATGAGTTAGATCAAAGCATCTACAGGCTTCTTGTACCTAAAAAAGAAAAAATAACACTTCAAAAAATTTAAGAAAAAAACCGATTTTGCATGAGAAAATGCAGTATAATTTTCATTCTGGAGTGAAGCAATTCGCTCGACTGAATGAGTCGATGTAATTGACGTAGAGGATGATTGACGACCACGTTGACGAAAATTATCTCGTCTCGCCATTAGAATTGCTTGTTCTAAAAATAAATAATATAAAAATGGTAGCCTATCTGTGTATTTGTAGAAATCGAAATTTTTTGTCCAACGGAATATTGACCGTTGTTCTTTCGTTCATTTAGCAAAATGAGAGAAAAGGCGAGACAAAGCCGGCAATAAAATGTTTCTATGACCACAGCAGCCCAATGGTCAATCCTTCCTCTTTTAGCTTGAGAAAGTATCTAACAAACAACATAGGCGCACTAAAAGTCCAGTGGAAAATCCTACTAGAAAAAAACAACAGCCAAAAATAAAATGCAGCATAGCTATTTTTGATATACTCAAGGTCTATTAAAAATTTAAAAAAACCGTTAGATGGTTGTTCTGATGGCGAACGCTGTTCTGAAGGAGAACGCAGTTGAATGCTTACTGATGAGCTCTTGTCTAAAAATTTTTTTAAACAGTTTGAAAAACCGACTCAATCAGAAATGAAGTTGGTTATTTTATTCATTTTTCCAGTTGCCTAAGGCAATATAGGCGAAGAAAAAATTTAACGCTCATTATACCTTAGGCAACATTCAAGTTTTATTCTTCTTCATTTCAGAGTGTCGGAACATTATTAAAAAGAAAACCGTTTGTTGCTTGGTCAGAAGGCGGAGATGGCTGTTGAATCGAAGCCGAAGATTTACTGGATTTTTCGGATGGCGTGGATTGTTGAACTGAAGGTGATTTATTAGACTTATCAGAAGGTGTCGATTGTTGAGCAGGTGTTGTCGATTTATTAGATTTTTCTGAAGGCGTAGATTGCTTAACAGAAGGAGATGACTGAACAACGGGGGGTGAGCCCGAAGTTTGTGATGAGCTTTTCTTTTCCATTAATTAGTAGTAATTAGAAGTTAGTTTCTGAAAAAAAAATAAATTAAAATGAGTAAAGATTCTAAATTGAAATCAGGAAAATGTAACTACCACCACAAAACAAAAAACACCCCAAATTAGCAGCATTTTTTAATCTAGTAAATTTTTACATTTTGATATTAACATTTTAAAAAGTTATCATTTGACAAACGGCCAAGAAGACAGTTAGACAATAGATAATTGGGTAAAGGACGATTGGGTAGGGGTTGGGGTCGTTTTGGCGCCGGGCCGTTTTGGCGCGAGAACAAAAAAGTGGCACTTAGGCGTGACCTAAATTTATAAAATTTTTCTCAATTTTCACTAACATCCTTGACTACCTCCTCCAGAAATTTCAGAATTTTTCATCCAATATTTCCAAAGTTATAGTCGACAGACCTCGAAAAATTAGGCATTTTGCAGAAAATCAACATTTTTGGCCACAATTTCCGAAATTCTTGCTCAAAAATTCTGAAATTTTTGGAGAACATAGATAAAGGTACGAGAGTTATTATTGCAAAATTTTATCATTTTTGATAATGAACTCGCTATCTTATAAGCTCGCGCCAAAACGTCCCCGCGCCAAAACGGCCCAGTCCCTTGGGTAGTGATTTGTAGTAGATATTTATGATAAAAATTAATTTATTACCCAATTGTCCACTGCCTACTTGTCCTATAGCCAAATAGTATGCTGTCCAATTGTCGTTCCACGTTTGACAGCAAATCGGGGACACTTCAGTCCTTAACACATCAATCCAAACGTTAGAGTATAGGACGAGCTAGACGCGTGCGTCAACAAGGCGAACCTACGTGGCGTAGTCGTTTACTAAAAATTTCTTGTTTATGACGTTTCTATGTCATACATCTTCGGCGTTTTCATTTTGCCGGTTAAATTCTTTACCCTCTTTTTCGTGTTCCCACATATTCATTTTTGCGTTTCTAGTAAAAAGAATGGCACGTTTCAGCTGCGTGTTTTTCTAAGAGAATAAAAATCGATTTTTCTTTTATTTTTTAGTGATTCTCGCCTAAACATCAACTTCAATTTCTCATAATTCAATAAATTTAAAAACTACAAAAAATGGCTGGGTTTTTGATGAAACAGATGGTTGGGAATAAACTTGATGAAGTTACAGGCGGTTTGAATCGGTTAGGTGGTGATGATGAGAACAAAACTTTGGAAGGAGATGATCCAGAAGTATTTTAAATTACTTTCTTTTTTAATAAAATAATTATTAAAGGTAATCGCAGCCAGACAAGAGATGGAAGAACGCCGCAAAGAGAAACACCGTAAAATGGAATTGGAACGAGAAAAAATGCGTGACCAAATACGAAACAAGTACAGTCTCCACAAAAAGGTTAGGAAATCGTGTGTTCTGAACCCCATATTAAAATTTGAAGGACGACGCTTTTGGCGGAGGTTCTTCGCTTGGAATTGATGGTCGAGTTGGACCAGCACACAAAACACCTGACCAATTAGCGGCGGAAATGGCGGCAGAAGAGGATTCAATAATAGGACAACTTGGATTGACTGAACATGTTGAGGTTTTTTAAAGTTAACTTTACTAAATTTACTTTCAAATAATTTTTAGAAGGCAAAAACAGCAGTAAACACTGCATTCGACACCTTCAAAGGATTTTTCGGGAAGTAAAAAAGCAATACACAAATTGGTATATCTGTAAAGACTAAACAACGATTCTCATATTTTTTGGCTCTCGACCAGTTTATGCGTTCATTCAGCCTTTATACGTCCACGCGAATTTCTATACGTCCATTTAAAATTTTATGCGTTCAATTAAATTCTCATGCATATTAAGGTTGATTAATCCCAATATTTATTGGACGTATAAACTGGACAAGAGCCTTTTTTTAAACTCCAGTCAGTAGATACCTTTCTCTAAATTCATTCCACTTTTTGATTATAAATACAAAAATTCTCTTTTAAGATAACATATAGCCATTATTTTTAATTCAAAAAATAAATATTTACCATATGTTTAGGTTAACTATTTAAATAAAAAAATATTTAAAATTGTACATTCAAAAGTAGGCACAATGTAAACAAAAGATAAATTTAAATATATTAAGACAAGAATTTCGGAAAAAGAAAAATAAAACAAACCGATAAACTATAATATTATGTACTATAAAACGTTAAAATGAAAGAGGCTCGAATATATAAATATGGGAAAAACAATAGAGAAATGCAATCGTTAGTGTAGGACACTTATGTATCCAAAAAATGTTGCGGCCAATTTAGACCCGATTACAACAATAAACAGAGGAATTTATGTTAGGTGTTATAGAAATCAGAGGTGTGCCGATTCACCTTCCACCAAATTTCGTCCTTTTAAAATCTGTTTTGGCACACCTCTGATACATAAAAATGAAACAAAAAACTCACAAAATTTCATTTTTTGACCCACCTGTTTTTAGTTGGAAGGGGTCATTCCTCCGCGTCTTTTCTTCTTTCGTCTTCATCATCATCCCCGTCAATAGATGACTTTGTACAAGATTCATTATCATCAATTAAAAGAGCTGTTGTATCAAGTTTTGAAGAACCTCCTGATCTGCGATGCATTACAAGAAGTTTTCGACGATATTGTGGTAATGAAAAATTGAGAATGAGTGCAAAAACAACTAAAAGTGCACCACAAAGGAATGGTGGACCTGGAACAGGGCCCTGAAAAATATGCAAAAAAATTAATTTAAAAAAATTTTTTATACCCCAGTTCTAAGTGTTATTCTATCCAAAGAATTATTTTGTGCTGTTGAGGCACTTATTGGTTTATTGTTATCAGGAATTAAAGGTGATTGAAATCGAATATTTGGTACTGGAAATTGAGGACCAACACCAATATGTCCAGCACTTTCATCATCTGACGTCAAATCCATTCCAAACGCATAAAAAATAAGGCCGAATACTGCTGGGCCCAATCCTTGACAAAGACCGCGGATACCTGAAAAAATGTTAGTCCATATTACCAGACTTAAAATTAAAAAAAACCGCTAAGAATTCCTTGAACAGTCCCCTGCAATTCTTTATTTGTCTGTAACGAAACAAAAGCAGAAATTGCTGGATAAGTCATTTGAGAAAATGCAGCAAATAATCCAGCTCCCCACATTCTTTTTAAAATAAAAATGAGAAAAAAATATTAAATTTTTCTTACATCCAATGTGCAGAACCAACCCCATACCAAACTAACTGGACAAATTGAAAAATTAATCCAAGTGTTATAGCCGACTGAGAAATTATTTTTTAAATTGAAAAGGAAAATTTTAAACCTTAGGACCAGCTTTTTGAGTAATTAATAAGAGAATTCCTGTTTGACTAAGGACAGAAAGAACACCAACAAATGCAATAAAAAGTGCTACAGATTCAGCAGAAAAACCAACAACCTTTAAAAAATTTTTAAAATATTATATAAAAAAATATTTTAAACCAGTCTCAAGTAAACAAAAAAGCATGAAAATTGTCCAGCTTCAGGTAAGTATGACAAAAAAGTAATTGCAGATAATCTCAAAATTGTTTGTTCATCGCGAAGAAAACGTAAAATAATAAAAGGATTTGCAGAGAATCCATTACTATTAATTCCTTCAATTACAGTTTGTGGCTGTTTTCTAGATTCTGGGACACAGCAAAGAATAAATAAAAGATCTAAAATTGCAATTAATGTAGCTAGAAGAACAACAACATCATCAGAGTATATTCGACTTAAATAAGCGCCCAAAGCCTTTGAAAAATTAAAAAACAATTAGAAAACTTTTTATTGGTAATCTTCTAGTTTACTGACCCTAGAAAAAATGAGCAGGAAGTACCAATAAGTAACGAGTGTGTTGAGTTCCAAGAATCTAATTTTGCATCCGATTTGACCAGTCAAATTCGAGTCCGGTATCGAAGTAAATGAAGTTTGAGCTCATATTCGAACTCATTTCAGCACTCGATTACATGCTGGCAAACTCGAAATAATCGACCAAGCATTTCTTCCTCATTTTTTCATAGCGATCAGTAAACAAGAAGATTACCCTTTTTTAAAAATTTACTGGTGATGTGACAAGAGAAGCAGCAAAAGTTGCAGAAACTAAACCACAAGCAGTTGTTCTTTCATTAGGTTCAGTTATATCAGCTACATAAGCAAGCACAACACTAAAAGTTACAGAGAAGAGGCCACTAAATGTGAAGAGAGTAAAATACCACCTTTAATTTTGAAAGATGTTTTTTTAAATAAAAATTAATAAAAAAATACCATGGCGAGATTTTAAGGCAGGGAATTGGCATACACGTAAAAAACACTGTAAGCAACAAAAAAGGTTTTCTACCACAAACATCAGAAAGGGCGCCAACCAAAGGTGAAGAAATAAAAGAGAGAATGCCCTGAAAAAATTTTACTAGGGTTGCACCTCGACCCTGGGCAATTTTTGACTAAAAACCGATCCCGAACTTGTAGACTCCGAAGGGCCGGGGTGCAATCCTAATTTTACTTCAAAAAATTAAAAAACCTTTAAACCCATAATAAGCCCATTCATAAGAAATTTGTTTGAAGGAAATGTTTCAGCAAGAACCTTTAAAAAACAAAAAAATAATTTTCAAAAATTAATTTAAAATTATACACTAATCACAGGCACAGTCAAAAGACCCCAAGAAAAATATTCCAAAAATATTATAAAAAGTGCATGAACAAGTCCAGCTTCTGAAGGCCGCTTTGCACTCATTGAGCTTAATGTTGGAGTTGAAGAACGAAAACGTCGTTTACAACAAATTGCAGAAGAAATTGAACGTGTACGTCTACCCATACTTTAAAAATTAGAAAAATTAAATTGTCATATAATTAAATTGCCTATTTTGGCAGGTATTAATTTAGAGGGTCAGGAATCACAAAAGGATGCCGGGTTTTGACTCTAGCTCTCGAAAGTACGAGAAAGAAATGTTCCTGTCCCATACATCCATACATTTATTTGCTAATAAAGGGACGAGCCGGACCTATCGAGTTGGATTCACTCACCCCCAAAACCCGACGGATCCGTTAAGTTTTTTCATTAAAATAAATTAAAATAAAATATGTATAAACCTTTTAAAAAATGCACAAAAACATTTTGTTGACATAAAAATTTAACAAAATTTTAGCAAATATCATCCATCTCTATGTTAATTTTAACAAATCCAGCAAAAATAAAATAGGTAGCACAAAATTTATCAGACTTTTAATTGTTGTAGCAAATTTTAAAAACTGAAAAAAAAAGTTAAATTAAAAAAATTGTGCAAAGAATTAAACAAAATTAAATAAACGTATGACACGTGCCTTTTTATAAAATTATTAAAAAGTCGCGCATCTCTCCTTAAAATTTATTTTTCACCTTCTCAAATATTAAAAGAACCCAATGAAAAATAAATAAAAACGGTTCACTAACCTTTCGTCACACAAACTTTTTGACACCAAAACTTTTCGTCACTTTTAATTGCCAGCTAAATAAATAAACAACTTTTTTTATTGACAAAATAATGTCTTATTAATTATGTCTATATACATAAATATCTAAAAATAATACAAAATATTTATAAAAAATTATCAACTACAAAAAATATTTATTTATGTATAAAAGCGAACCAATAATTAAAAATTGTGAAAATGTAAAAAAAAAACAAAGAGTTTCTACCAAATGTACGAAAAATGCTGGTCGTGAGAATAAGAAAATATTTTTGAAAAAACGCCAAGAAATATATTAGAGTTCGAACACACGATTTTGAAAAACCGCATCAGGATTCGAGGGGGTGTAAACCCGGTAAAAAATTCGGGTTTTTTGAATTTTCTGAGTTCCAGAGGTTTTAGCCAAGAAAACCCGCCCGAGTCAGCTTGGAAGAAGAAAACCCCAGATACTGGTCTCGACAATATGAGAAGTTCGAACTCTAAATAATTTTATAGAAAAAAAACATTTTAGAAAAAAAGATTAAGGCTTATACAAAATGGCAAATATAAAAAAAACAGGGATTTTCTCGGATTGATATGAGGCACAAATTGAAAATTATTTCTTTTGTTGTTCTGTATATATGGTATATTTTTTTTAATTTTGAGGTTATTTCTATAAATTTTCTTTCTAAATTTTTGGTGTTGTTTAGCAAGCCAACATAAGGCATTGCTCTTTACTTTTTAAATTAAAACAACTTTGACATATCCATTCAAGACGAAAATCTTTACAAAATTCTGCAAATGCATCAGATGAAAGACCAGAACAATCCCAGTGATAAAGTTGATTACATCCTTGACTAATTGCAGTACATTGAATTGCTTTACGTTGTTGCTAAAGATAACACAATTTAATTTAAAAAAAATATTTAAAAAAAAAATACATTTATTTCCTGTTGACAAGCAAAACATAAGCCCTTTGCATGTATCCTCTGATCTGGCATAGGAGCAAGTGTAGAGCAATTGTTGACAGGTGGAGGAGCACTTCCTGGACCAGATGGAGGAATTGAAGAAGTGCATCGTTTGATGGATGGAGGTGATCGGCCTGGGACTGGAAAATTAAAATATTAAGAAAAGTTTGCCTAAATCAGTGGGGATTTTAGATTTGGCATTCAAAAATTTTCAAACCAAAACAGGAATTTTTGTTAAAAAAGAAAAGGCAAATAAAAATGTTTTTATTAAGAATTGAAGAAGAAACCTTTAAAACAAGCATCCTGTTGCATTCCTTGCAACATTTGATGTTGCAGTTGTATATGACCAAAAAATGGAGATGAACCATCTTGACCTCCTCCTGGACCTCCTCCATCCATTTGAGGAGAACGGCCCTAAAAATAAATAAAAATTATTTAAAATCATAGAAAAACCCATACAAAATTTGTTTGTTGATTTTGTTGCATATCTTGATCTTTTCTTAACTGCTCTTCCCTTTCTCGTTGTTTCCTCTGTTTTGCCGTTTCTTTTTTGGGTTTTGGCGCAGCTCCTGGTGTCATTGCTGAATTAATTAGAGAAATGTTGGCATCACATTGTTGTTTAACAGAGGAAAGATTGTTAGGTTGAAGTTGTTGTGGAGGTAATAGATTAGGAGGTGGAAACATGCCTGGAGGAAGAATTGCGTTGTAAGGCACAGGAATCGCTTGACCGTTCGGACCGGGGAGGGCAACCTATAAAAAGATATCTTATTTAAACCGACAGGAGACGTGATCAATTCACGGTCGAAAAACTAACCATTGGAATAAAGCCCGGTGGAATCTTTCCAACTAGCCACGGTGGTATCAAAGCTGGATTCACTGGCACACCTGGTTTGACAGACATCAAAACCATACGAGCTTGAGGAATAACCGGCCTAAACATTGGCATAGGCATTGATGACCTTTAAAGAGTAAAATTTATCTATTCTTTATCTTGTTTAACTAACCAACGACCCATAGGTGCAAAAGTGCCTTCTGGGTAGAGTTGTTCAAGCCTTTGACGCTGCTAAAATATAATGTTTAAAGTGAATATTTTATTCAAAACTTACTAATGGCATGTTATAAAAAGACCATTGTGGAAAAACACCTCCAGGAGGAATTCCACCTTCTTTAACATTGGGTAATGGAAGCAATGGTGGCCGTGAAGGATCTGTAGACCCCAACCTGGCCAATTCTGCCATGGATTTAGCTAAAATTAAATAAAAAATTTTCAAAAATTTCCTTGAAAAACAAACAATCAGCTGGAGGTTTTCCATCCCAATTAAGTGGTTGCATCGTCGGCTGCATTAATTGCTGTTGTTGATCATTAAAATGCTGTTGATGACCATTTAAAGGTGAAAGATTTGAAAATTGTGAAGAGGTTGTTGGAGGAAGGTCGGGTGCAAACGGATCACGAATAATTATTTTTTGTTGTTGTAGCCGTTGCTGATCAGTATTTTGATTTAAAACATTCGAGGAGGATGACGAAGAAGGACGTCGAAAATAATCGAAACCTGTTGTTGTTCCACCAGAAACAGAACCACCAGCTGAATGATGTCCAGAATCAGCAGATGAACAGCAAGAGGGACCTGCTGGTGCAGAACCAGGACCATTAAATTGTTGCTGCTGTAAATTTTGTTGAGAATTTATATTTTGTTGTTGCTGAAGATGTTGATGTCCGTTAGCTGAAGCTGGATTGGCAATTGAAGTAGGCACAAAACCAAAAAACTTAAAAAAATAATTTTGTTTTTTATTTTTAAAAGTAAAATTAAAGAAGTATCAAGGGTTTTTCAACCTCTAAAATCTGTGGGGGAAAATATCGAGATTGGGGTGATTTTTGTAAATTGAAATATATGTCCGCCCCGATATGTTTGAATCAACTAAAATCTCCTTACCCCAAAATCCAACAAAATAAATCTAAAAAATACCTCCACTTTAGAATTACATTTTCCACCAGAATTTGGTCCAATAACATTCGCTGCTAGCGATAAATCACCAATTGGGGAGATTCCATCTAAACCATTCAAATCTTCAGGAAAATTGTCAGAATTAATATCATCCTGTTGTTGTTGTCCAAGATAATCTACATTACTAGTTGTTTGAAGAAAAGTTGAGGAATGACTTGAAATTGAAGATGTTGTGGTTGCTGATTGCTTATTTTGTTCATTTTCTTTTATTAAATCATTGGAGGAATCTATGTTACTGAAAGCACCAACAAAATTTGTTTGTTGTTGAGAAATATTACTACTTGTTGCAGAGGATACGCAAGTTGTTGTAGGAACATCTTGGCCCATCATATACTTAAAAATTTAATGAATAAAAATTTTAGTCAAGCTAAAGAAATTTAGGAAATTTTAAGGAAAACCCTCTCGACACATTAGAGTCTGAGTTGACGACTCTTTCATCCCTTTAACAATAATGAACTTGATAAAAGCGCTTTATCATTCCTAATCTAAAATATATCCGGGAAGCTGCTGAAACAAAAAGAAAAACACCCATAAATGCAAAATTATTTTGTCGTTTGACTTAGCTGCTGCTTTAACAATTCTCTGCTACCGCGACTCTTTAACCACCCATCATAACAAATGTGGTCTCTCTTTCTCTAATTTCACTAGTTATTTTGGTCAGACAAGACATTAGAGTCGAAAACGAACTTGATAAAATCGCTTTATCCTTTATCACCAACTAACTTATCAATTATCTTTTCTAACAGGAGTTGTGATCTCATGAAAGCGATCTTTTGGATTTTTACGGATTTACTACATTTGGTAAAGCTATAAACGGGTGTGCATAAGAAGCGCTTCTAGTAGTTGACTCAACTTGGTAATACATACATAATAGAATTATGCTGGGTTATAAATTTTATTGAAAAACCCCAATTCGGCAGGACAAGCGTTATATTTTGGAAGAGGTTAGCGTATATTGAATATAAATAAAGCAAATGAGAAATACGGAGAAAAAATAATGCATGGGAGAAGATGAAAAGTAAATAAGAGAGAACAAGCGCAATTCAGGAAAACTGATGTTGTTTCCCTATTTTCCTCCAAAAAAATAAGGACCCACACCAAAAAAATATAACCAAGAGAATCGATTAAAACGCATAAAAATAGGGGATTAAATGATTAAAATCAAGCTTAAACTGTAAGTTTGGGCAAATCTGTGACTAAAAATATTAACCGAAACATTCAGAAATTTTATTCAAAGTTGGAAAAAATTAAAACACCATAAAGAATGCATTGCCTTTTGTTATAAATTTTGCAAACGGAAAAAGATGTAAAGTATTAGAACAATGAAAATTGATTTGTAAAACTTTTGAGTTGTAAAAATATGCGCGAACCGAAATTTATTTTTTAGAAAATTATTTTTTGTAATTGTTAAAAATAGTCAAATTATATTTCGGTTAAAAAAATAACATAAAAATGTATGTAGATATCTCCATACTAAAAAAAGAAATATAGACTTAGAATTTAAAGACAATTAAAAAATAAGCTTAATATATTAATGAGATTCAGAATGTGAACCTTAAAACTCTGATTTTTAAATATTTGATCTTTAAATATCCTAAAGGAATTAGAAATTATTTTTGGCACCAAATATGTATTTGTTGTCAGAAAAGTTAAAACAGGATCAATTTTTTGATGTATTTAAAAAAATTATCTTTTGATGCCAAAAAATATTTTTTATCTAAAAATAAAAAAATTGAAAAGTTAACAAACTGAGCTCACAGCCAACAAAAAAATTGAACAAAAAATTTAAGCAGTATTGGACGGTATGAATTTTGGGGGATATTTTGACTGGAAATACATTGTAAAAATTAAAAAAAAAATTTTGTGCTGAAAAAAGTGGTGATGATGCTTTTAAAAAAACAATTTTTGCTTTTTTTCATCATTGAAGGGAGCAACAGGAACGTTTCTTTTTCTCGGGTAACCGTACCATTTCGGCATGGCCCGGAGGCCCTAGCCCATCCACGGAGACAGAAGTGTCCATTATTAATGGTTGATTGCTGCTTGTTGCATGCGTAGAAGCTTCTTGTCTTGCCTCCGTAAAAGCACTAAAAATTGTTTTTGTTTTAAGGAAATATATACCAGAGACCGGACCGAGATCTCGATCCAATAATCTCGGTTATTCAGAGGAGATGTCAATCTCGTAGGACACTCCCAGTCCGGTCTCTAATATTAATTACTTACCCTCCTCCACCTCCACCACTATCTCCATTGGCGACTTTATCTGTGCGAATTGATGAACGCTGATGAGATGAGGAGGAAGGTTGTGAATTTAGTTGGTGTGAAGGTACAGGAGACCCGTGTGAGGGTGAAGGCGGAAATGGTTTTTGTCGATACAACTCAACAATAGGATCAACCTAAAAATACAAAACTATTCAATGTCATTTCATTTTTCCCACCTCGTGATAAAGCTGCTCATCTGGCCGAAATGGATTTTCATTTTCATGTTCTGATTTTCTGGAAATAAAATTATATTTTTATTTTATAGGAAAAAACCAACTTCATAAAAGAGGGCAATGGAGGACTGTTCACCATCTGAATCGAAGTGGATGAGGCAGTGACTTGAGGAGTGGCCAGACCTGATGCTGACGAACCAACAGCATCCACAATTGCTGTTGGCTGTGTTGTTGTTGTGGTAATTTGTGCGGGTGGTGAAATTGGTCTAGGCAATTCAACTTGTTCAGCGTGTACTCTAACACGGCTAAGAGGAGCGTCTGGACTGAAAAATAAAAAAATTTTCGTCTCACACGTATTTGTTTACAAATTAAATTTTATTTTTCTTCAAGTTCTTAATTAAAAATAAAATTTGAAAAAAAACACAATTGAGTAAATAAAAATAATGCCCACAATTTCAACTAAATAGACATAGAGGAAACGGATGTGAGAGGAGAGGAAATACTAAAATGATGTAAAAAGCAGCTTTTCCTAAATTCTCTCAAAACAAAGGGGAGATATTGTGGCCATTTTTAGTTTTTTTTATTTAATTCTTTTACTCTCTATCAAAATTAACAGTTTTTAGTCTTAAAAAGAAAAGAAAAAAGCTACAAGAGTATTACCACAAGAGTAGAAAAACATCACAAAATTAGTTACAATTTAATATTTTAAGACTCAATTGATAAAAGGAGGGAGTATTTCCCAAAAAAAAACAAAGAACCGCTGACCAGCTGCTTGGCCCAAAAATACTCTTCAAGAGGTACATCCAAAAAGAGATTTTATATGTGTAGTTTTCTTATTCTCTAAGTATTCTCTTATTTTAGTATCTCATTCCTTTTACTTATTTGTTAGTATAACTATGCCAAAAATAAGGGAAAGATACACAGCTGGTCCAAAATACTGGGGAAAACTGCCTAAAAGATGTCTTCCTTAAGTATTTCTTCAGTTGTCTTTTTTCAATAAACATTAGGTACCTTTGTGGTTATAGCCTTTTGAGTATTGGATTAACAAGTTAAAAACGCTTTTTGAAAACGACCAAAAAACAAGGCAGCACCTTGTTGTTTATCTCACTTATTTGTTATTAGAAGAATAAAGAGAAAAATACTACATTATTAGAGATGGACATAGTTTAAAAAAATAAAATCGTCCTCAAAAAGCTTTTTTAAACTTGTTACACTACAAAACCTATCCATAATTCACAAAAAATATAAAGGATTACGTACTCTGTATAAGTTGTTGATTTGTTTTGTTGCCGATAGCTGGCTATACTATAATCATTCTCCACACCATCATCATACAGAATCATTTGAACATGTTCCTCGCCACCAAAAGACACTCTTAATATTTAACAAAAAGTTATGAAAAAAAGTAACCCCATGCCCGAGACCAAAATTTTTTGGCTCAAGAAGGAAATCTACGTTTTTAGCACTCCTGAAACTATGAATAATTCTATTTTGGGTAGAGTAATCCATACTTTTTAATATTTTTTGAATAAAGCATACCCACCTTTTATTATGTTCTATAACCGCAGTATCATTATGTTGAGACTGGTTGGCCATTAATAAAAATGCTTATTCAATTTTTGATGAGTTTAAGAATTATCATTAAGAGAAGTATAAATTATAAAATTGGTAGTTAATTGAGGTAAAAAATATTAAAATTAAATTTAAGAAGTGATACTCTGAAAAGAAATTTTTTAAACTAAATTAGATCGGGGTTTTTGGATTACTTTTCCCGATCTCCGCCCGGATTATTTCCTGATCGGACTAACCCGGTTGATCGAACTAATCCTAGTTACAAATCAGGAATCCGGATCCGACTCCGGAAAAACCGATTTTTCCAGGCACTCATTAAAATCACACATACATACCAGACTCTAATGGAAAACATTGTGTGGGTTGACTTAAAGAAAATTAAGATTTATTATAAAGATTTATTTTGTGCTTTGCTAACAAAAAAGCTTACTTTTAAAAAAATAAATTGGTTAACGCTTGATTTACAAAAAATACAAGCTTTTCGAAAAAATGTAAATACTACTCTAAAACATCAAAAGAAAGAAAAAAAGGACAAAGATTCGGGAGGAGAGGGGTTAAATTTGAAAGAGCATTTACTACTTTCAAAATTTGATCATGAAGAGATGAGAAGGCGCCTCTTGTAAAGAGTCGCTCTCGGTTTTCTCTATTCGTTGTTGTCACAAGTCGGCTGGCTGCATTATAATGTTTATACTCTACTCAAAGAGCATAGCATTGATTTTCAGCTACTTATTAGTTTACACACATTTGCGGCAAGGAAAAGAAAGAAAATCAAGAGAGCACGCAAAGAAAATCATTGTTACAAAGAAAAATAGAAAATAGCGTTGTTTTGAAATGTTTAAAATTCTGTCTAATATTTGGCCAATTCATATTTTGCCACTGAGGCTATGGAATCACATTTTGCCAACGTAAACCCTATTGGCAAAACGTGGTTTTTTCCCTTATTGGCAAAATATGACATTGGTCAAATGTGGTTTGCCGTTTAAAATCTCTAATTGTGTTTTGCAAAAATGTCAATTTAGCTTTTGTAATTGTGAATTTTCTGTTAATTTAAAACACAAATTTTGGTTTCTTTTTACCTCTTTTTTACTTGTCAAACATTTGAATCTCATTTTTAAATCATCAATTCCTTCTTAATTTTCTAGGAACTTTATTTATATCCTCAAATAAACACAAAATCGATGACCTGTGGACTAGCTGTTAAACGTCCATTAGATTTGGGCCAGGATGCATTCGAATTGATTGATGTCAAGAGAGCTCGCCAAAGCGGTGCAAGTCCAAAATGTTCACCATTTCGCCCTCAAATGGGTATATTGGCAACTTCATTGAATCAGTCAACAACGGGTACTTCAAGTCCAAAGGTTTGCTTTAACTTTTTCTTTATTTTAATTTTCTCTATTCAAAGCCCTCTAATGGTTTAATCAACGTACCAAGTTCACCATTTGCGGAGATTTCTGGACGCTGTCAACTTTCGAGCAATCAACTTGACTCCTATCTGCGTGCTGAGATTCAACATCTGAAGCGTCGAAAATTGATTCCTCGTCGAGCAAATATAACAACCAACAGCCTGGAATTGTCAAGTAGCACAGCAAACTTTCGCAAAGCAAATTCGCCTACTTCTTCCATCGTTATTTTTTTTAAATGTTTTTTTAACTTTTGTTTATAGTCTGGAAGTGATTCTGATGGTGAAGTTCATAGCATTCAAGATCCAGAAAAACAACGCGCTGCAATGTTGGAGTCTCTCTATGAAAAGCCGCATTTTTCTCTTCGACAAGTAAAGCTGATTTGTGAGCGCTTACTTAGAGAGCAAGAAGTTCGTCTTCGCTATGAATATGAGACTATTCTGAATAAGAAACTTGATGGTTTTTATTAAAATTACTCGTTCTTATTTCAAAAATATATTTTAGAACAACATGATCAATATGTGCAATTTGCCAAAGAACAATTGGAAGTTAATGCTACGAAGATGGGCGACATTTCATGTATATAATTTTTTAAAATTATTAGAGATTGAGCTATGTGTCCGGGTCGAGGCTTGACTTTTTTGTTTGGGATAAACTTAACTTCCAGGATCCGATCTGAGTCAATGAATCAAATTCGTAGTTTAGGACCAAAACCCAGACTTTAAAACTCAATCTCTAGTGGACACAATCGACATATGTTTAAATTATTTTTTAGATCTCTCATGAAGAGCAACGCAGGTACTATGGAACATGTAAAGAAATTTTCACACCACACAACAAAAAAGAATTAAAATTCATTCTAACATAAGAAAAGCCTTTTTTGTGTATATTACAAAAGAAGTAATTTTAATGTTTTCTGGCTAAATTTTTTTTCTAAGCTTTCAGTTATTGTCATTTTAGAATTTAATTAGGTTGATTCTGTTGCTCTTTTTTCTCTTTTAAAAATAAAAAATATAAATATCAACCTAATTATTTCTGCACTTTTACTTGAATAAATGATGTCTTTTTATTTTGTTTCACTCAAAAAAAGTTGTAAAAAACTTTAAATATTTTTTTAATTTCATCCACAAATTATTAACATTGTTTAGAACTTAAACTTTAAAAATGCCATCTGATAGTAGACGATCTGAAAGATCTTCAAGAGATGATCAACGTAGGCGTGGTACGCCACAGGAACGTCCTGGGAAACGTTCTGCGGCTGACGAGAGGTTGGTTAAATTTGATTTTGGTTCGGTTTGTTGGGTGGCACTTTTATGTTTGTAAAATATTTATGTTAGAATATTGGTGGGTGGGGGGATATTTGGAAGATTTAGATGGTTAATTTTTTGCACTGTGTTGCGGAAAGTATGGACTGGGGTTTTCTTATAACTGACAAGGAGAGTTTGCGAGGTGTCCGAGCTAAAAACGGTCGAGACCGGGCTCATTCGATAGAGAATGTGCCCTTTCTAGCAAGGATTTTTTGCCGTTTTTGCCCGTTTTTTGATCTGGCCAAGATATGGCCTTCCAAAGTCCCAAAATTTGGCATATTTTCCCCCCTCCAAATATAAACTTTAAATAATGCGTTTATTTTGTTGGCGCGGTGGTGTAGTGGTGAGTGTGCTTGCGTTACCCTTTTTCTCTAAAAAGTTCGATTCTTTTTTGGGTTTTATGCTTTTATCTAATTGTTTTAAACATTATTTATTCCTTTTTCAACAAAAAAATTTTTTTTGAAATTTTTTTTTTAATTTTTAAAAATTTTTGAAAATAAAAATTTTTTTTTTGAAAAAAATTACCTCTTATTTTTAAATTTTTAAAAATAAAAATTTATTCGCTATAAAACTTGAATTTGCTACACCTGGCACGTCGAATAAAACAATTAGATTCCCGGGGAATCTTCTCCTCTCCACCCATTAATCGTAAGGATAAAGTTAAAAAATTTTTTCCGAAAAAAATTTTTTCAAAAAAAAATTTTTATTTTCAAAAATTTTTAAAAATTAAAAAAAAAATTTCAAAAAAAATTTTTTGTTGAAAAAGGAATAAATAATGTTTAAAACAATTAGATAAAAGCATAAAACCCAAAAAAGAATCGAACTTTTTAGAGAAAAAGGGTAACGCAAGCACACTCACCACTACACCACCGCGCCAACAAAATAAACGCATTATTTAAAGTTTATATTTGGAGGGGGGAAAATATGCCAAATTTTGGGACTTTGGAAGGCCATATCTTGGCCAGATCAAAAAACGGGCAAAAACGGCAAAAAATCCTTGCTAGAAAGGGCACATTCTCTATCGAATGAGCCCGGTCTCGACCGTTTTTAGCTCGGACACCTCGCAAACTCTCCTTGTGAGGGTTAAAAATAGTTTTTTTGGTGGAATATATTTAATTTAAATGAAATATTCTAGAAATTTACAAAGTTTTTATGGGGAATATTTGCAAATTTAAAGTATTAGCACTATTTTTAAATATAAGCATATATAAATTTTACTTTGACAATTTCATTTAATGACCTTTAATAACTTGTGCGTTCATATTTCATTCTCCAAGTGCTTCCGCTATAAAGTTTCTATGTATCACGGGTTAACCTAAATCTAGACTTTTTCTAGACCCCAAACCCGATCCAAGAAATTTTTCAAACTCCGACCCGATTTTTCCCTCTTAACTTCCTTAAACGCCCCAACCAAACTCCGGTTTTTTTTCAACCCGAAACCCGATCTGAGGAAAACTGAAAACACGACCCGACATTTTTCTCAACCTGTCCCAATCCCTGCTATGCATTTGTTTAAATCACCTTTTTACTATGCACTAAACAATGTTAATTTGTTTTACAGATCAAATAATAATTTTTACTCCGATTATAAAGCTCGCTTTTGTGAAAGCAAAACATTAACGTCAGATTATGAAGAGTTCTATAGCGGAGAAGACTTTTCTCTTTTTTCTGCAAGATTGCAACAATTTTGACAACGGGGAGAGGGATGGGGCTTTGATTAACATTGGGAAGAGGGGACTCTGCGTACAAAACTTTCAGATTAAATTTTTCATTTTAACAAGATTCATATCTATTCTTATTATTCATGATTCTACTAGCAAGTTTTTTCTTTTTCTCGCTGTTTTTAGAGTTCATTTTACAAAACTTTCCCCCACTTCCCCTATATCATCCTAACATAAGACAAATCTTCAAAGTTTTTTTAAAACTTTTTACATTCATTTTTGTTTTCTCATTATTTTTTGCCTTTCTAAAACGCGCGATATTTTATGATTACATTTAGAAACTCTTCACATTCAACAAGACATGATTATGATACACCGCCATCAACTCGCCGTAGTGGTGGAGAACTTGGTGGAAGGCCAGGTTTTCCTCCTCCACCAAAATTTTCGGGAGCGCCTATTCCCGAATCTGAACTGCTTGAAGATCAACCGAAGAAAAAATTTACTGGGCGCTGTCGTCTTTTTGTTGGGAATCTTTCAACTGAATTTAAAGAACAAGATCTGAAGGAGCTTTTCCTGCCATACGGGGAAATTTCGGTATAAAAATTGCTGTTTTTTACAGCAAGAAGACCTATAGCAACATTTATTTACATTTATATGGATTTACAGGAATGCTACATTTCTGGTAAAGGATTTGCCTTTCTCCGCTTGGTACAGTTTTGTTTAGAAATTTTTTGTTTTGTAAATGTTTTTAAAGTTGGGAGGGGGGGGGGGTGTGAATTTTTTTAATTTTTTATTTAATATATTTTATAACTTGGGGATGACTTGTTAAATTTTTTTGGGTTTAGCATTAAATATTTAAATCCATATTCTATTGGACTTTGGTTAGTTTTCAAGTTTTTTTTGTGAAAATTGCGATTGCGAAATTTGCTCCAAAATTTTAACCAACAATGCGCATTTTTTTAAATTTTTGGGAAATATTTACTTTATAAATATATTTCTAACACATTCAACTACATATAAGGGTGTATTTTTAATCGGTTTCCTAACTTCTTATTTGACCCAAATTCAATATCCTTCATCAGTTTACGAGGCGCCTTCTTCAATATTGTACAACTACTGACCTCGACATAAAGTTATGGGGATAGGGAAGGGTTGTGTGATTATGTCGAGACAATTACGAATAAAGGCTCTTGTGACATAATTCCAAACTTGTTGATTGACTGCTTGCAAACTACTACTAATCTTTTAATAATCATATCCTGACTCTCCATTATTTGATGTTAAACCAAAATAATTAACTCGTTTGTTTAGTTAGTTGAATCAGCGATTTTCTTCAATTGTATTAACAAACTTCTGGATATCTGTTGGCTGGAATAAATTTATAATATTGGGGTAATTTGGGCAACAAGCGCGAATGCATGCTAATTATAAAACAGCGTACTAAAGCTTTATAGAATTTATTTTTTTATTAGTTGGATTTAAAATATTATTTGTGGTTTCAGTTTTACCATAATTAGTAAAACAATTAAAAATTTTAGGATACTCGTGCACATGCAGAAGCTGCGAAGGAAGCATTGGATACCAAAATGGTTAAAGGTCGACAGATTCGAGTGCGTTTTGCTGTTCATGGTGCAGCGATTAAAGTATGATTTAAAAAATATTTTTTAAATTTCTAAATTCAAAAAATTAAGGTAAAAGAACTTTCTCCAGCCGTCTCAAATGAATTGCTTTATTTAACATTTTCTGCTTTTGGTGATGTTGGTAATGATAAAAATTTTTTTTGACAAATTATAATTTAAAAAATTTTAAGAACGTGCTGTGCACATTGTTGATGAAAAAGGTCGTCCAACCGGTGAAGGAATTATTGAGGTTTTTTAAGAAATTTAAAATTTTATATTTAATATTTTTCCAGTTTGAACGTAAATTGTCTGCGCAAGATGCCGTTACACAAATACGCGAACGTGTGTTTTTAGTTTCAGCGTACGTATAGAAATTATTAGTGTAAAATAACGTTTAATTTTTAGTAATTCGCGACCATTACAAGCTGAATTTCTTGAACCTAAAGATGAAGATGATGGATTGTCTGAAAAAATGATTTCAAAAACACATCAACTTGTCAAGTTTGTTTTTATTATTTTTTAAGTCTATTTATTCTGTAAAATATAGAGAACGAGAGGTTGGTCCACGTTTTGCTACAATGAACAGTTTTGAGTACATGTATGGCCGTCGCTGGAAAGAATTATATGAATATGAGAATAAACGTCGTTTGGAATTGGAAGCAGAGTTACGGGAGCAACGTCGGAATTTGGATGCTGATATGGAATTGGCCTATGAAGATTACAAAGCTGATATGTTACGAGAAGGTTAATTTTTTTTACTTTGATATTTTAAATAATTTTTGAAGAATTACAACGTCGTCAGGAAGAGCTTGAACGTCTTGAGGCAGCTCGTCGACAACGCGAGGAGCGTCGACAACACTTTATTGGCGGTCCGGGAGGAGGGGATGACGGTTGGAGACCTCCACCTCATGATGGTCCACTTGGTAGACAACCGCCACCACCTATTCCTTTTGGAGGAGGACCACCGAATCGACCACCGCCTGGTATGAATGGACATGGACAGCAAAGTTTGGGTAAAAATACTAGGATCTCTGATATTGACATTTATTTTTATAATCTCAGGGCCAGAAGTTCGCAAATTACTCCAGAATTTGGATCCTGTTATGATGAATAATAGTCTTAATCGTGGGCAAGGTCAACGAGGAGGTCCACCAATGCCGCCTGGTGCTGGTTTGCCGTTTCCACCGCCACCAATTAATGTTCTCGACAGAAAAGGAGGAGGAGCACCCAGTGGTGGGCCGTTGGATCGAAAACAACAGAGTCCGGCCAACATGAATCTTCTGGATCGAAATCCGCCTGCAGGACCTAATCCATTAGCTAATTTTATGATGGGTGGCATGCCGCGAATGTCGCCACCTGGGGGACAACATGGTGGAATGCGTATTCCTCCGCCACCATCTTCTCTTTTAGGCCCAGCTCCAATGGATTTTGTTGTAGGTGAAAAACGTGCTCGACGTTAGAGAGATAGAAAAAGAGGAAAAAACACTGATTTGAATATTTACATTGATTTTCGTTAATTGGCATTTGTCATTCCATTCGGCAATGTATTGAAAAAGATTTTTTGAATAAATTTTGTAAAGAATCCCTTTCGACAAATGGTATGGAGCCGTAATACCGAAATACTAAATATCAAACAGTGGAGAAGGCGCTGTAGCGCCTTGAAAAAACAGTGAAGGCGCTGTCACCTCCCCCTTAATTTATTGAAAAAATAGTCTTATTATATTTATCTATCCGAAAATAATTTCAATTCTTTTAAGGCAAAACTTACTAATAAATTAATTTATTACAATATAAAGTTTACTACTTATCACAGTGTATGAAGTAAATTAATTATGCAAGGCACCCCCAAACAAGCATTATTGTAAATTAAACCCAACATTACCGCCCAAAACGTTTCAAAAATAAGTTAATATGGAGTACATGCTTCTGCCAAGAAATTATATTCTTCCTTGAAATTATAAAAAGATTATTCTTAATTTTATTAAAAATTAAACCTGCATTCCTTTCTCTTGTAGAAAACGTCCAACAACACTGAAGCATTTATTGTGATAATTATTTAACCAATCAATCTAAAGAATTTTTTTTCTTAATAAAAGTCAAACTAGGCTATAGCATTTATAACAAAGTAAAAAAAATTTTACATGTTTTTGTGCCAGCAATTCTCGAACAATTAGATTTTTCTGTATAGGCACAAAAGTAAGTACTTCAAATTCCAAAAAATTTTTAGAACCAGATTGTAAATTTTTAGCTTCAACAATTTCATAACAATTTTCAATACGAATTCCAAAATTGTTTTCTTCATAATAACCAGGCTCAATTGTAACAACATTTCCCTTTTTAAGACCAAATTTCTCTGTGGATCCTAAACATGCTTAAAAAAAGAATTTTTTCAATTAAAAAATTTTTTAACAAAAAACTAACGTGGAATTTCATGTACATTTAAAAAATGTCCAACTCCATGCCCAACATTATGACCAAAATTATATCCATTAGACCAAAGCGGTAATCTTGTAATTCCATCAAACACAGCTGGAGACGTTTCTGACGGAAATTTAGTAGAAGCACAATCTATGTGTGAACGTAAAACGAGGGTAAACATTTGACAAAAATGTTGAGTTGGATTTTTTGAAAAACATATTGTTCTTGTTACGTCTGTTGTTCCATCACTAGAAAAAATTTTTTTAAATAAAAATTAAAAAAAAATTATACTTACTAATATTGACCACCAGAATCAAATAAATAAACACTTTCATTTTTGATAAATTTTTTATCATTATTCTCGTTAACATGATAATGTGGCAATGCTGCATTTTCATCTACAGCAGAGATTGTCTAAAATTAAAAAAAAAAATTTGGAAAAGGAAGAAAATTTAAAAAAAACCTCAAAACTAAGCGATACAAATTTATCCAATTGTTCTCTATAATAATTAATTTGACGTGCTGCCCTAATTTCATCAACCAAATGACCCAATGAAATTTCATTATTTATCCAATACAAAAATTTAATAAGAGCAGCAGAATCTCTAATCTTTAAAAATATTAAATTAAATAAATAAAAATTTATTTTACATGGCTATTTCTCATTCCATTCAATTCAACCAAATTTTTAATTGTTCTCATTTTGCTAACTGGAGAATCAGCCAGATAATAATATTTTTTATCAAAAAAATAACCAATTTCATAATTTATAGATTTTGAAAGCCAAATCTTAAAAAACAAATTGAGATCAAGGGTATAACCAGGATATGATTTCAAGGGACTAAAACGAGGTATGCTACATGGGCGTGCCGCGTTTCGCCCTTTTAGGTGTCAAATTACCTACTCACTGGCTCCACTAATTTTTATTAAAAAACCTTATGCATTTTTGTATTAAATTCATTTTTGCTTGTTTCATGATATTCCTTCAAAAAACTAACAACATTTTGATAATCAAATATTTCCACATTATTATTTTTCAAATAATTTGAAATTTCTGGAGTTATTTTACGCATATCAACAAATAAAAAAGTCTAAAAATTTTAAATTTATTTTTAAAAATTAAATTAACCTTATTAATTTCCATAATAATTGCATATGAATAAAAAACAGGAACATAAGGAATGTCCGATCCACGCAAATTGAATAACCCTTAAAAATTAATTTTTAAATACTTGAGGTTTTTCGAGACAAAAATACCCTTGACGAGCTTACGGGGAGGGACCAGGAGTGCACCAGAACAGAAACGAAAATTCGACCAGAGACGAAAAGGCACCCCTAGCAGGGACTATTTGTCACCTTCCAAAAATGTCAAACAAATTAAAAAAAACTTGCAAGCAATATCATCCAAACAACTCAGCAGAAGAGAATCACATTTCTGTTTTTTCATTTCTTCCCTTATTCTACCCAATTTTGAATTAATTTCTTCGCCGCATTCTTCAATTGGAAGGATAAATAATTTTTGTAACAATTCTGTTGGTCTGTCTATCCATAAAATATCAACCAAATTTTTAATGATTGGAGTACAAATAATTCCATAATTTTTTAATTTTTTGTTAAAATTTTTTGCTCTTTCTATAAGAAAATATTAAAAATCAAAAAATAATTTTTTTCAAACCAAAATTAAATAATTTTGGGTCAAAACCAATTTTAGAACCATTTTCTAAATTTTGGATAATCCAATCACTAGGCATAATAGAATCTGGCCCAGTCAATTTCATTAATGTCCATCCTTCGTAAAGTTCTGATTTTGCCTTTAAAGAATAATTTATTTTAAAATACGTTTATTAAAAAGTTGGCAATCCTTCGGGTTTTGTCCCCTAACAAAAATAAATTTGAATCTGAACTCAGATTTTTTAGCTGATTTTTTATCCGCCTGTCTGATGTGTGTACCTCATATCATGAGTTCAGAATCATGAAAAATTACCCTTAAAATGCGTTTAAGAATTTTTAACATTATTTTTGGTAGGGGCACGAAACCGCAGGACTGTCAAAAAAATTTTATTTTCAAACAAAATTTATTTCTGATAAGAAAAATAAATAACCTGAATATAATAACGTCCATCAGTCCATAAAAGTGCATTTTCCTTTGTAACAATAACCCATGCATTAGAACCAGAAAATCCGCTAATAAATTTTACACGTTGATCCCTTTCATTAATATATTCATTCTACAAAAAATAAATTTATTTAATTCCAACCCCAGCCCCACTACTCTTACATTATGTGCATCCGTTCTAGGCAAAATATAAGCATCAATATGTTCCTTTTGTCCCAAAATTTCTTCATTTTTAAATAAATCACGAAGTTTTTGAAGTAAATTATTTTTTTGAAAGACAATTTCTTCTTTTGATTCTTCAGTAGTTGTTGTTTTTATTTGCTGTGTTGGAGTTTCTGTTAAATCACCATTTAACTGGTGAGGATTTTCTGAAGAAGAAATAACAGAATTTTCATCCTTAATTGTAGTAGTTGCCATAATTAAGTCTTAAATTCTTTAGAAAAATATGACGATATTAAAAAACATTAAGAAACCTTTAAAACAAAAAATCCACGTTGTAAATTATAGTTGGAAAGTGGCGATTAAACGGGACAGGTGGACACTTAGACGCGGAAGGCCATTTAAACGCAGACCATTTAAGCGCAATTTCAAAGGCCATTTAAGCGCAGACTATTTATTCGCAAGGCACAAATGTAAATATAGGTTCTCGTTTATGCCCATTGTTGAACTTCTTTTTTAATTTTTTAAAGTTTTTCATTTAATTTGTAAAATTTTTCCTCATCCTTCAAAAAATAATTTAACATATTTTTTATTTTTCCACGATACAATTATATTTATTTTAGGTATTCGCTCACTTTCAAACAATTTTTAAGCATAATTTTGCACGCCCCTAAGGGAAATAAAAACTAGTAATAATAACTAAAAATAGTAATTTATCCGTACATTTATCCAAATTCGACCCATTTTTAATATCTCATATTTTTTTATTCAAAAAGAGAAATAATTTACTCTTCTCATATATTTATTCACTCAACTTACAGCTGGTAAAACTTAAAAATTACCAAAAATTGTGAGGGGTTTATTGATGGTTTTATATTTATTTTCTGTCATTTTTCTATTAGCAAATAATTCTGAGGGACTAAAAATAAAAATATATTTATTTTAAAAATAGAATTACAAAAAGCAGAGAGCAGATGCTAGGGGGAAAATATATACAAGAGTGCCATCCATTATATTTAAACCCCCTCTTTTACTTAAAAAGCAGCAGAAAAAATCGAACCTTTTCCCTCTAAATTAATCGAAATGCTTTTCTCTCCAAAATGTTGATATTTAATGCAAAACTTTTTTTTATTTCCCGTTATGCGCAATTAAATTTTGCTTTCGGAAAATTTTTTGTTTTAATTGCCCACCCCATTTATTCGCATTATGAGTAGGCCTATGGTTTTGCGTACAAAATCTAGGAGCCGTTGACTCCAGCGAGACGTGTGGCGCAGAACCCCGAGCACAAACCTTGAGTTTTGCAAAAGCGTCTCGCCGCCTCCAACTTTGACCATTTTTAGCTTGCGAATAAATGGGGTGTTTATTTTTAATTTTTCTTAATTTTAAATTTTTTTTAGTATTTTTACCATTAAATATTTTTTATTCTTCTAAAATTTTTATTATCTTCAATTTTTTTCAATAAAAATGATTAATTCTACTAATCTTCAAATATGCTTTACTTAATTTTTGGCAACAACTTTTTCCTCTGGAAATGTTTTAGAAGACGGAATAAATTAAATTTATTTTTATTTAATTATTACAAATTGTTATTTTTATTAGAATGTTTAAATGCACAAAAACAACAACAAAATTGTTTTGAAAAACAATACAAAAATTTACAAATTAATTTTGGTTCTCTACATATTATTAAACGAATTGGCATAGTTTGTTTGACTTGATTTTTTAAAAATTAAAAAAAAATTTTTTGAAGGTTTCGGCTCCAGATGCATTTTATTTGGCACATTATATAGATGAAGATATTGCTGAAAGGAGGATTAAAAATTATAAAATTGAGACGGGAGATGATAGGAATTTTTTAAAAATGTCAAATGGCGAAAAACATGTACGTATATTTTTTAAATTAAAAATAATTTGTCTGAAACCTAGGATTCGATGCATGGTATCCGAGTTTTTTCAGCTTTCAAACAGACCCAGGCCTGTATTTTCGTTTCAGAATCCGGCAACCTCGAGAAACCTTATTTTTATCAAAATACCCGGTTTCCTGTCTACCAGCCCCGGAACCTCCGATCCTGGCCTGACACACCTCTGGATATTTTCATCCAATATTAATTTCTAACAGAAAGTTTAGTTCCTCTTTTTAGGTAATTTATTCAAGTAATTCTGCACATAATTTGGAATGGTCACAACCTGAAATATTAGTCAACATAATTCATTTAATTTCAATTAATTTAAATAAAAATAAAACAATTCAACAACAACAACATTCCCCAATTATTTTTGTTAATGCCTGCAAAGCACAAAATTCAAAGCCATTTTCAATTAGCAATCCTTTTGCGGTTAATCCAATGCTTTTAGGAATTGCTTCTGCTGCTTATGAAAATGAATTGATTATTAATTTTAAAACTTTTGAAAATGGTTTATTTTTTTAAGTATTATTTTTTCATTCACTCTAGATGCCTTAATATAAGCCCTGAGCATCTATTTTTCACTAGATCATCTTGAGTTGACCTATATATTAGAAAGAAACTATTAGAGAGTGGGCTTCTATTTTTTGATGAGTCTCTTTGAATGGGCGTCTATTAGAAAGGGCTAATGTTAGAGCATTTACGGTAAATTGATCTTTTGGGTTAACCCATTTTTCAATTTAAAAATTTTAATTTTAGGTCTTTTATTTTATTCAATGGCTAATCATGGTGATCACTTAATCGTTCAGCTATCTTGTAATTTTTATTTTTTTTAAACTTATTATTTAAATTTTTAAGTTGGCCGTTTAGAAATATATTTTGATTTTGGTGCAAATCAAAGAAATGTACTTATTGAAGGATTGGCTTTAAATGATGGAGTAAATTTTTGAGAAAATATTCATTTTTTTAAATTATTTAGGAATGGCACGAGATGCGTTGGTAAGCAAAAGATTCTTTTTAATTTCAATATTTTCGGATAAAATTTCTCAAATTTTTTTTTAAATCTACAATTTTTTAAAATTATTAGTCTTTATATTAAGGTTACATCATTTTGATAGTGTAGAATTGTTTGTAGATTCAATTTTAATAAATACAACAGAAATTGGTGGCCTTTATCGCAAATTAGATTTAAATTCCGAAGTATGGACTAATTAATTTTTAAATTAAAAAGATTTGAATTTAGATAGAAATTTGTGGAAGAAATGAAGAATTTGTTGTTGAAAAGGTTTATTTATATATTTTTTAATTGTATTTTTTAAATTATCTAGATTAATGGATTAAATATAGAAAATGGATTTCATGGTTGTTTTGCTAGAATAATGCTAAATAATGTTGATTTATTATCCTCTGCGCCTGTAGAATTGAAAGAATGTAAAAGTAATGGTTTTATTTTTTTAATGATAAATAAAATATGGAACTCATGTAAGCTCGCGTTAAATGACATTGTTTATCGGAATCGTAGTATGGGATTTATGTCGAAATTTTGCCGAATATTCTAGTTACTTTCCCCATGGGCAAAATTTTACATTTGCCCCCATTAATTTTAAATTTAATTTTCTAGATCCCTCAACCACAACTTTTTTCTCTTGGATTATCTACTAGTCTACAAATTCCATATACATTTCTACCGTTTTCATTAGATTTTTATATAATTCCAAATTCTGGTCCTTTACTTACAATTTTGGATAATGAAAATTCTAGTCTTTTACAAATAAAAATTGAAGAAAAAGAAGAAATTGAACAAGAAGAAGAATTGTTACCAAATTATATAATTAGTATAAACACCGGATTTGAAGGAGATAAACCTAAAAGTATGTGAATTTTGAAAATTTTTAATTTAAAATTTTAGTTTTTTCAATTGGACCTCCAGGATGGCATTCTTTAGTATTAAAATTGCGAGCAGATTCATTAGATTTAGTTTTGAACAGTAAAACAATTTTTTGGGTACAAGGAAATCAGGCTAGGCAAATTGGTGCAGGTAAAGAAAAAATTTTTTCCATTTTTTTTTTTTGAAATTTTTAGGAATGCAAACATTTTTACTCTCAGCTTCTGGTTGTTATCGTTCTACAACAATTGACTTAAATCAAGTATTATATTTTTTATACTGATTTTTTTTTAATTTTATTTTTAGGGAATATTAATTGGAAATGAATACAAGCGAGATGAATGTTCTTTAATTCAAAAGTTTGTATTTTAAATAAGAAATATTTTAAAATTTTAATTTAAAGATGTTCACCAAATCCGTGTATGAATGGAGGAAAATGTATACAAAATAATTTTTATACATTTAATTGTAAATGTTCAAATAATTATAGTGGAAGATTTTGCCAAATTTGTTTAGTTTTTTTTAAATTTATTTTGGGATTTTTTTTCTTTATGCTAGCAATAAGGGGAAGTCCGCAGGTCAAACTAGTAAAAAAGTTTGGTCTCATTGTCAGACAGATCAGTTAAAGTGATTAAGAAGGAATTTCGGGTTTTTTGGGTCGAGGAAAAGTTCGTGGGTCAAGTCTCGATGGGTAGCCAGTGACATTCCTGCTGCGGACTTAAGGGGTATAAACGAAAATAAACTTTAATAATCTAGTTTATATACATATTTATAGCTAAATTACCATCTTCATGCGAACAATATTTTGCTTTAAATACTTCAAAAAATATTGCTAAAAGAATTAATAAACAATTATTAATGATTGACTTGGACGGCGGTGGTTCATTAAAACCCTTCAATGTTGAATGTAAAAAAATAAATAATTTAAAGAAAAAAGGAGGTTTTTTAAAAATTAGTTTATCCAAAAAAAAATTTTAAAGAAAAATCTCAAAAAGAAAATATTGAATACTTTACTATTTTAAATAATGATGCTCCAAAAACTGGAATTCAAGTACGGGGTAAAAAAATGTTTATTTTACAAATTTTTAAGATTAAAAAATAATTTTAACCAGGTATTTCTGAGCCTGGTTCTGTTCGTCATATTCTCAATTATGGATTAGATATGGATGAATTGGATAATTTTATTTCGTCGTTTGAACATTGTGAACAAAAAATGAGTTTTCAATGTTCCAACGATCAACGATTAATGACTTATTCTGGTGAAGATAATAAACGCCCATCTGTTTGGTATACAACACGTAATGGACAACAAGGTTTCTTTTCCTTTGTTAAAAATCATTAAAATATTTTTTGAGGTCTTCAATGGGGTGATGCTCCTCCTTTTTCTCGAATGTGTCCGTGTGCATTAAATGATTCTTGCTTATTAAAGTAAAAAAATTTTTTAAAGTGTTAAAATATAAAATTTTTTAAGCTTTAAATGTAATTGTGACAGTGGAGAAGCTTCTTTAGACGAAGGAATTAATTCCCATATTCAATTACTTCCAATTCTTCAATTATTTATTGGAGGGGGAACAAGCAGTCAATCCTTAGCAAATGTAAGCATTGGCCCTTTAGAATGTTCTGGAAGATGTAAATAAAAATTTCTTTAACTAAAAAAATTTAATAAAAGATATTTCTGAAACAATAACATTTACTGATAGAAATCAACGATTACTTACTTCATTAAATTTTAATAATGCTAGAACAGTTTATACTTCAATTCAGGTTTTTTTTTAATTTCTTTTTTCAAAAAACTATTTTTTTAAGATTAAATTAACACATCCAAGCCTTACTATATTTACTTTTACTTCAACAAATCAAGAACGTTGGTTTCAACTTTCTGTAAGAGATGGACATCTTGTTGGACAAATAGTTAATGCTGGATTAATAAATGAAATAATTAGTGATGTTCGTGTTGATGATAATCGGTAAATCTTTTTAAATAAAATTAAGCGTAGTACATCGGTTTATGCTCCCTTTTTTCCTTTCTATTTTTCTGACCACTTACATTGGTGGAAAAAGTTTTACTGAAAAAATTATTTTTTAAGGTGGCATTTAATATCATGGGAAATAGATGAACAAAAACAAATTTTACGTGTTGATTTAAAAGAAAAAATTTTGAAAGATTTTTTTATTTTACCAAAAACTTCAATTTTAATTATTGGTTCGCGTACTTATATTCCTGATCGTTCTGGTTTTGCTGGACAATTGAAGCATTTTATTTTAAATGGAGAATCTATTCGGTTGGGACAATTGGCAAAAAAAGTTTTGGGAAATGGAATTCAATTAGGTGAATGGGGGGCTTGTAATATCAAAGCAAATAATAATGGAAAATGTCAAAATGAAGGAATTTGTGTTGAATTATATGATGGATTTAAATGTATATTTTAACAAATTTTAATTAAAAAATATTTTTATTAAAAAGGTAATTGTTCTTTAACTCCATTTGCTGGTGATACATGTGAGGAAGGTTAATAAAAAAATTTTTTAAATTTTTTTCCTTATAACGAGGGTTGTTGGAGACCGGTTATTAACCACAATATTCACGAGTTTTCGGTTAATCTAAATTTTTAAAATCCGGTTTTCGTTTTTGAGTTTTAGTCGCCTACAACCATAAACTAAAAAAAATTTTTTCAATAGAAGTTGGTATGTGGTTATCTACTGGTTCAGAATTACGCATTGCTTGGCAACATCCTGGTCAAGTTAATAATTGTTTTAGAATTAATGTACAAACTTCAAATATTAATAATAATGGAATTATTAATTTAATAAGAGCGAATGCGTTATTTGCTGAATCTCGTTTCAATTTAAGTATTGATAAAGAAGGTAAAAAAAATTAAGTTTATTAAGAAAACAACTAATTTTTATTTTAGGTCATTTAAATGCGTTTATATTTGATGGGTAACTTTGAAAAAAATTTTTTAATAAAAATTTTTATTTTTTACAGATTTTTCTTCACACAAAATGTAACTTATGATAAAATTAGAATAACAGATAATAAAAACAAAGATATTCGTTTTTGTGCAAATTCAACAGGATTCTTTTTAAATGTATTAAATTTTTGTTAAGATTTAATTGAATTAATTAATTAAAGATAAATGGAGAAATTGCCTTTTCATTATTGGGAAATTTTACCTTCTTTTCTTTACTTAATGTTTGGAATTTTGCTGATAAACAAAAATTTAAAGGATGTATTTCACGTTTAATGATTGGTAATGCTTTTCCTTTGAAAAATCCGAAAGAATCAAGGCTTTTATATTCTGGAAAAATTAATTTTGGAAGTTGTCCTTTTGATAAAATGTAAGAAAATTTTTTGAAAATTTTTGGTACTCTTGTATTATAGTATATACCCCCATTTTTTATAGCCTCCAACAGCGTTAGTTTTTCGGATTTTACAAATTGTAAATATTTTATTAAATTCCGGAAAAGTTTTTACAATTTGTAAAATATTTTATTAAATTCCGGAAAAGTTTTTACAATTTGTAAAACATTTTATTAAATTCCGGAAAAGTTTTTACAATTTGTAAAACATTTTATTAAATTCCGGAAAAGTTTTTACAATTTGTAAAACATTTTATTAAATTCCGGAAAAGTTTTTACAATTTGTAAAACATTTTATTAAATTCCGGAAAAGTTTTTACAATTTTTAAAATATTCTATTTAATTCCGGAAAAGTTTTTACAATTTGTAAAACATTTTATTAAATTCCGGAAAAGTTTTTACAATTTGTAAAACATTTTATAAAATTCCGGAAAATTTTTACAATTTGTAAAACATTTTATTAAATTCCGGAAAAGTTTTTACAATTTGTAAAACATTTTATTAAATTCCGGAAAAGTTTTTACAATTTTTAAAATATTCTATTTAATTCCGGAAAAGTTTTTACAATTTGTAAAACATTTTATTAAATTCCGGAAAAGTTTTTACAATTTGTAAAACATTTTATTAAATTCCGGAAAAGTTTTTACAATTTTTAAAATATTCTAATTAATTCCGGAAAAGTTTTTACAATTTGTAAAACATTTTATTAAATTCCGGAAAAGTTTTTACAATTTGTAAAATATTCTATTTAATTCCGGAAAAGTTTTTACAATTTGTAAAACATTTTATTAAATTCCGGAAAAGTTTTTACAATTTGTAAAACATTTTATTAAATTCCGGAAAAGTTTTTACAATTTGTAAAATATATTATTAAATTCCGGAAAAGTTTTTACAATTTGTAAAATATATTATTAAATTCCGGAAAAGTTTTTACAATTTATAAAACATTTTATTAAATTCCGGAAAAGCTTTACAATTTATAAAAACCGAAAAACTGAAGCTGTATATCTTTCGCTTTTTTATAAAAGTATCTAATCCTTGCCATTAATCCTTTGACCATTTTGTAATCCTAAAGAGAAAATAGAAAAGAAGGCAAAGAGGAGAGAAGAAGGAAATGAGGGTTATAAAAAATGGGGGCATATACCACAAGAGTACCAAATTTTTTAAATTAAAAATTTTTTTTCAAGCGAACAACACAGAAATGAACAACAAAAAATAAACTCATTAAATTCCGACGACTATTATAACGAAATCCATTTATCAAGTTTTGTTAAAAGTCAAAAGAAATTATTGTTTATAACACGTAATTTTTAAAATTTTATTTTATATTCAAAAAATTATTTTTTCAGCAATTATTGGCCTTTTAAGTGCTTTATTTATTCTTTTAACACTTTTTATTTTTCTTGTTTATATTCAAAGAAGGCCTGATGGAGTTTACAAAACTAATGAAAATAATAGCAATTTTATACCTGTTCCACCTCTAATTCCAATTTTATCAAATAATTATGAAGCAGAAAAAAATACCTCAAAGAAGTATAATAACAAGGAAACTAAATTTGCAGAATGTGAATCATTAAATGATGCTCCTCAACCTCAAGAATTCTTTTGTTGAAAAATAGGTAGATATAAGTTGTTAATAATTTTATTGTTTTTGTAGAAAAGATTATTGAATTTCATACCCCTTTTTTCCCTTCCTTAAACTACTAAAATGGTCAAACTTAAAATATGCTACAAACCTTACGAAAAGTACCCAGCTCCATTTTTTAGAACCTATGGTCCGGTATTGTTAACATAGGGATGTCAGATTTTGTGGTAGGTTTTTATCGCCATCGAGGAAGGAATGAAAAAAGAGGGTATGAAATTCAATTTTACTAAAAAAAAGGATATAATTTTTTTTAAATATTTATTTGAATTAAATTTGTAAAAGATCACTGAATATAAAATAAAAAATTATTATTATTAAATTTATTTACATATTATACATAAGATTAAAAAAATGAAACCTTTTAAAATTTTCCAAAAAAACATTTTTTAAACATTTGTATGTTTACCAGAAACATTCTTTTCTTCATTTCTTCCTTTGCTTCTGACTGAAGAAGGATTTGTGGTTGTTGTTGTTGTTTTTCCTTCTGCTAATCTCCTCTCTTGTACATCAGAAGATGAACGTCCACCTACTGTTCGAGCAGTTGTCATTGCTTTTGTTCGTGTTTTAGTTGGAGATTGTTGGGCTTTTGGGGAACGTGAATTTAAAGGGGCCTTAATTAAAATTGAGAAAAAATTTTCTTAAAAAATATTTATACCGCTGTTGTAGCAACTTTTCTTCTGCTTGCAACTGGAGAGGCAATTGACGCAATTGTACTGGTAACAACTGCACTTATTGTGCTGTTTCTATTGTTTTGTTGTTTTAAGGAAGACGAAGGCGTTGTATTGTTATTCTTTAAGTCAAAAATAAATAGGTAAAATAGTTTGAATTATCCAGGGATTTCCCAGGACCGTCAAGATTGAGGACTTTCTTCCTATTTCCTCCAGGCAAGTCTTCCCCCAAAATCATAAAATTTACAAAAGTTGTAGAAGCAGAAACTCTTCTAATTGGACAAACAGGAACAGGTAGATGACTGTCATTTAATGCTTCATTACCAGAATTTTTTCTTTGGGTTGCTATAGGAGTAGAAAGAGGTGTTGCAGAGGCGGAACAACTAATACCACCTTCGCCCCCTCCTCCAACAGCGAATCGTTCCAACGAGGCTATTGTAGAGCGAATTGCTGTTATTTGTCTTCTCTAAAAAATAATTTAAAATTAAATAAACTTTGAAAAAATAAAAAAAAACCTCTTCCAAATGTCCATATTTAATACGTTCAATCATAAAGGCAATAATAAGAGCCCATGCCTTAAATTAAAAAAATTTGTTTTTAAAATTTTTAAAATTTAATTTTAAAACCTTTCGGACAGTTTCGCTGCGAGCTCTTAATTAAAATTCAAAATAAATTTTCAGAATTTCTAAAAAAATTTACCGTCTATCCCCCCATTCAAGAGTACAGTCAATAAAAGTTTCGGCGACAGAATTCCAAATTTTGCCTATAAAAATATTTTTAAAAATAATTTAAATTTATGTAATTACTTGATAATTGACCACCAGATATGCGTGCATGAGCTCGTCCTTTAAATAAAAATTTTTTTAATTTTTATTTTAAATTATAATTTTTACCTATACGTTCAAGCATTGCACTAACATTTTCCAAATCATCCAAGCTTTCAACTACCTATTAAATAAAAATAGTAATATGGTTCCTGCCTTAAAGCTCTCAAGTTATCAACCCTGAGTCCCCCAAATCCGTCCAAATACGAGTTGACCTCCAGGGTCAGTTGACTACTAGGGAGTTGACCCGACCCACCCAAAAGGAGACATTTAAAAAAAATAAAACTGCCTGATCAACAAGCTCAGAAATATGCCGACAATGTGCCTTTGAAAAACTATCGTGATTAACATATTGATGAGGAAGGGGACACTTAAAAAAATAAAATTAAAAATATTAAAAAATTCTTCTCTTACTCTTCTAAACTGCTCACGAATTTGAGGCTCTTTAAAGAATAACCGATGACTTATTTGAGAACCAATAACAGTTGGGCCTTTGCTAAGGTAAACCTTTAAAATATTATTTTTAAAATTTATTTTTTTAATTTAAAAAATAACCTGACGCCACAAAGAGCGAATTAAATGAATTTGTGCAGGTGTTAATGGAATTAGTGTTGTCCTGAAAAAATATTTTTATTTAATTTGAAAAAGAAAATAAATAAATATACGATGTACGTCGACCACTTGCTTGATGGATTACCTAAAAAACAAAAAGACATTTTTTAATTGTTTGGCAATTGTTGATGTGATTGGGCGTTTGGGAAGAAAAATACGCAAATAAACTGACTGAAAAGCAAAGTCTTATAGAGCATGGACGTTAATAACCTATTGTCAACTTTTGGCTTTTTTGGCCCTAACCCCGAAATTAAAATTTTATAGGCTTCAAAGTTATCGAATTTTGGAGCGGAGAAAACTGGAAAAAGGGGGAAAAGTCCACAAAGACGGGAGCCACGAAAATATTTTTATAAAATTAAGCAAAAAATACATCTAAATTGCTTTGTCTTCTCTGAGCCAAAGTTAATTCCTTTCTATCCATTTCAGAAAGTGCTCGTTTCAATTCCTCCTCACATTCAGGAGCAACACCAATCCCTCCAAACATTTGAGGTAAAAGTGGAGGTAATATAGTAGAAACAACAGAATTGTTTACTTCTGGTTTTTGTTGTTGGCTATTTTGTTGTTGTTGTTGATTATTTGATTCCTTTTCTAATAATTCGACAGGTTCAGCAGTTGATGAACGATCAGCTGAACAGATGGATACCTTAAAATAAATTTTTTTAATAAAAGAAATTTTTTCCTTTAATTTATTTGTTCTTCTACGTATTAACAAATAAAACAAATATTTATTTGTCCAATTTATTTGTCAATTCTCACACATCAATTAAAAAAATATTAAATTTCTTCAAATATTTTCGCATTCTTTTTTCAATATAATACATACCTACATATTATTTATAAATACTTTTGTAAAGAATTTTAATAAAAAAGAAATGCTAAAGGTTAGCAAAAATTCAAGGATACGCACTTGGGGACCGGAACACGCCTAATACCAAACGACAAAATTTTAAAGAGCGGATGTGGAAAGGTCCTAGGAAGTGAAAGGTTTTTAACAATCCACATTGTTTCTGTGCATCTTTTGTGAGGTGGTATTGGGATTTTGGTATTGGGACAATATTGCCTTAACGGACTGATATTTTTGGACTCAGAATTTATTTTTAAATTAAAAGAAAATATCAAAACCTGAGGTATAACAAATCTTAATTGCCGCCTGCTTACTTTAATTGACCCAGGTTCCGAGCCTTGCATCACTGGTGGAGAATCGTTTTGCCCTTCATTATTATTAGAATCATCAGGCAACAATTCCGAAGTTGTTGGAGTTAATTTAGTCAAAATTTGTTGAGATTTTGAACGTTGAATTGACAATTGTTGTTGCCTATTTTTTATTTTTTGTTGTTGTTCTTCTTCTTTATTTGATTGTTCAATTATATTAACACTTCCAACAAGAGGGGAAAAATCTCCACTATAACGATTTTTCTTGTTAACATTAATTTTTGCAGTGACGGATTTTCTTTCGGGTTGGGGGGAGGTTGATGGAGGGGATAAATGTGTTGGTTGTTGGACAACAGTAAAATAAATAGATTCCCGTTGATGATGTGGCCCAGTCCCTGAAGTTGACAAGGAAGATTGGGGTCGTTGTAATTGATAAATTGAGTCATTAATTGTTGATGAAGTTGTTAAACGACTTTAAAAAATAAATAAATTTTACAATTTCTCAAAAGAGAAAATCTTGCTCGTATATTCAACCCCCCTCGAAAAAAACCGAAATGTTGATTGGTCATTACTTGGCCCAAAGTCAGTTTACAAGAAAACGGATATCAATTCGCAATAGGAAGTCGGGGTCCTCTATCTATTGTTTTTTCAGCAGAAATGATGTTCCCCATTTCAACAGGGCCTAGTATTTTTTAAAAATTTTTCTCACTTTGAAATTTCATCATCAGCATCAAATGCCGCTTCCTCTTCTTCAGTTTCCCCCTCAAATCGGACTCTAGAGCAACCATTCTCTGAAGCAATTTGTCTCCGTAAATAAGCTCGTGCCTCTGATGCTGTTGCAAACCTTTTTTCTTCTTCCTCTTTTTGTTTTTTATTATTTTTGTTTTCTAATATTCCGTGTAAAGGTGATGGCATTTCATTTTCTTTTCGTGTTAAATCATCCCGTTCAGTATTTAATAATGTTTGGTCAGTAGGTGATGCTGTTGCAGAAAAATAATCAAAGGAAGAACAACGACCCTTAAAAATAAATAAATTCTTTAATATAAAATTAGAGTTCGAACCCAGGGTCCCTGGAAACCGTCTATTTTGATAAATCCGATTTTTCGGATCTTCCGGGGTTTCATGATTTTAGCCTGGAAGACTCGGCCTGGGTCAGCCTAAAGGAAGAAAACCCCCGGATACCGGGCCCGGCATTTTGAAAAGTTCGCATTCTAACAAAATATAAATAAAAATTACCTGTGAAAGAGCATCAATATCTTCTGAACGTTGATATTGTAAAGTTTGTTTTTGTTGACGGTTCTTCTCCTCCATTCTATTCTCTTCATTTAACAATTGTGGCCTCAAAACTTTGATATCTTCATCATTATTTTGTTCATTCCTTTCTCTTTCATTTAATCGTTTTTCTTGGTTTATTACACTTTTTGAACTTAATCTTTGACGGATTCTCTAAAATTTTAGAGGAATTTTTTGATGAAAAGAAATTTCAAAACCTGAAGGAATCCAGGCCTTTTTGATTGAGACATTTCATTGGCAGATTTTGATTTTTTATCTAATCCAGAACTTCCATCCTTGTAGGGGTCGGGAATGTCCTCAGTTGTTGCTGCTTCATTACCTCGCTTCTTTTTGACACTTTGAGGTTTTCGATGTTTTACTGATGATGACAAGAAGGAAGGTTTAATTCTCTAAAATTTGTTTTTAAAAATCTTTTGAAATGCTTTTGGAAAAGAATATTAGTTCATAACAGGCATGTTACGGGTTACTCGAAACCCTATCCGAAGAAAATTTTTAAATACCGATCAAAACCGCAACTTTTTCCCTCGTAATCCCCTAACTGCCCTAAACTCAGACTTTTTTCGATTCGAAACCCTATCCGAAGAAAATTTTAAAACACCACCCGACCTCGTAACTTCCCTGATTTACCCATAAATTTGCAAAAAAAATTTGCTTACATTTTTTGTTATTTTAGAGTTAACATCATCATCTTCACCGTATTCCAACCTATTATTATTTATATTATGGCTTGAAACTCTTTCAGAATTTTTATTACGGTGACGAATTGAGTCATTATTTGAATTAATAGTTCCATTCCTAAATAAAAATAAAATTTTTTTTAAATTAAAATTTAAAAAATTACTTTCCCAAAGCTGACAAATTTGCAGGAGACGAAGTTGAGGCAATGGCAACTTTGTCAAAATGTTCAACAAATCCAATATCTCCTCCACTATTCCTTCCCCCATTTTTATTGTATTTGGAGTTTTTTAATTTTTCTGAACTTTTCCAACGTTTACTAGACAAACGATGATGATGCTCATAATCATTGGATATCTTCTCTCCTCGAAGCCAGTCAAAAAATTTATGCATTAATTGATAAAATAATAAGGGAAATAATCTAAAAATAAAATTTTTCTTTAAATTTCAATAGAGGAATTTTGTCGAAACATTCCAGACAAAAATTTAAATTATATACAGTTTTTGGAATTAAAAAATTATTAAGTAGTAAAAAGCAAAAAAGAAATGCCTTCATGCAAATATCTCGGAGGTATTTTTAAAAAACAGAAACTAAAAGGAAACCTGTAGAAAAACGAATGGGGGAAAACCTCCGCGCGCTCATTTACCAAAGGAAAAAATCCTTTAGCTAAAAATCCTAAAAAATATTTTTTTCTGACTTTTCTTTAATAAATATTTATCAAATAATATTATTATTTTTCTTTAGCTTGCTCGTTTTGGTCTTGTTTAAAAAAACGCAAAGCGGCTTAAACTATATAAAGGCTTAGTTTAAAGGCTTTGATGTAGAAAGAAGAGTAAGGGAAATATGAAAAGCGGAAGAAAAAAGAAGCTTTAGACTTATAGTTTTTTTATTACTATCATCATCATCTTAAATTATTTTTCATCAGCTGCCACAACAAATTCAAAGGATATATCGACTGAAGGGATGATATTCTAAATAGAAAATATTATCCCCCTTCTCTCCCTTTTCCTTTTTGCCACAGTTTAAAGATGATTTTCTCATAAGAGGTGATTATTTTAAAAAAAGTTTGGTCATCAAAAAAAGTATTTTTTTGTCTTTCTCAAAGTTTAAAAAGAAAAAAAACTGTCAATCTAAGGCTAAAAGATGATGAATGAAAAAATGAAATTTGATAAATAATCTATACCATTTTAGAAATAAAATTAAACTTTGAACAAAAAAATACTTGAATGTTAAGCTTGAGAAAATTGAATTGCAAAAATAATCTTGGGGGTTTAGGCCTGGGAACGGGACTTTCGAAAGATTCAAGAATGTTAAGAATCAAACAATGTTGAGAACGCGTTTCCGTATAGGTTTGAAATGACATAGGGGAATAGGGGAGGATTTATTGTATCCGATTTCACGGATTGAGAAAAGAAAGTCGGCTATTGGGTTTCGGGTCAAAAAAGTCCAAGTTTCAGATGTCGGATAACCCATGACATCCCTTATTTAAATTAAAGATGACCGCGATTTCTGAAAAACCTTGACCTACACATATAACGTGATTAATAAAAATAATGGTATAAAAAATAAAAATTTCAAAAAACCCGTAAAATTATACACAAAATAAATTTAAGTTTCGAAATAAAAAAAAGGAGGGTTAAAGTAAAGATTTATCAATTTCTATTCAATAAAATATAGCTCAATTCACACACGCATTTAGATTCTTCCGTTTTTTGATACGTCAAATAGCTGACAAAAAATAGTTTTTATTTTTAAACAACTGTCATCATTCGAAACAAATAAAAAAAAGTTTAGTGAAATTTTCTATAAATAATTAATATTTTAATGTTTTTGGGATTTAAAAAAATTCTAAATCAGTTTTAAAAGCATAAAGGTGAGTAAAACAAGTGGCAATAATGGAAAGTAAAGTTAATAAATTTCAAAAAATAATTATTATAAATTACTAAGAGGGGTTGACAATACTTAGGAAAAAAGATAAAATACAAATTTAAAGCTTCAGATTGAGATAAAAATGATTCAAATCAGTTAAGAGTTTACAAAAGTTGGAGTTCACCCTTGGACTCGGGTTACGGTAGAAAAATGGCTCAGGACCTGTGAGACTCAACCGGTCGAGACTCAATCGTCTTTTCTTGTGTTACGACGATTGGTCAGCGAGACAATTGGCCGGGAGACAATTGGACATTGGGAAATTAGACAGTTAATGTGGTTAAGTGGATTTTATTTGAAGATTAACAAACTTTTAGAGTGGGGTTCGAATCTTGTTGTTGTTATTTTAGAAAGTTATCGTTCTGTTTTATTTTTTTTCTTATAAACTCTTATTCAAATTAAATTTAAAAGATAATTTTTTAATTTTCAGTCGTAACAAATGTTAACAATAGGATCGTCATTTAGTGATTTACACGAAAATGTTTATGATGCCACATGTAGTAAAAACATTGTTTGTAGCGGACTTTTCTTTGATCCACTTTCTGAGCGAGTAATTTTTATTTAATTTATTTTTTATTAAATTTTTTAGTGTTGTGCAGTACAAAATGAGGAAAACGAAACAATTTTTCGATTGTGCTCTTTGGACACATCAATTCCAGATTTAATTTTTCGGTTTGAATTTTTGTTATACCTATTTTAATTTTATATATTTAAGTTCTCGGAGACGAAATCAAATTCGTTCCATTTGTTTTTCATCTGATTTTAATGCAGCTATTGTTCAACAGGATGATGCCATATTGGTATTTGTTTTTTACTAAATATTTAAAAAATTTTCAAATTTCCTATTAAATGTCCGTTTAAATGTCTTCATTTTTACTAGAGATCGGAACTTTAAAAAACCTTGCCCGTAACTCCTGATTTTGGTTGAGGACCTTTTCTAGATTCTTGACAATGGGCTAAGGAAAAAGGTCTTGGTTTAGACCCAGACCGATCTCTACTATTTTCTTAACCAACTCGTCTTTCTTCTAACAATAAGTTAAAATTTTCAGGATTTTTTAATTTTGACCAATGGCAATGTCTCTGCCGAATTTCAACAACCACCCAAATTCTTTAAAGATGCCTCATTTATTATTGGCTTTAATTGGTTAGCAGATAGGCAATTAGCAATAATAACATATGCTGGTGTTGAATTTTGTTCATTAAATGTACATAGAAAGTCTTTGAAATTACTCAAAAGTTTTGCCCATTCAACTAGCTGGTTTATTTGTTTTGTAAATTCTATTTTTACCAATTAAATAAAAATTTTTATTTTCAGCCTGATTCTAAACTATTTTTATTCGCTTGTGGTGCTGCCACCAATTTTTTGCATTTAATTAGTTTCCAAGTAAATTATTAAAATTTCAAATTTTTGTTAAAATTTTCTCTTTAGAATAATACAATTTCAAATATTGGATCAATTAATGTTGATTTTGGGTATTCGGCGTTTAAACCAAGACTTTTGGAGAGAGATGTTTGCATTTCATCCATGTATTTTTTAAATTTCTCTTAAAAAAAATTTTTTTTTAAGTTATGGACATATTTGTATTTTAATATTAAAATTCGATTCTTCTAATGGATTTGCTACAGGTCTAAATATTTTTGAATTTCCTGATGAAAAACAACCTTTCTCATCTTTACCAATATTTAAATATTTAATTAAATTTGAATTATTTGGATTAGTTGGTGTTCAAATTGTTGACAATCTGATTCTAATTCATCATAAGGTTTTTAATTTTATTTAACGAAGGATGATAGTAACGAATTGTCACTGTTTTTTCACCATTGTGTAGAGCAAAGTCGATTTACTATACCCAATTTTTAGACTTTTTTGGTTCTGTCCCATGAAACAAAAAGTTATGGGACTCCAGAGCTATGGTTGTCTATAGAATCGACTTGCTCTTCACGATGTGCTAAAAAAATTGCGAAATTTTTGGTGACAGTTCGTCATTGTCTCTTGTAAACATTTTTAAAATTATTTTTTTTTCAAAGAATGTTCACAAAACTTTAATTTTTGATATTAAAATGAACACTAATCAATTTATTTATTGCTCTTCTTTACAAATTAATGAAAATCTTGTCAAATGTTTAAAAGAACGAAAGGACAAAATTGAGAATATTTCTAACGAAAATAATTCTATTAATTCATTTTTGTATAATTCTGCTTGGAAAATGATTCAAAATAAAGGTTTTATAATTGATATGCAATTTGGAATTTTTACTCAAATTAAATTAAATTTGAATAAGGCGGTGGATGAAATGAAAGATTTGGTATTTACTTTTAATATTTTTTTTCAATAATTTTTAAAGGAAAATATTATCCAATTTTTGATTAATAGAAGCAATTCTGAATCTGTTTTACTCGATTTATTAAAACGTATAATTCTCAAAAAAGAAATTAATTTTGGCAAAGTTACTCAAATTATAAGAAAAATTCTTTATAATCCAGAAATAAATAATGAAAACAACAGTTCTCCACAGAAAGGTTTGAATTTATAAAATATTTTCGAAAAATATTAAGGAGAATTTCAACAGGAAAATCTTCTTTAATATTTAATTATACTCCAAATTTGGTTAGTCACAATAGTATTTTACGTTGTATTTTTGAGCCACTTTATCAACATCCAGAAGTAGATAAAAAATATTTGGCTAATTTAATGATTGATTTCTTTTTAATTTTAAAACAACGAAAAATACAAATTCAAGTAAATTTTAATTTTTTTAATTTAAAAATTATCTTTATTTTATAGAATCATTATTTACCTGAATTATTACTTAAAATTGTGGCTGATGCTAAAATGTGGACTTGTTTACAACAATTACTTCAATATAGAGTTATTGATGATTCGAAATTTTTGGTATATTAATATTTTTATAAAATTTTCTGAATTCTTTTTTGAAATTTTTAAAATATTAAAAAATATTTTCCAGGCTTTTGAACTTATTTCTTTATCCGATGAATGCCCATCACTTTATCAAATAGCTTTGGATATGTTTAATCGTCGTGGTAATACTGACCAAATTTCTGAAGCACTTCTTTGTCGAGGCCATGGTTTTTTTGTAAATATTAGATGACAATAATTATTTTGTTTTTTAGTTATTGATGCTCTTCGTTTTACAACAGCAAATGGAGGAGGAGGATTTAAAGAAGGTGGAACAACAATATGCAATGAAGGAAGTGGAAGTCAACGATTAGATAAAATTTGTCTTAAATTATTAAATTCTGCATGGATTTGTCCAAATGATCGTCCTCTTCGTTATACTATTTATTCTTATTTACAAACTAATGGAAAACTTAAATCTTTGGCTGAATCTGATGGTATTTTTTGATTTAAAATAAATTTAATTTTTAAAAATAGATGCAGATTTTGAACGTTTTTCACGTGATTTCCACTCATTGTATAGTTCTGAAGAATTAAAAGAAGCAGAAACAAGTTTCCGACTTGCTCGACTTTCTTCAATACGTGGACGGAATCGACGGGATTCACAACGAGAAGAATCTTTTTGTTCAGCCAATAGTGGAGATGCTGACATTTTGGAATAATTGAGGTAGATTTTTAATATTTATTTGTAAATACATACATATGTAAATAAGATTTTGGGGGAAAATTCTTTATTAAGTAAGAATCAAAAAATTTTTCTGTTCATTAATTAAAACGAAAAAATGTTAGACAGTAGTTGAGGTGAAAAAAGAAGCAATTGGTCGATTTATCAACATTTGTTTAATAGTTTTGCTATCCAATTGAAGCTGTTTTTGTTGTTGAAATTGATTTATAGGAAGAGAATTTTTTGGAATATTAAATTTATTAGGTTGTTGTTTGTGATTTGAATCTATTTGTTGTTGTTGATTACCAAATGTTTTTGTGTGGCCTTTCCTTCTTCGTCTTTGTTCTTTTATCATTTGTCGCATTGTATTTTGTCCATCATCGTCTGTGGTTGTGCTTAAAGCGCTTGATTGATGGCGTTCTCGTAAAGCAGAACGTTCACGTCTTTCTTTTATAATAGCTGAATTATTAGAACTGCGCATTGGTCTTCTTGTCACGTATCGAGTACCATCGGGACGACGTTTTATCTGAATTGTAATCGAGTTTATGATGGAAAGAGTGTTATTTTATACTTACCACCCATTCTAATTCTTGTTGTTTAGCTTTGGGTGATTTTGATTTTCTTGGTGATTTGGACATTTTTCTTGTAAATTTAGTAGGGGATTTTGATTTTCTAGTAGTCTTTTTTGTTAAAGGAACTTTATTTTGGGTTTCCTGTCGCACTGTATTTTGCTTGGGTAATTGTTGAGCAAAACTTTGGCTAAAGGTTGAAGCATTATTTTCGTTTGAGGATGATTTTGTTGAAATTAATTGATGAGAATTTGTTGGCTTTATTTGCAAAATTTCATTATTAATTAAAGTTTTATTCTCATTTGTGTTCAAATGTTTAATTTGTGAATTTAATTGAGGAGTTGAACAAGTTGAATTATTCACTAATTTTGTTGTTCTAATGAAAGGATTTTTTATTATAGGCATTTCCATTATTGGTTGTTTTTGTTTTATTTTTTTAGTCTCAGTTTTTGTATTTTGTTCTGATTGTGTTATTCCTTGTTTATTTTCTAAAGTTAATTCTTGTCGCAAAATTCTTTGTTGAGTAGCCAATGTTTCAGCTAATCGGTCAGCCTTAAAAAATTAATGTTAACACTAAACTGCTAAAATTATTTAAAAAATCAAAAACCGATGTGTAGAAGTGAGGTTTAGCAGCATTTATTAAAGTGGATTGTGACGAATTTATTGGTGGTTTATCTGAAGCATATCTTTAGAAAAAATAATTTTTAATTAAACATTTTTTCCTTTTATTTTTACCTTACACTCTTTACTTGCTTTGGTTTCTCTCTGCCTTGATGTTGTATTTCAGCTGATGGTGATTCTTGACCTGTATCTTCTGTTGTTGTACCTCCACCCGTTCCATATGCACTTGTTGATATTGGAGAAGGTGGACAACAATTTTGTTTGGTTTGTTTTGGACAAAAAAATATTTGTTTAACTTTATTACAAGTCGGTGGAAGTTGGTTAGTTTTGTGCAATATTGGCAGTACTTTTATTGTTTCTGGACATTTTTCTCGTGATTTTACTTCTTCAAAATATTTTTTATTATCATTATTTTGTAGATTTATCCTTTTAATTTGCTCGTTCAATTCTAACCATTGTTCAGCATTTAATAATTTATATTTTTGTAATATTTGTGAATTATTATTTTCTAATTTTGAATTGAGAGTAGAAGAGTTTGAGGAGGTCGAAGGAATTTCATTCTTGTTTTTTGAATTATTTCGATGCATAAATATTGCTAATAATAAATAAACTAAATATATTATCTTCTAACATTAAAAATAAATTTTTAATTCTTTCAAATTCTTCTTGGCTTTTTAGATATTTTTATTAAAGTCAGTTGTCGTGATATATACTTTTATATAAATCTATATATTTTTCTGGGTTGGCTAGTCTTTTTTTATGTTTTTAAGATAGAATACGCTTTTTTTACACTTCTTAAAACCCCATAGATCCAATTTAAACCATTTTGGATTTACAAAAATTAGAAAAATATATTAATTTTTATTCAAGTTCAATTCTCTCAATAAATTTTATTTTTTAAATTAATATCTAATTTTTCTTAATTTTGCCTCATTGACTCAATATTTGCTAGTTTTTGACGCTTCTCTTCACGTCGTTTAGAAGCACGCATAGCACCTTCACTTGCAAGTGTGTTGTTATCGAGTGCTGGATCTCCATAATTTGTCCCCCAACTTTCAATTAAACACTCATCCTGTCCACGAGCAATTTTAAAGTAGCCATTCTCTCCCCATTGATCTCCCCAAGAGTTTGCAATCTTTTTTAATATTAAAATTTTATAAATAAATTTTTGAACATTACCAGCCAGTAAGGTGTATCGGTTTTATTATGGTGGCCCCAGCCAAGAATACGTACTGAATAAAAAATTATATCAAAATATATTTAATCTTTTCAATACTTGCATGTCCTCCAGCCATATCTTCACCTTCACCAGCTTCATAAACACCTTCGCTGTAGGAGAAGAAATCATAATAAACAATCTATTTATAATTAGCATGTTTTAAATATTTATTTTAAAAATATTTACAAAATTAGCCTCGACAGGTCCTCCTTCAATAATTGCTTTCATTATATCAGTCTCGTCAGAATCTTGTAGATTCACAGGTTCTTGTCCTAAAAAATTTTTTTATTTAAAAATATTTTTATTTTTAAATTTACCGTAATGTTTGTCTTTGTTATATTTTGTTTTATATTTACGGTTTTCACAGCGGCGTTTACATCTAATAAATAAAATAAATTATACATCAAATTTATTTTTAAATATAACCTTGGTGTAGAATACATATACTCATCAGGATTGGGAGGAAATGGATATGGTTTGCATCCTTCATGATCTGAATAACCAGATCCTGTGCAAACACCTTTTTCTTGCCAAAACTTGAAAGCTTCTTCGGGATAACCACCATAACAACTTCAATATAAATTATTTAAACTTCCGTTATTTAAAAAATGATATTACCCAGAACTTGTTTTTTCACAAGATAAAATATCTTCAGAAGATATATTTACTTTAAGTTCACCACCAGTAGATATACAAATTCTGTCTTGCATCACAGAGGCAGAGGAGACTGCCCAACAGCTTCCACAAGCAGATTGATCCTTTTTAAATTTTTTTAAATTTTAAAAATATTCATTTACTTGTATAGTATCTATAACATCTTTACATTCGGGCCATTCGGTTCTAGCGTCAAATTCCTTATATTCTTCTAATAATTTGTTATTTTCAGTACTTCTTTTATTTCTTTTCAATAATTTAAGCTGTTCATTTCTTTTTAGTTTTTGTTCTTCGTCAATAGTTGGTTTGACACCGAGAAATTTGTTTAATTCTGCTGGGGTTTTGTCTGCGAATTTTGAATGCACTTTAGCCTTAAATATAAAAACTTGGCCTCTAATATCTTAATATTCTACTAACCTTCCATTTTTTGTTACTTTTATTAATTTCTTCAACTTGAGCAGCCGTAACCATTTTTAATTTACTTCTTAAAAATTTCTTACTTCCAGGCAGCTCTTCATTATTTTTTGGATTTTCACCAATTTGTTGTTTTTTCTCATTAATATTTTCCAAACTAATTTTTTTCGGCAAGACATCTTTCTTCTCATTTAAATCCGAGGCAAGAATAATTGTAAAACAAATTGATATTAAACAGACAAAAATAATTGGACGAATTGAACCCATTCTAAAAAAACTTAAATTGATATAGTTAAACATTTTTAAAAGAATAATTAGGAGAGCTTAGACATGCTGGAGTATTAAATAATGTCAGACTTGATCCTAGGCCGCCGACTGGGGTGTTGGCTTTTATTTAAACTATCTACTGCTAGATTGGGAAGATACATTGCCTGCTTCTGACCATTTTTCAAAATTGATTTCTGGCTCTGGAACTAGCTAACGGGATCAATCCTAATAGTGCTTGTTATTAATGTCTAAAACTGAAGCAAATGTATACTAATAATAACTCCTTTATATATATTCTGATGTTTTTTTAATTTTTTATTTACTGATAATTAACTACATAAAATATTAAGAATGCGGATTTGGGTGTGCCTTTTTAAAAAATATTTTTTATAAATTTAAAGGTTAAGGAATTCTATTTGATAATTTGAGAAGATTATTTAATTGATAAAAGATAGCATGATTTTTTAAACATTTTAGAAATTATATTGCCTTTTTGGTTGCAACAAGAGGAACCACACCCAAATTATTTTTTAAATTAAATCCATAAAAAATGATAAAAATTAAAAGGGAGTATAATTTGACGTTATTTAAATTATTAAACAAAAAATATTTTAACTGCAAATGTTGATAACTTACTATTAATTTTTTTTAATTTCAAAATCTTTAAAAAAGTTCAATTTTCTAATTTAACTACGAAATTTGCTGTTTTTCTTATAGTTAAAAGATTTGAATTTTAATGGATAACACATCAGTCCTGTCAGTTATAGATCCATGTTCGATGCCAGCCACCGAATACCTTTGCCTTATCTTAAGTAGAAATAGCTATAGCCTGTTTTATTATACTACTATTTACTTTAATCAGCAGATAAACCATAGCTAATTTGTAAATTTTTTCCGCCATTTCCGATAATTTATTTTTTAATTTTTTAAAATTTAATTATTAATTATTTAATTTTAAAAAAATAAAATTTTAAAATTAATTCCCTAGAAATTAATATTTATTTACTCAATTTAATTTTTTCTTCTTCTTGCTTCTTCATCAACTATTTTTAATTCCCGAAATAGATTTAGTAAAATAATGCAAAAGATGATGGACCTGCGGAGAAGATCATAGTTAGTGAATAGAAAATGGACTAATGTAAAGGATCGAAAATGATGGACAGATCGAATGTTGAAAGTTTTTTAAAAAATACAATTATTTAAGACGAAAATATTTAGGAAAAAAAAAGAATATAAAGTTATTTTGCAGTAGCTGAGATGTTGGTCAAAAAAAGTTAAATCGAGGTAGAAAGATAGAAATTAATATTTATTTACTCAACTGTTTTTAAGAATGGATTATCGCTTATTCTGGGACATGAATTTTTTATAAATATACTTAATTTCAATTTTTATTATAAATTCGTCTTTAATTTTTCAAGCAAATAAAAATAGATGTAAAATAATTTTTTAATTTTTTATTCAAACTTTTTTACTTTTCCTAAAACAGTTCTAAATATCAGTTTTAAATATCCATCCACGTTGTTTTTTATATTAACGTGAACAAAGTCCACAGATTTACATTGTTCATTTATATTAAGGGGATAACCGTTCACTTAAAGGGAATATATGGGTAGTTAAATGTCCACATTTTACTTCTCATTGTTGAATAAATAAAATTCTTCATTTACTTCTTCGCGCACAAATAATTGCTTCTTTTTCAAAAATAAATTGTATTTACTATGGACAGAATTTTCTGTTTGTTTAAGTACTTTTGGTTAAATTTAGTGACCCTTGACATTAATTTGTATTTATTTTTAATTATTCCTTTCAGCTACCCGATAAATTGTTTAAAATAATATAGTTTATCTATCTACCTAATTAATAGAGGAAATTCAAAAAATGAAATTACGGAAAAATTATAATTATTTAAAATTTTTAAAAAGAATGTGGCATTCTGTATTTAATTCTAAATTCTGTTATTTAACAGCAAGTAGGTTTAATTTTTTAAGATGGATTTGTTGGGATTAAGGGACAGAAAACGGAAATTCTTGGTGCAAAATAACGCAAAAGGAACCCGCAGACCTAATATTTGGTGTTGGCCCCTAGGGTCAATTGACCTATGGGGAGTTTACCTTCTGGGACCTGTTTTTTAATATTTAAATTATTTTATTTGTTTTAGCTAATAATAATCAAAGAAGGAGAACAACATCATCAATATTTTCTACAACAATTTTAAATTTTTTATTTATTATTTTTCTAATAAATAATATTTTTTTATCTGTAAATATTTATTGTCAAATACAGCAAACCCATAACCTTGAGAAATTATCAAAATTTTCTTCTTCAATGCCAGTTATTGGAGGTCTTTGCCACCTTGATTCGCAAGATGTTCATATTGGAGGAAAACAAACACAATTTTTTCTTCGTTGTGAGCCAATTTCTGAATCTTTACCAGGAGAAGGTGTTTGGGTTGTTAAAAGTAAGAATGTTGGATCATCTGCTCCTCGAATTTCTGCCGCAGCACTAATAAAATCAGAACAACAACAACAAATTAGAAAAACTTCACCCAAAATGAGTAGCTATATTTGTGGTAAAATTTGAAAAAATTATTTGAATAAAAATTTTTTCTCAAGATCTCGTTTCTGATGCACACGAGCATGGCTTTTGCTCTGTTAGTGAGAACTGTCTTCAGCCTGTTTATACAGATCGGAATGCTTTTCTACAATGTGATTCAACGTAAATAAAAATAAATTTGATGAAAAAATTTTCTTTTTAATTTAAAAAGGACTCGTCGTTGGCATAAAAAACATTGTCAACCTTCATTCAATTTTGATTTTGAACGTCAGGCATGTATAGCACATACTGTTGTCAAACAGGGACATCATCATTTTAGGCAATTCCCGGGTTAGTTTACTTTCTTTTGTTAGTGAGGGAATTAACAAGCTTTTAAATATTATAGCTTTCATAAAGTGAAGCTTTATAAGCTAAATAAGTGATATTAAAGATACCTAAAGCACTAACTTATATTTAACAAAACTTTTAAAAATAATATTTTTAATATTTAAATTACAATATTTACCTATTTACATAAGGTTTGTCACGGGTTTGTGAAACTGGCTTTTTTCGAACCTTGAAAACCCGACCCGACTTTTTTCTCAACCTGTGGCATCCCTAATTTACCTACTAACGTTTCACAACTGTCGCTTTCCCCGACTAACACTTTTTACCTTATTAAAAATTCCATAAAAATTTTTCTTATAATTTAACAAAATAAAAAGCTATACAAAACTTCAATTCAATAAATGATTCAAAATATATCGACATTATCTGTCTTAATACTTTGTGCTCCAAAAATGATCCGTGTAATGTTGGAATTTGCAACAATGTTAAGTTTCTTTTAATTTTATTTTAAGTATTATTTTTTAATTTTTTAGGTTATTGTTGCTTTTTTAAAAATGAAAATGTGCCTGAGGGTAATTTATATTGTAAAAATATTTTTTCATTTCTTAAAAGCAAATCAAGACAATTTAACAACAAATCATACAACCTTTAATGTTTTTCATTTTTTGGGGGCTAGAGAGACCATTCAAAACTATCAAAATAAGTTTAAAGAAAAACAACAACAATTATTATCAACAAATCAAAAACCTTCACTTATTTTATTTTATGAGATTAAAAATATTCCTCAAAATAATATTTTGAAAAATCCAACAGAACCAGAACCAACAACAAATTTATTAAATGATTTTAATAAAGGTTAAAATATAGAATTTTTGGGAATCTTCTACTTCATTGGTCCCTAGAAAAAATTAGCAAGATTAGCAATTAGTAAGAAATATTAAATTCCGGAAAGGTTTTTACAATTTGTAAAATATATTATTAAATTCCGGAAAGGTTTTTACAATTTGTAAAATATTTTATTGTATTCCGGAAAAGTTTTTACAATTTGTAAAATATTTTATTAAATTCCGGAAAAGTTTTACAATTTGTAAAATATTATTATTAAATTCCGGAAAGGTTTTTACAATTTGTAAAATATTTTATTAAATTCAAGAAAAGTTTTACAATTTGTAAAATATTTTATTAAATTCCGGAAAAGTTTTACAATTTGTAAAATATTATTATTAAATTCCGGAAAGGTTTTTACAATTTGTAAAATATTTTATTAAATTCCGGAAAAGTTTTACAATTTGTAAAATATTATTATTAAATTCCGGAAAGGTTTTTACAATTTGTAAAATATTTTATTAAATTCAGGAAAAGTTTTATAATTTGTAAAATATTATTATTAAATTCCGGAAAGGTTTTTACAATTTGTAAAATATTTTATTAAATTCAGGAAAAGTTTTACAATTTGTAAAATATTATTAATAAATTCCGGAAAAGTATTTACAATTTGTAAAATAGGAAAAATGGAGCTATAAAACTGTGGGCATATAACACAAGAGTACCATTTTTCTAATCCAATGAAGCTGAAGATTACCAAATCTTAAATATACATAAAAGTTTCTTTTTAGAACTTGAACATAGACGTGTACCAAAATGGTTGCAAATTTCAAATGAAAATAATAATCAACAGAAAATTAGACTACGGAAACGCATTGGACGGAGTTAGAAATTAATAGTTTATTTAAATCATTTAAATCCTTTAAAAAACTAACTTTTTAACACAATTCCTTCTGAAATAACAAAATTAAATGTCTAGGTTGTTTCTGTAATGATTGTTTGCCGTGTATGCCTTTTAGCTTTTTAGCTGCTGATTCTGACATGTTACCAATGAATTTATTAACTAATAATATTAATAATAATTGTGAGTGCACTAATTTAAAAAAATATTTTTTATTAGATTGCACAAATTAAATTAAAAAATTTTTTTTCTAAAAAATTTTTCGTTAAGCTTTCCTATGTTTTTCATATTTTTGTTTTAATTTTAATATTTTCCTTTGTTTTTTTTAAAGTTTGTCCAGGCGGAGGTCCACCAATTGCTTCATGTTCAACCACAGGTTTCTGTGCTCCACCTATGCAATGTTTACAACCAGGAATATGCTGTGTAATGCCGCAAGTGTTGTCACCCCCTTCTCCTCTACAACAAAATTGTTTGAAATTTTTTTAGTTTTTTATGTTTATTTTTTGTTTCTTTGTGTTTATTTAATATTTTAGTTTAATTTTACAAAAATTTATTTAAATATTTTTTAATTATAAATATTAAAAAATTTTATTTTTAAGATGCATGCCCTGGAGGTTTACCAGTTCTTGGACAATGTATTGCTGGGCGTTGTATGTCCCCGGCTGGTAAATTAAAAATATTACTGGAAATTTAATATTTTCTTTAAAAGTTTGTTCAACACCAGCAAATGTTTGTTGTGCGCAGGCAACAGCGATTCCTGCTACAGGTTTTTTATTTTAAAAATATTAAAATAAAATTTTAAAAAGTTTGTCCTGATGGAACTCAAGCAGGCTAGTTTATAAATTACAAATATTAATTCCGAAAAGTTTAATTTTTTATCTTCAGCAGGCGCATGCGTTAATGGACAATGCGGTGCAGGTATAAAATTTAAAGATAAAAATATTAACTAGTATTTTACAAAAAAAATTTTTTTTATTTTTAAAGGGTTTACATGTAATCAAGGACTTTGTTGTTCAAATTCTTCACAAACACCTAGATGTTTAGACGGGTATAATTCTTTTAATTTAAGAATAAATTTTTTTTAATTTTAAAGAAGTCAATCAATCGGTGCTTGTATTCAAGGAAGATGTGGAACAGGATATACATGCACAACAGGAAATATTTGTTGCCCCTCTCAATTAAATCGTTCAGTTTTTTTAGTATTTAATTTTTTTCAAAAATTTATTTAAAGCATGTCCACCTGGTCAAGTTTCTATAGGACTAGCAGTAAATGGTAAAACAAATTAAATAAAAATTTTTAAAATATTTATTATTTTAGGAAGATGTCCGACTGGTTACACACTAGTTAATGGACAATGCTGTGGTACACAAAGCAGTCAAGCACAAATTTCGTGTCCGCAAATTGATTCGAGTGGTCCTTGTGACCGAAATCAACAATGTTCAGAACCAGGCTATGCATGTGATATATCAAATAATTGGTGTTGTCCACAGGTTTTTTTGAAATTTTTAATTGAAATTCTTTAATTTCAAAAAGGTATTTGAAAATGAGGACCCAATCGGTCCGTGTATAGAAGGTGAAGGTGGCACACGTCTTTGCCCTGAAGGTTAAATGTTCTAATATTTTAAAATATTTTTTTTCATAAATTTAGGCTATGCATGTGTTGGAGATGGAGAAGGCGAGTGTAGAAGATTAGGTGAGTAAATTTTATATACATAGAAGAAATTTTGGAATATGTGATTGATGTCATCACTCAAGATCATTTTAATTAAAATTTAGATACTGGTACGTGTGCTCCAGAAGAACAACTTGGACCTTGCGGTCCAAACAATGAATGCCCTGCAGGCTATGAATGTATAGAAGGGTTTTGTTGTAGAATTGATAATGGAGGAAGAAGTGGAAATACAAGACGTTATAGGAGAGGAATCATGAAATTAATTTACATGTAAAAAGGAAATACTAATAGATTGTAAATAAATTGCTATAAAATTTTAAAATTAAAATGATTCTTAGTCATGCTATCAGCGAACTGGGTTTAGTCTAAAGCGAGTGATTGTTGATTTCTCTATCTCTAAATTAACGTCCGGCTCGAACGGACCCAAACCGGGTCTCACATGTAGTCGGAGAATAATAGGAATTTGAAATCTATCAAAATTGTCATTATGCAACTTTGAAAATAAATGACGTTTAATCTCCGAAGTTAGAGAAATTATAAAAAAGAAATAGTGAAGTTAGAGAAAGGCAATTTAGGTCGGTTCAGTGTTAATTGTTGAGTGCGAACTTCCTAAAGTTAAAATCGATAATCGATATATCACACTTAAGTGCAAACTTGTTGTTTTCGCGGTCGTCCACTTTTAACTTGCCGTACCTTTGAAACTTTTGCCTTTGGATATATAGATCTGTAAATAAATTTTTTTCATTTCCAGCTTGATCTATACTTAATTAAAATTGATATTATTTCTGACTTACAATCTTAACATTGTTAATTAAAAATGCAATCTGCTGAATTGGCTATACGTACAAATACTTATTCACTTAGAGCGCGTAAACAAATATCATTTGATCGAGATTATTCTCCACCTGAACAACCTCCAAAAAAACGTCCTAAGGTTCAAACAACACCAAAGAAAGTAGCAGTAACAAAGAGAGTTCCAGTATCAAATGTTGCAAAATTTGCGACTCCGGCATTTGAAGACGCTTACTTTATTGCTTTGAAATCAGGAAAATCTGCTAATGTAATTTATTTTTTAAATAATTTTTCTAATAGTAGGGGGAAAGGGTAATGTGTTATTTCCTTAAGGTCTTTAAGCTCTTTTCCAATAATTTCTGCTTTGAGGCGATTTTTTCTACTAAACTTTTTCTTTTAGTCACTTGTCGAGAAATGGATGCGTGAATATGAGAATTCTCCTGACCAAGCAATCGCTCAGTTTTTGCAGACTATTGTCGCATCATGTGGCTGTTCTGCTAAATTAGATGTAAACATGGTGCATAACATGGATATGAAGTTAGTTTATTTTCCCTTTAAAATATAAAATTTTTGTGACGAGTGGCGATAGTTCTAATAACTATTTACAAACTCTGAAATAGATCTAATTCTTCATATTTTGTTTTCAGTCTCATTGTTACTCGAATTAGTGAATATTTTGACGAGGAGTCCTGTGACTATCCATTAATGATGACCTCTCCGCAGTGGAAGCGCTTCCGAAGTAATCTTGGAGACTTTGTTACAGTGAGTTTCTAAAATATTTTTATTTTCGCTAGATTTTTTAATTGATTATACACATTTTAGTTATTTGTTTGTCGTTGTAAAAATAATATTCTCTTTGATGTTACTCTTATGGATAGTCTTATTCAATTACTCGCTAGTCTTTCTTCGAATGCTATTCGTGCCTTCAGACACACTGCTACCTTTGTTGGTTAGTATAGTTGAATAGATTTATTTTTATATTTAAAAAAAATTTCAGCAATGAAGCTTTCTAGCGCCATTGTAGATGTTGTTGTTGATCTGGAAAGTCTCCGCGAAAAGAACTCTATGCAGGTGGAAACGGAAAAATCAAAATTATCACAGACTGGAGCAAATGAGCGCATGGAGTTATTGTTACAGGCTCGAGCAGATGTTTGTTTTTTAAATTATTTTTCCTTAATTCAATAAAAGTAAGATCTTTTGACTTATAAAGTTTTTGGCTAATACTTATATTAACATTTTATTCTTTTTCAGTTTGATTCAAAAATTGAAGAATTATCTGCAATGACACAGTACTTGTTTCGTTCAGTTTTTGCACTGCGATATAGGTTTTCTTTTTAATTTTTAAAACTACATATTCATTTATTGTAGGGATATCGTTCCAGATATTCGTATTATTTGTCTTATCGAGCTTGGTAATTGGATGCAGGCCCATCCTGCTTTATTTTTGAATGATAGCTACCTTAAATATTACGGATGGTGTATGTCTGACAAGGTAAATCTAAAAAAAATTTTCGCTATTTATTTTTTGTTTTAAAGGTTTCAGAAGTGCGATTATGCTGTCTTAATACATTGTTGCCTTTGTACGAGAATGTGGAGGTGATTGGGCGATTAGAGCTTTTTACAAATAAATTCATTAATCGTCTTGTCAGTATGGTGAGAGATACTGAAATTGAAGCTGCTACAAAAGCTTGCCAGCTTTTAACATTAATTTATCGGTAAGAATATTTAAATTCATCGTGTTAAAGGCATTCTTTGAAAAAATTCTTTTTAATATTTTTTAGTGTGTTTCCTGGAATTTTCACGCAGCAAAACTGTGCTCTAGTTTATGAAATGGTATTTTGTAATAATCGGCAATTAGCCGTTTCTGCTGCTGGTTTTGTTAATGAAAAGCTTTTTGCTCCGTCTCATTCATCAAGTGATATGGAGTTGGAATGGCATTCACAACAATTTGAACTTATTAAGCAACTTGTGACATTTTACAAGGATGGTGGAGTTCATACACATCCTGCTTATTTGGTTGATTCTTTTATCGATATTTGTCCCATGTTGCGTGATTGGGGTTCGATGGTCGGCATTCTACTTGATAATGAAAGTAAATTAATTACTTTTCATAATTTTTAACAAAAATATTATCGTTTTCAGCTTATAATGACGATGGTCGTTTAATCGCAATAATGAGTACGGCTGTGAGACAAGCTGCTACCGGTGAACATCCACCTAACCGAATTGTAGTTTCAATTCGAAGAGGACCTGGTGCTGGAACAGAGAAGAAAGATCTTCGGCTCTTGCAGGAAGAACGTATTCGAATTTCTGAAGTGTTTATTCCCACTCTTCCTCGTTTATTGTCAAAGGTTATTTTTGCATACGACCCTCATTTAACAATTAAATTGTAGTTTATTGCTGACGAAGAAAAGGTGCTAAATCTTCTTGATATCTTTTTGCATTTTGAATTGGAAATATACTCTGCTGGACGTTATGAACAGGTTTATTCTGATTCTGTAATATTTAACTCTGTTTTTAGGGCCTTAATGAATTTATGCAACATATTGGACGAATAGTTGAACAATATTCAAGTGATGATGTTTTGAAGAAAGTGTCTGAAATCTTCCAATTCATCTCAAAGAATACGGCAATAGCTCAATTTACTGAAACAACTCGTGTTCGTATCATTGATGGAGTTGCCAATCAATTACGATTGCAAATTCAACAACACATTCAGCAATACAACAATGTCGAACGACGAGACAGCAACGAGCAGGAACGCGAAGAGGAAGAAGCATCTCTGTTATCAAACTATCGGCGTATGGTTGCATTTACAGCGTGAGTTTTTTATTTTTATATACCAGAAATTGTTCGGCTAAACAATTCCTAACCTAGTTAATATTTCACAAAATACCTTTTATTTTTTTAGATCAATTGACATTCCAGCAAAATGGGATTTGTTTGATTTGACTTTTTCACTACTTAATGGACCATTATTGAAGCCTGACTTGTCGGATAAGGCCATCTTGCTTTGTTATCAGTCACTAATGTGGGATGCGAAAAAACTTGCCACAAACACTGTAGAATTGAAGGAGGTTTGTTTTATTTTATCAACTAATCTTTAATTTTTCCATTTTAAAGAATTATATCGAATTTATACGCAAGAGAAGGGATCAATTTATTAGGGGTGCATCATTAATTCTGAGGGATCAAGTTTACGGTGTTATTAATGTAAGAGATCTTTAGATAATATTTTGTCTTCTAATGTAAATCTTTTATAATATGTAGGCTTTCTCATGTCTTTGTGACGTTCTGTTAATGTACAACTGGAAAATGGTTTATTTCTATTTAGTATTTAGATTATCAACTTATTAATTTTTAGGCGTGTGAATATGAACCCGAGCATCCTGCACATTCGTTGGCCATTAAGCTTGATAAAGAAACAATCATTCGCCTCTCTTCTTTTGTTTTAGACAATGTTTTTTATGGGCGCGAAGATACTATGGATGGTATATATTTTTTGGATTTTTTTTACCAATTTTTAAATAACTTTTCGAATCTTTAGAAGGTAATTTACAAATTCTTGCGTTGTCACAACGACGTAAAATCCTTGCTCATTATGTCAAATTAATTACTTATGGTCTCATTCCAATTATTGAAATTTCACCACTTATTCGCAACTTTATTAAGGTATTCCTAAATATGCAATCTTCGATTTAAAAAATTTTTTTGCAGTATTATACTGACTTTGGTGATATTTTCAAACATCTCTTGTCAAAATGTCGAGAATTAGATAAGGTGATGACTGCAAAAGCTATTGTCCACTCCTTGGCTTATTTGTTTGACGAATTTAAGGTATTTCAAAATAATTATTGGGAATTTTTTCATTTATACTTTTAGGAAGCCTTTGAACAAGATGCTAACGACTTTCAATCGCTGAGAGAATTAGGCAAGAAGTTAGCACTCTCATTTGGCGTTGACAATATCAAAAATCGTGAAGCTCTTGCAACAATTCATCATGTTTGTTAAATTTTCTAAAAACATTAAATCATAATTGTATTTAGGACGGAATCAAATATGCGCTTAAACTGGATGTACGAAAACCAAAAAATGCTCAAGAGCGGTTTGAGAATTTTGCCTTCTTCGAGATCTTACAAGAATTTTCACCAAAACTTCATCGGCAGGACAAATTAGCTGTGTAAGTTTCATAAACTTTTGACATTTTAAAGTAATTTTTAATTTGTTTATTTAGGCTTAAATATTTGGACAAAAATTGCAAGCAAGATGATCAAATTAATGAAGATGATGATAACTGGAAAACTTTCCTTCTCTACAGGTTAGAAATTTCTTATAAATAGGAACAATTTCTTATATATTTTAGAAACTCACTGGCCAAGACTGAGTAAAACTTAAAGAATCTTTGGCAGTACCTACAACCCAATCTCTTACATTATTTTCGATCTCACTCAATGCATTTCTAAATTAATAGTACGTTATACACTTGAACTGGAAGGTTAACCCTGCTTCAAAACCAACGCCATATATGTAAAAGTCATTCTTGGCGAAGAATTCGAAAACTGAAAGTTTCAACTTGATTAGTGGTAGTTGGTTTTGATATTGGGTTAAGTAAAATTTATTGTTTGACCTATTTATACTTAATTATTTTAGCATAAACTATAAACGATTCTCAATTTTCATTTAACTTCATTCTAAACTTTATATTATAATTTTCATAAATTACATGAATTTCGGAAACAAGTCTTTATAATGGGAATTAACAAAGGTCGATCACAATTTGCCATGTTCACACATGTCTTAATTTATTTTATAAACAGCTTACTTTCTCACAATCAGCTTCTTACAAATCAAGAGATGAGGGAACGTATCTCGCGGTGTATTAGGCAAAGGAAGTCTACATAAGAGTGGGCATTATTCGCATATCGATCCTCAACCAAAAATTTCTTCATCCACGATTCTAATGCATCTTGTTCCTTCACGATGAATAACTTCAGTGCCCTCTCCCTGTTTTCATTTAAGTGTGTCCAAAGGTGACGCAACGCTTGTGAACAGTCATTGTCATAGAAAGGCAACTGGTGCTAAATGATCGATGTTTAGTGATCATTTTAAAAATATACCTTTTCTGTGTCCAATTGTGCAATCGAGGAAACGTTGAATACGTCTTTCAGCCTAGAAAACAGCCGTTCAAAGCTATCTGATAAGAACTACTTACCAGCTACTTGGCACACCAGAACCAACCCATATAAAAGCAACCAAACCATTATCAATTAAATAGGCCTCATCTGGGGAGAAATAGTCAAATGATGCACGAATTGGCGCCGGGAAGTCTGGAGAACCTTAGAGATGTATTTTTAAAATTATTGGATAAGAAAATGACAACCTTGCATTTTCGTCACACATCCACTATCGTTTTTAAGTGATTCAGTACTGCCACTGCTGTTTCCAACAGAAGAACAGAGGGAAGTGATTATGTAGATACGTGGATATAGGAACTGTTGGATTGCTAGAGGAGTCATAGAGGGAACTAAGCTCATCATCCAGGCGCGATCATCGACTGTTAATTCCGCACCTATATATAAAAAAAATTAACATAAAAATATCTAATATTCATAAGTTTTAACCTCCATTTAATGAATCATGCCTTACAATGCAATTGATATGGAGTGGAAGAAGTTTTGCAAATTCAGGCAAGATAAGTTGCCCCATAGGTGCGGGCTCGCTGCATTTTTCACGGTATGCAGCTAGGATCTGTGCAGCACGCAAAGTCAATTCATCACGCATCTCCTTTGGACATTTGTCGCGTACAGTTTGCTCGGCTGGTATTAAAGATTACACAGAAAAAAACTATTTTTAAAAATACCTTGTTTAAACAAATGGCTAACCAAACAATCTTCATCTAAATGACGATACAACTAAATATGTTTTATTATTTTTAAACTTGTATAAAGTCACATGCCTTTTGATAATCTGCAGTGACGGGCAATGAAAGCTAAAAATAGAATAAATTAAAATTTTCCCCCATCTTAATAAAAGAACATTATGAATCCGTAGTCGTCGCTGTCCACTACAACTGGTGAAGAGAACAGCCAATTGAAAATAAGCAGGTTCACGCTCATCCAATTTATCATCGTATTTAATTTCTATTTGAACAGATTTATCACTATCAATTGCACTCAACTCAACATCCGTAGTATTTTGCATATAAAAATTACCAAAGAAACCAGTAGGACGAATCCCTAGAAATTTACGAGTTAATTTCAAATAACATACGTCTAAAAATACCCGTAGAAGTTCGCAACCGTAACATCACATCAAAAGCAATTTCGCGACTTATTCCATGTCGCAGATCGCTTAAAAAGCGAACCCCATCTTGATCAGCCTAAAAACAAATTAACTTATTATTAGGCGATAAAATAAAAAATAAAATGTAAAAATCAAAAATAACAAACATCAAAATATTGGTATTTGTAGATTGAACCACCAGTTGTTGCAACTACAGGTGAAATACTTGCAACATCAATAAAAGCATTGGGAAACAGATAAACATCGACTGCACAACCATATTTTACACAATCTTCTCCAAGTTTTCCATAAAAATCTACAGCAGGCGTAAGAACAGTCTAAATAAAAAGGAAATTTTTTAAAAACAAAAAATAGTAAACACCTTTTCTTTGTCTGTCCCGAGAAGTTTGCGTTCTTCTCTATTTTTAAGCTGGCCAGGTGCAGCAAGAGTTGGTAATGACGAGTGAAAAATAAAAAGCTTGCCTGATCTAAATTTTAAAAATAAGAAAATACGGGGTAACTAATAAAAAAATTCAAGAAATTTTAAAAACCTTTCAGAATTTTTGAGTGCATCTAATCCAGCTTGAATAACAGGACCAAGGCCAACTAAAATATTAAATAAAATAAAAATTTAAACAAAATAAACCTTCGGTAATACGAGTATTATAGAAATTGTTGATAATCTCACGAAGACAACTTTAATTTATTTTTCAAATTAATTTTTCTTTTAATAAAAACCTAGTCAACGCTTTTTCAGCTGCTTGAGGCTCTACAAAGAAACCTTTAACAAAAGGCACAAAAATGTCTGAAACATCATTAACAACAAGCATCTCAGCATGCTCCGGATGATTTAAATTATAGAAATGCACCGATTGATCATAAGTAGCCAAACCAATAAGCATAGTAGATTTATTAGATAAATTATCTCTAGAAAATAATTAAAAATAATTTAAAAATAAAGTAAATAAACTTCGGCAAATCGCGCAGAATTTCAACAATATTTTTACAGAAAAGCTCAACTAAACCACTTCGCACAGAATTATAAGAAACATCAAGCATAAAAATAAAAGCAGGTTGTTTCGGTGGAATCCCATTCTTCAAAAAAAGTATAAAATTGAATAAATAAACGATACCAAACCTTGCAATATTGTTTTGTCGCCATAAATTCGTAAGAACCAAGAAAGAGTTCAGGTCGGTGTTGAATATCAGTTCGACGGCCAGAATGATCCAAATGTGCAAAATATGCGTCTTGAACTATTAATATAAGCAATTAGAAAAGATGTAGGATTTTATGAAAACTACCTGCGGAGTTAGCCTTACAAAAAGGACATCGAAATTTTCGTCCTCCGTCAATAAACTCCATAAATGGACACATATAAGCTTTACAGCGTTGACAACGAACAGGTCCTATGTCACCAAGATTAATGAGTGGAGGAGGATACTAAAAATGTTTTAAACAAAATATATGTAAATATTTACCTCAGATTGATGTAATTTGGCAAAAGGTGTCAACGCTAAAGATAGCGGCAAATGTGTAGCTTTTGTAATATCATTGCTTAGCGGAACAGAATAAATTGTTGAACGAATAAATTTTGGATTTGAATTACCTTAAATGAGGTTAATTAGACAGGTGTAATAGACCAGAGAAGAATCGAATTACATAGGTCTTATTTTATTTTGCTTTATAATTGGTCTATTACAACAGTTTTAAATCAAAAAATAATAAAAAGAAACCCTGATCCTGAGCAACAAATTCAGTTGTAGTTAATGGAGGCAGTTCAGCTTGCGGAAATCCAGTCGGAAAAAGGCCAGATCGTGAACTTCGATCATCTTCTATAACTTGAATCTGAATAAGAATTTAAAATTAAAATTTTTAGATTGTTAATACTTACAATACTTGGGACCATTTCTGGATCTAAGCGTTGCTTCTGAGGTTGCGGAGGGCCTGGAGGAAAGCCTGATGCATGAGAAGGAGGAAAGCCTCCTGCAGGAGCTGGTGGAAAGCCTCCTACAGGAGCTGGAGGAAAGCCTGATGCAGGAGCAGGAGGAAAACTTGCTGCAGGAGCTGGTGGAAAGCCTCCTACAGGAGCTGGAGGAAAGCCTGATGCAGGAGCAGGAGGAAAACTTGCTGCAGGAGCAGAAGGAAATCCAGCTGCAGGAGGAAAAGCTCCTGGAGGAGCAGGAGGAAATCCTGTTAGAGGAGCAGAAGGAAAACCTGCTCCAGTGGTAGCTGTAGGTGGTACAAATCCAGCAATGGAAGACGGCGTCATTTGTTGCGGTGCATACTGTTGTTGCAACATTTGCTGTTGGTAGTTTCCAATGTGATTTGGCATAACACCAGGTTGTTGCTGTACTGTGTTTGGATCAAAGTTTTGTCTAGGCGGTTGTGGTGGTACTTGAGGAACACTTGGAAATGGCTGTGGATGTGAAGGTGGTTGTTGTGGCGGATATTGCATTGGATAAGCATTTGTCGCTAATGACGGTTGTTGTTGAGGGATTTGCTGTTGATGTTGGTAATACATTTTATCACTGAAAAGTGGGGATAAAATTAAATTCTACAATTTATTAAGATTAAGATATTTTTGTAAAACAAATACACGTCAGTCAGCGACCAAAGAGTCCAGCTGGGACAAGGACACTTTACAATGGCCACTTTGTCGCAAGAGGTTAAAAAAGGAAATATGAACAAATTTTTGTATAACCTTGAGAGACCATGCAATGTTACAATATTGCGAAAGAAGAGTGGGTTAATTCAAATTGGGACACGCCCGAAACGGCGCGGGCCAAAACGGCGCGACCGAAACGGCGCGACCGAAACGACGCAGGCCGAAACGGCGCAAGGCCAAAACGGCGCACGGCCCAAAACGGCGCAAAAATTTCCTATAAGCTACATATTGTTAAGTGAGGTTTAGCTCGAATGGTGATCGTATCTTTTGGTGATGTGAACAAAAAATAGCAGATGTAAAGGTCGCATTTGGACAACATCTTGTGATAACAGATTGATAACAAAAAATTAAGAGTGATAACAAAACTATTTAGATCGTATACTTACTAGTAAGTATAACTGCGAGAAATAACTGCGGGATTCAGATAGTTCCAATATAACTATATTACTAGTTAGTTTCCCCTATAACTACATATATTACTAGTTAGTTCCCCCTATAACTATATAGTTATCCTCATATTATCACTGTAACCATCTAGACTTGGTTATTTTTATTCTGGTCGTTGATGTCGGAACATTTCAACGCTGCTGGAACAACTTTTCTCAATGATGGAACAGACTTCCACATTGTTGGAACAATTTTCCCGTAATGCGCAAAACCTTATTGCAGATTTTAAATAATTCGAAGGATCAGTGTACGCGCTATCGATTGATGATGTCAGATCGATCACATAGATCGATCTGATCACTCTCACATCGATCTTGATCACTCTCACAGTTGATCATATGATGATAACACGATTAATCACTATCACTGTGCAGTTTAGGGTTTGCGCCGTTTTGGGTCGTGCGCCGTTTTGGGTCGTGCGCCGTTTTGGCCTTGCGCCGTTTCGGCCTGCGTCGTTTCGGTCGCGCCGTTTCGGTCGCGCCGTTTTGGCCCGCGCCGTAATGGGCTGTACCCATTCAAATTGACTGAGACCTCAAGAATTTATTTAAGGATTTATTGGCTCCCATACAAAATCTCTATTCCTTAAAATCGCTATTCCTTAAAATCTCTACTGGGCTAAAAATGCTTAAAATCTCTATTCCTTAAAATAACTATTCCTTAAAATCTCTACTGGGGTAAAAATAATTAAAATCTCTACACCGCGCAAATTGACGGTTGAGTCTCAACAAAAGTACCATCTGAATCCTTCGCTGGAAAAACCAGACTTGTTAATGGATATGGATACAATTGGTTTAAAATGGCTGCCATATCCGCCTGTATCCGCCTTAAATATCGAAAATATAAGACACGACTGCTTCGCTGCGGTCGTGTTCATTTTCCTTGCGTTGATCGTATCGAAGCGGCTGCTGTCGTCCTGCTAGACATGCCTGGCTGGGTTCATCCGCACAGGCATAAACTATACAAGCAAAATAATATCAAAAGATAATCCAGAAATCAGAACAATGTTTCCGCACTTAACGTTGATACTCAAAAGGCTTCAATGAAAAATAGACATTTTATCCTATATTTGGCAGTGTAGAGATTTTAAGGCATTTTCCGTGTAGAGATTATGAGGAATAGAGATTTTAAGGAATAGTTATTTTAATCATTTTTAGCCGAGTAGAGATTTTAGTGCATTTTAGCTGTGTAGAGATTATAAGGCATTTTAGCCCAGTAGAGATTTTAAGGAATAGAGATTTTGAGGGGATACGGATTTATTTATTTATTTGCGACAAATTGCCCGCGACAAAATGGCCGCACACAGAACAGCCGTTTCAGTTCCAGAATCTCGTGAGACAATCGGACAAGAGACTATTGGCCGAAGGACAAATAGACAGTCAATCGTGGTTAAGTGCAGATTTAAATTTGCTTGATCTCTTTGTTAATAATTTTTGTCAAGTTTTTTTAGGAAATATGAATTTTTATGGAATTTGCCGTTTACATAACAAATTAAATGCAACAAATATCTTAAAATGTCCAATTCGTTTTGTGCATCATCATAAAGAGCTTGAAGAACCGGGTGGATTCGAACGATTCATCGGTTGGCGCAGATCAAATGCACACAGAGCAAATAGACATACACAAGTGAATGAGGCCAAATATCGAAGGGTAATTTTTTATTAGTTTTTATATTTTTTGGACTGGGAATAACCTAAAGATTCTAGTATTTTTTCGCTGAATAATTCCTCTTTTTGGTATTCTAAATTGTTTCTTTAAATTTATCCTATTTTTGTAATTTCAGATTTGGGTTTTCAAAGAATTCTTTGAAGAATTTCCAAAACTGAGAAAAATTCAGAAGACTATGTGAAACTTCAATATTTTTAATAATTATTACTTGTTTATTTTTTCAGTTGAGAGGTGAAAAGCGATTATTAATAGAATTGGAGGATCATGTTGAGCAACAACGTATGAAACAAATGACCCCTGACCAATTGCGAATTTATTTATTACGAAAGGGTAAACCTAATATTTACGAAGACGCTTCTCCACGAGATTGGCAAGAACACCAAATTACTTACCAGTCATTATGTAATAAATAAAATTATTTAAAAAATTATTTTTTTCTTTTAGATGAAATTATGACCACTTATATTCCACCTGAGACATCAAAAATATCGCGACTTACGGGCTCTGGCATTAGTGAATTTTTTGAAGATGTTAAAGATTATTGGAAAGATAAGTATGGAACGTTAATGGGATATGGTTTGAGAAGGATACGACGGAAAGAAGGTCTTAGAAATTTTGAGTTGAAGGTATTGACTTAATCATATATAAATCTTGGTACTCCCTCCCCCCAAATTTTCTTTAAAGTTCACATAATGGTCATTTCACTATAGTTTCCCAGTAGCATTATTCAATCAGTCAATCTTCCCACTATTTGTAACGAGAGAAGTTTATAAGAGGAAGGCTGGCTGATTCAATAATGCTACATGGAAATAATGTGAATTTATAGCAGGAAAAAATTCTGACCATTATGTACACTTTAAAGAAAATTGTGTGGGGGAGAGAAACGACATAAGTACCTTAATTTTAATAATTTTTTTTAATTTAAAGGATTTTCTCAAAGAGGCGGAAGATATTTACAAATCAGCTTTTCAGGCGTTGGCAAGTCGTGATAAAATTCTTTTACATGGTCTTGTTACAGAATCAGCTTTTTATGTAAATCATTATATGTATAATTATTATAAGAAATATGTTTTTTAGAAACTTTGGCCAGATGTGGAGAGAGGAACACTTCGGTGGGAACATATTCGATTTAATGAACCGTCTGTAGTTGTTTCTGTTAGAGTTACTGATATGCCGCCTAAATCTGGCAATGACATTGCACAAATTGCTGTTCGTATGCATACTACACAGGTTTAACAAATTTACTTATTAATTGGAGGACTTGAAATAGCCAAATATTTTGTTATTTTTTATCTTAAACTTTTAAAGAAAATGGCTCTTTATGATAAAGATGGACATTTATTATTGGGATCAGAAGATGAGCCTAGAGAAGTGCTCGAATATGTTGTGTTTGAAAATCACATTTCAAGTGCTGATGGAAAATGGCGTTTTCATGGACAGGTTTTTATACTAAAACTAATCAATCCAAAAATTATTTTTAATTAGGTTGTTCCACAATGGGCAAAATCAAAGCAATCTTTACATAATCATCCAACACTTGTTGCAAAATCAAAAGAAAAGGGAAATTTTCCTGACAAACTTTTACGGCTACAAATAGATGCGCAATCATCTACAAAGAAAAAGCAAAAAGAAGCTGGTGATAAAATGACAGGATGAAAAACTTTAATTAATTAAATTGCATTAAATATATGTATCTCTGATATTTTTTTGTTAAAATATTTTATAAAAAATTCCAACGATGCTTCACGTAATCAGATTTCGTTTTATTTTTAAATACCATCTAAAACATGCTTTTTTGTAATTTATATTTTTTAGTTAAATTGACAGATTTCTCGCTACGTATTAACTTGTCACATGCTCTTATTGCCAGTCGATATTGCCAACCTCTTAAGGCCTTGTGTTATTTTTCTTTTCTTTATTGTCAGCCGTAACACTAGCTGTCGCTTGAGAGTAAAATCAATATTTTACGTATTCGTTTTTCATTTCTTGTTGGTTGGACTTTCAACAACGCTTGTTTAATGGCCTTGCCGACTGAATGAATTTCTCATGTTTATTCTTCTTTCATTTACGGTTTGATGTTAGGGGTAAATTTTTTATATATTTTTACTTGTTGTCATGTAATTGAATTTTTTCATATTTATGTATTTGATGTTGCCTGCATATTCTAATATACCTTACTAAATATTTTTAAATTTAGAAACTAATCTTAAACATTTTGACTTTTATTAAACCTACCTAAATTACTAATGTCCTCTTCTGAATGCCGATTATTGGCGCGAGCAGTACCATTACCGTCAAAACAAAAGGTAGGATAATTTATTATAAATTAAATTTATGTAATAGTTAGGCGATCCAAAAGCTTCCATCTTCCGGCAAAAAACGGGAGGCGGGAAACTGAAACTTTCTTCATGATTAATTGTTTTCTTTATAGATTGCTGATGATTCAACTATAATTGACTCATTGGTCAATCAACTAGAGTCAGCCGTGATTGATTCAAAAAATGTTACTCTTCAAAAAACAAATAAAATTCTAAAAGTTAATGAAGAGAGTTCCGCTAATTCTAGTGAGAAACGATGCATTGAGCGTACTGAAGAATGCATTTCACCAGCGGATCATTTGGCTCTCCAATCATTACGCTCTTCGGCACTTGCCCGAAAGACAAATACAACAGCCAAATTCAGTCGTAATTGTCGTAATCTCTTTGCCGATTTAATGTTTGGCGAAGAGCAGAAAAAGAACCAAATAATTAATGAAGATAAAGGAAAAGTTGATTCATTTGTGTCTGTGGAAGAGGCATCTTCCGCTACTATTCCCTTTGAGGAATCGAAAAAAGTGGAAGAAGAGAAATTAAAGGAGGAAACCCAGACAAAATTAGTAACGGAAGAAAAAGGCGTTAATAATTCACAAAAATTGTTGATTGATGAACAAGTTGATAATAATACGATTAAAAAGAACGAGGAAAATTTGGGTGATACGGCGAAAGATTTGACGCAATTCAATAATGAATCAGTAAATGATAAAGATGATAATTGTGCTAATAATAAGAAAGAGGAGCCCATAAAACAAAAGGAACCAGTTGAAGGCGAACTTATAGCACGTGGACCAATTCGAGCCAACTTTATTGTTCAGTGAGTTAATTATTTATAGAGACTATTTATGGGTTATTTTTAACTAGAATGCTATTTACTGAATTCATTTTACATAGATCAAAATTAAAATTAAAACCTTAAATTATTAAAACAATAAATTACTAATACCTAAATTATTTTTCTATTAGTGGTGCACCTCAACCTTTCCATCATCCATACGCAACAATGGCTACTCAACACAATGTGAATGGTCATTCACCACCTGGAAGCAACACAAGTAATATGTCATCTCCAAATATGGGTGCAACGTTCAACGCAGCGGCTGCCCCTCAATCAGTCCTTCTTGACCAAAGTGGTCTCAATCCTGCAGTTTCTTTTGGTTACGGATACGATTGTGGTATTCCGACAAGTAATTGGAGTGGGGACGCTTGGAGTGTTGGTGGAAGTGATTCAGCATTGTCTTCGCCTAGTTCAACTCCTGATAGTATTGGAACAACTTTAGATCCATTGAGTCCTGGCGAACGATCAGAACGTAATGAACTACCTGATAAGTAAGCAACTCTTTTTTATAAAAATATAAAGAATCTATTCGTTTTTTAAGCCTCTCTGATTTTATTCTTGAATATTCTCGTCGTTATTCACCAATTCTCTCTCGAAAGGCTTCATTCTCAGAGAGTGGTTCGCCTAGGTCTTTATCCGGTGATACAATAACGAATGGAGGTGAATCGCCATTTAGCGCTCCAAAAAAGTATTTTTTGAATAATTATATTAAATTATATATCGTATGTTTTAATTTTTTTAGTTCTCCGTCCGCCCCTCGCAATGGTGCTGTCGGTGGAGGTTCTCAAACACCACCTTTTGCACCAATGCCACCATTAACATCGCTGACAGCTCGTGACGAGATAGGAATTATTAATTCAAATAGGCAAGCAAAAGAGCGTCTTCGCGTTCTCATTCGAAGTGAAGATATGGATGATGCTTGGGCTTGGACTTGTAAATGTATTCAAGTAATTTATAAATATTTTTCTATCTATTAATTGAGTTATTTTAGCGTCACCCGGGGGCTTTAACATTCCAAGATGCTGACAAGGATACCCTTTTGCATATTGTTACCTCTCATCTAGATTTGGCTAAAATATATGCACTTGTAGAACAAATGCTTAAGATGGATGGAGGTGAAGGAGGGATACCAAATTTTGATATACCTAATGCAATGGGAGAAACTCCTTTAATGGTTGCTATACAGAAAAATCAAGCAGAAGTTGTTAGCTATTTATTAGAGGTAAATATTGTTTATTGATATACTTAATATCAAAAAATATAGGCTGGAGCATCACCAAATGCTCAAAGTAATCGCTTAGAACGGCATATGCCCTTACACTTTGCTGCTTCTCACGGAATGGTCAGTACATGTTTAACTTAAAAATACATATTTATTTTCTTTTAAAGACAAACATAGTTCGCGCTCTTTGTGGTGATTCTAGAACTAAATTGGATGCTGAAAATGGAATGGGTTTAAGTCCTTTATTGTGCGCTTTTAAAAATCATGGAAGAAAAGTTTCCGAAGAAGAAAATGTTCAACAAAATAACAATTTAATTTGTAATTTGGAAATAATAAATATTTTATTAAATGCTGGGGCTAATCCTTTTAAGGTAAAAAATTTAGTAATCTTTAAAAAATAAATTTACTAAAAATTAGGTGGATGCAACTAATGGACGTTCGTTGGCGCATTATGCAGTTGAGCGAATGGACGAACGTTTGATTGAGGTATTAAATTTTAATATTGTTTAAAATTATTTTTTGTTAAATTTTAGTTACTTCGTGAACATCTTGATGAGAAACAAATGGCCGAATTGGTTAATTATAAAGATTTTTGTGGAGAAACACCCATGAATACTATCAGAAATGTTTTTGACGGGAGAACAGAATTAAATGAAGAAGAATCTTTAAAAAGAGAATGTATTGGGTTAGCTTTGATAACATGTGGGGCAAATTCCTACAATTCGAATAATGAGATTTAAAGAATTATTTAAGAAGAAAATATTTTTAAAAATTCTAAATAATAATTAATTTGGATGAAAAAAACTAACTAAACTGTACATATGTATTTGTATTCCTAACACTACATTGATCTATTTATTAGATATATTCCCGGTAATTCTTTAATTTTTTAAAATTTACTTTAATTCTTTTAAATATATCTTTATTCCAATTCAATATAACTATAGTTATGCCCTTTTGTAACTCAAATTAAATACTATACATTTTATTACAATAGTATTCCTATCTCTTATATTTCAATTGTTTTTTGTCATATTATTTAGATTTTTAATTATCCAAAATAAAATTTTTGGTGAATTTTGATTGTTTAAATTAAATAACGTTTGTAGTTACATCTCCATGTTCATATTTTCTATAAACTTTAAATATTTTTATTTCTAATAGTTTAAAAAAAATTGGTAATTTTTTTACTACTAACAAGTAAATTCAAACATTATCAACAAATTTATGAAAATTAAAAAGTAATCTAGAAACTAATTAATTAAATCTATTAAAACTAAATTAATTAAAACTAAGGTTGTCTGATTATGATATTTGGATCCAGAAAAGGGTAGGATATTAGGGAATTTTCGTATCTGATACCGGATTCAGATATCCTGGGAATTCCCAGTATACCCCAACCCTTTGTATCACCTTGAATAAATTTATTCAACCAGAATTCTTTTAAGTTTTTCTAAGGCTAATTTTTAAAATTAATTTTTTAATGAATTTTATTTTTATTTCAATATATTTTTCTTTATTTTCTTCTTTGATTCATTTAAAGCTTTATCATTCAATAAACACAACAACTAATTGGACTCTCTGGAGAGAATCCCTAGCTTGCCAAGGAAATTTTTCTGCATTATCGGCTTTTGCCTTTTTATTTTCAATTTTTTTCTTTATTACTTTCATTCCTTTTTTTTTATTACATACATATAAGTATTCGTATGTTTATCCAAAATAAATTTTTTGTACATAAAATAAAAAAGTAAAATAATTATTAATTAAAAATTTAATTATTTAAGGAGAATAATGAGGGCGGAGGGATACATTTTCATGTAAAAGGAACAGAGGTACTAATTCGTTACACACCCAGAAATTGAGTGCTAGCCGACTTAGATCGGCTATAACTTTTTGATGCTTGATACCATGCTTGATACCATACAAATGAATTTTATATCATTCGAAAGCCCTCGATAATATGTATCTGGCACTCGTGGGGGGGGGTATGGATGTATAACGGATAAATACTGCAACAAAAAGCCCAAACGATAAGTAATATAATTGAAGTCAAATTATAAAATTAATTAATTTTTACTTTTTTATAACATAATTGAAATTTCCAAATTTATTTTTTTATTTTTAGAATTATTTCCAATTCACTTTTCATTACTTCTCCCTATTTGACATTTTAAATTACTTTTTAAAGGCAAATTGTCCAATAAAATAAGGATCCTTGTCTTTATAGAAGCACTAGAAGATCCTCTTTTCATGACATATTAAAGTGGGTAATATTGCTAAAATTAATTTCTTTGAGTTTATCCTTATCCACTCTGCTATTTTCATCTAATTTTTTCCTCAAAAAATTTACTTAAACATTCTTAAGACTTCTTTAAATAAAAATTAAACAGAGATAGGCCTTGTATATAATATTTTATAAATTATTATTTTACCCAATATTTTACCCAATTTAATACATAAATCAAATTCCACATTTTTAAACTAAATATATAATCAATTTTTTGGCTTAATCTTTCCTTATTTGCTTTATATGTAAAAACAAATAAGTCTATTTTTAATACTATTTGGCTAATCCCATCAGGAAAAGTAATGCCATTTTACTTTTTCCGGTCGTCGCTTTTTCAATCCATTCTTTCTTATCTAAAGGCTAGAAGTTATATTTTTATTTATTTTTAAAACTCAAAAAAGATTAAAAAGTATTTTTAAAATTTTTAAAAATATTAGTTTGAACAAATTTTCTGAAATTAAATAATTAAATAAAGATGTTTAAGTAATCATAAATTAAGTAATAAAATTAATAACTCAAAAAAGATATTTAATTTAATTTTTATCAACTTTGAATAATTTATTTAAATTAATTCTTAAGCCAATTTATTTTTATTAATTTGCATTTTAAATTAATTTATGTACTATAAATATACTAAGTTTTTAAAAAGTGTAATGGAAACATGATTAGCCCTGTCAAGATCCGAAACCGCTATAAAATATTACCAAGTATTCCTCGAGTTAAATCCGCTTAACTGTCTCACTGTCAAAGCCATCAAAATTAATTTACCAATTAGTTAACACAATATGAATAATTTAACAAAACGGACTGCATCACAAGAATGTTTAATTTCAAATAAATCAGCACTTGAATGTCTTAACATCGGCGGATTTTTTTATGATGCATGTACGGGGCATTGTGAAAGAGATTCTAGGTAAAATAATTTTATTTAATAAATCCTATTTTATTATTATTTTTAGTTTTCTTCGTTTAAGCCAACATTTGCAATTGGAACATTTAGTTTACGGATATGTAAGCAAATTACTTTTTAATTTAAATAAATTATTTTTCAAAGCTTTTCCCTATTCTTGTTATTTTTGTTGTCGTTGCCAATTTATTAGTAGCTTTAGTACTTTCTCAAAAACACATGATTTCGCCTACAAATTTAGTTTTAAAATATATGGTAATTTTATTTAAATTTAAATACTTATATTTAATATTCAGGCAATAGCTGATCTTTGTGTTGGACTTTTTCCTCTTCCCTGGAATTTTTATTATCACACATTAAGGTGTAATTAATTATTAAAATATTAAATAATATTAAATTTTAAAGGCATTTTGAATATGAACAAAAAGAACTTCAACTGTGGTATTTTTAGATAAATATTTTATTTAAATTTAATTTTACTATTTTTGGTGGTGTTATGCTTATAAATATTCAATGGATGCAATTCCGCCAGTTTGCCATAATAGTTTATTAGTTTATATTTAAATATTTTTAAATATATTTTAATATTTTAGTTGCAATGTGGCTAACAGTTTTGTTGGCAGGTCAAAGGTAGTAGTATTAACCTTCACAAAACCTTTAAATTTCATTTAAAAAAAGATATCTTTCTATTCGTCATCCTATGAATTCTCGCCATTTATGTTCTTTACGTAATGTGAGAATTGCAACTTTTTTAATTACAATTGTTTCTATATTTTGTGGCCTTCCAAAATTCGTCGATTATTATTATAATGTTTATGAAGGTTGGGCTTTTGTTGATTCTGGTCATTTAATATATTTAAAGTAGTTTATATCCATAAAATATTTTTTTTAATTATTATTTTTTTAGAAGTTGTTTATCTGGATATACATTTTTTGTTAAATTTGTTGGTTCTAATGGTCAATTTTTTAAAAATATTTAAATTTATATACAGTAGTCGACAAAAAGATAGGGACAAACGCATGTAAAATGAAAATCACCTATTTTCTCAGCTAAAAATCGATTTCAGGAAAAATTTTTTGTTTGATTAAATACGCCATTTAATGCTCTATTTAATAAGTATAAGATCTGGCGGATTACTATTTTTTGATATACTGAAATAATTTAAATAAAAAAGTACTGCAAATTTTAGCCCGACAAAAAGATAGGGACAAGTCTTGTAACTAAGTAGTCACCCAACCAATAAATTTACAAAAATTCGTGCAAACATAATGATCGATACTAAGATAAAATAAAAAGGAACTAGGCCCGTAGATCATTTCAATGTCGAGATCTCGATACCCCAAAAATCAACGTAAAACAGGGGTAAGCAACTTCAAAAAATATTTTCGACCCCTTATGGATTTTTTAAAATTTTTATTTTGAGCCTATTCGATAGCTCTTGAAATTTGCTATAAACTAGCCAAATTTCATTTTTCAGAAAAAAATACTTCGTTAGTTGCAGAGGCGAATGTTACAAAAAGCAACAAACACCCCATAAATTCCCACAAAAATGGCGTTTTGAAGAATCGTCGTCCTTTATCTCGGGAGTGAAATTTTTTTGAAAAATGAAATTTGTCACGTTTATAGCACAATTAAAGAACTATCGAATAAGCCTAAAATGAAAATTTAAAACAATCAATAAGGGGTCCGAAAAAAATTTTGAAGTCGAAAAACCCTATTTTACGTTGATTTTTGGGGTATCTAGATCTCGACAACGAAATGAGATATGGACCCAGTTCTCTTTTATTTCTTCTTATTATCGATCAATATGCTTACAATAAATTTTGTAGATTTTTCGCTTCTATGAGAACTTAGTTACAAGACTTGTCCCTATCTTTTTGTCGCGCTTAAAATAGCATACCTTTAGTTTTTCAATAAGGGTTGAATTTTATAAAAAATTAAACAGGCAAATTTTCTACTCATTAAATAGAGCATTAAATCTAGTATTTAATCAATCAAAAAATTTTTTCTAAGATCGATTTTTAACCGAAAAAAATAGGTGATTTTCATTTTGCTTGCGTTTGTCCCTATCTTTTTGTCGACTACTGTAAATTTTTGAAGCATTCTTCAATGCTTATTTTTGGACTCGGGTTGTTGGATTTATTTTAGTGCCTTCATTTCTACTTATTTGCCTAAATGCATTACTTATTAAAAGTATTAGGAAAGCTCAACAACGAAAGAAAAGGCTGTTAATGTTGTCTATTTTAGGGTAAAAAATTTTAAAAAAATAAAATTAAAAAGAAATTTTTAAAGAGATAAACGTAACCGTGATTCAACAATTCATCGACAAACGTCAGATAATAATACTTCTGTAATGCTTGTAATTATTGTTTCAATATTTTTAATTGTTAATTTACCACAAGCATTGTTTATGGCAATGCTTTGTGTTTATAATACACTTGGATTGAGTAATCGTTTACTTGAAGGAGTTTTTCCGGTGATTTTTTAAAGATTCTTTACTGAAATTTAATTTTTTAGATAACATTTCTGCTTGTAAATAATATGCTAGTTATGGTTAGTTTTATAAGCATATATACTTTTAAATTTATTTTTAAAGGCCACTTATCCAATTAATTTTGGAATTTATTGCTTTATGTCCAGCAGTTTTAGAGATACTTTTCGAATGCTTTTTTGTAGAAATCGAAATAATAATAAACAATTTGTTGATGCTATACCCCATCCAAGTCAAATACCAACAGAAAGTCGAAGACTTATCTCTATGGGAGGTTTACCATCAGAATCAAAAGGAATATCATCGTCTTTAGTTCGTAGATCTACTGATCCTATTGGTGGACATAATAATAGAAATTTAAGGTAAAATAAATAATTTTATTTTTTAAAAATTTAAAAAATTATTTTTAATCAAATTTCTCATTTTTTCCTTTCATCTTCTCTTGATCTTCTCTTCACAAATTTTTCTTTCCCATATTTTCCTTGATTTTTCTACCGTTGCTATAGGTTCATAACTAACTGACTGACAAATTTCATTTGGATCATACCTTTTTAAAAAATATTTTCTTTCAATTTTATTTCCATACCATTTTGTAATTTCATCATTAAATAAAGCCATTGTTCTACTTTTAGCTATTTCCTCGGGAGAATTTTGAAATTTATTAAATAAAAGGGAACGTCCAATTAATTGTTGCTGTTTATAAATAGCATTTTGGATATATGGTTTATGTAATTTGAACTTTTTAGAAAAATTTTTTTAATTAAAATGTTTAAAAACCTTGTCAAGTCTTGCCATTCTTTCAGAATTAATTAATTTCTCTTCTCGATGAATTGGAATTAAACTATCTTTTGGAATTATTTGTATAGTTTTCTTTGAGGCTACCCAAAAAATTAAATTTAGTCAACTCTCATATAATGAGCCGAACAGGGGCCCTGTCGTATTTTAAAAAACGGAAGGCGGAAGAAAAAAAACGGGAGACGGAAGCGGAAACACCAAAAAAGAGAAAGTGGGCAGAAGGTGGAAGAGAGCCCATCTCCTCCGTTCCCTAGACGTCCCTCCTGTCCCAAGAACACTCATCGGGAGTTATTGTACATAATTTTCTAATAAAATAATTAAAAAACCAAAGAAGCTGTCATAGGGTCAACAGATCTCCAACGTGGAAAAAGAAATATTTTATTCTTGCTATGTTTTGGTATTTCTTCCTTAAAAAATAAAATTTCTTAAAATTATTTAAAAAAAACAAACATTTTTATTAATTGTTTCAGCCATAATACGTTTTTCCCAAAGTGAACGTATTCCACCATTTTTTATTTTATCATTATCTATCGTTTGATTTAAAATATTTTTCATCTTTTGATTAATTCGTTAAGAAATTTTAATTTTTTAATATTAAATAAGAAATGAAAACATCTTTCTGAATTTTATATATCTCTATATCTTCTAATTGTTTAAAGCTAAAACAAAAAGATAACTAGCTTCACTCTTTTTTTAAATTTACTTTTCTTTCCTTTGTTTACCTCTTTTACTTTAACTAAAAGTAAATATTTGCACAAAAAATGTATAGAAATATTACAAAATACTAGAAAAAAATTTTTTTAATAATTACATAAATATAAATTTATAATTTTATTTTTTCTTTAAAAATTAGGCAACAAAATATCATTGATAGACAACAAACTGGTAGAGTTTCATTGCCAGCCGCTTCTTGTTTAGATGATTCAGAACAACAACCATCAATTTATGAACAAAAATTAAAAAAAGAATTAGGTAATAAGTAGAGTTTTACACAACCTGTTATTAACGTACTCTCTGTTTTCATTGTTAGTTTTTGTCAAATACCAGCTCTATTTTGGGAGAATTTTTAAAATAATCACTCACATTCCCTATTTTCGGTTTTTAAAATTCCATAAAACGGTTAATTCTTGGTAAAAAAATATCAAAATTTCCGAAAGCTGGTCGTGTCCAACCTTAGCAATGAGTTTAAAATAAATTTAAATTTATTTTTAATACTAGAAGAAGAAAACAAAGAACTTGATAACAATGAAAAAGAGAAAGAAATTCAACAATTGTTTCTCATTAATTATAACAATATATTAGTAGATGACACAGTTTTTCTTTAAAAATTTTAATTTTTACAAATTATGCTTTAAATACAATTTGTTATTCTGTATCTTTTTTTATATTTTATAATATACTTTTTTGTTTTTTTAGATAACTATAATAAATATTTTAGATAAAAAACTATATAAAAAGTGATAAATATCCAAGTTATTCTTTAAAATTTTCTCCACAAAATATTTTTTTATGTTTATGTACTTTAACAATTCATCGTCTGTCTATAAAATTTTAAATCAAAATTTAACAAAGGAAATAAGAAAGATACAGACATATATAAAAATGTACTGATAAACATTTTAAACATTTCAAATTAAAATAAAGTGGTTATCGATGAAAATATCCAATTCTAAATGTAAATTTCTCGATCATTTAAGAAATGAACTTAATTATTTTAAATTTTGTTTTAATTTAATTAGTAGACAATTAAGACAAAATAATAAATAAACTTTAAAGTAAATAAAAAAAGATAACGGAAATTATTAAAATAAATTAAAAATATTTTTTTACTTTTATTTTTTAACTTCCTCATTAAAATTAAATAAATTTATTAGTAATATATTTTACTACCTCTTTTATCATTTCAGTTGATTTAAAAAAAGAAAACAAAACCTAAATTATTTTAAATTTATAAATATCAGACTAGAATTTCGTCAAAATTTAACACTTTAATTTATTTTAGATCAAACCTTAAAAGATAAAATAATTTAAGTTCATATGTCTTTTATTAATGGTACATGTAACCTAAATACTTTTATGTTGGACCAATTATTGTTGGAGCAAGTAAAACAAAAAGAATTAAATAAATGCCAAAGTAAGAGATATTTTTTATAAAAACATTAAAAGATTTTTCCTCAAAGTTTTGTTGAACGAATTATTAAGACAATTTAATATTCTTCCTTTACCTCAAAACAATGAAAAAGAGTTGGAATTAGATGAATACAAGTTACAAAATAATACCGAAGCAAATACCTTCCTTTCGACAACTTCTGCTTCAAATTCATCTAACAATCATTTAAATTCTTCATTAAGAATAAATAATGAACAAAAACAACAACGTCCACACAGTTGTGAATATTGCCAAAAATCATTTCGATTTAAATCCAATTTATTTGAACATAAATCGATTCATAAAAGTGCCTGCCATCGAAATACATTTATTTGTCCATTTTGTACAAAAACTTGTCGACTTAAAGGCAATTTAAAAAAACATCTACAAATTCATGTCAAAAATGTGAATGAACTTGAACGCCTCTGGAAAAATTACTTTTCTAGACAGTCTGGAAGGCCACGCAAAAATGCAAAGTTAGTACCTCTTCCAAAGCCTGGTGATGATTTAGGATTAGTTCCAGTTATGTTAAAAACAGTAATTTTTAAATAATATCAAATTAATAAATTATTTTTTTAAAGAAAAATAATCAAATACTCAAAAATAATTGCCAATGGACGTTTGCCAGTGAAAATGATAATTTAAAAAATAAAGTTTAACTAAAAATTTATGTTTTGCCTTTCAATATTCTATTGTTTTATAATTTTTAAACAAAAAATATTAATTATTTCAGAATTTATTTAAATTTTTCTATGTATTCAGAGGATAAACTTAAAAAATTATTCCATTAATATCCTAATAATTAAATCTCTAAATATATATTTCCCCAAAACATGCATGAATTTCGCCAATTGTCGGAGATTGTAACCGATCTCCTATCTTTGTTTGAATACTTTGCTTAACAAATACCTAAATTTTAAAAAGGAAAATCATTTTGGAAAATATTTAAATTAAAATATAATTTAAAAAATTACTTGAGCAGCAGCAGTCAAATGTGCTTGTTCTGCTAATGCTCTTCTCATACGTAATCGAAACATTAAACGTTTCTTCTTTCTATTATAATAAATTTCGGCACAAAAAGCCAAAAATGAAAGTAAAAGGCCTGAATAAATTAAAAAATTCTTCTTTAAAAAATTTAAAAAACCTAAAAGCGCTACCAACATAACGCCAAACATAGAACCAAAATCTATTTTTAAATTGTTTTTAAAGGATAAATTTATTTTTTTACCCAAAGGTTTTAATTCAATTCCATTAATTCCAAAGTGCCATCTACCTTTATGATTTAAATAAGAAGAAAATGAAGATTCTTCTTTACAATGATGACCAATTCTTTCTGTCAAGTTTTTAGTCAAATAATTATTATCAAAATTTTCTTTGGTTAATTTGAAATTTGAATGAAAATATCTTTAAAATAACAAATATTTTTTTGGAAAAACTAAATACTTTTTAAATGTTCTCCTAACAAAATCCAAATTCATAATAATTGATCGTTCAAAAAGCTTCACAAATCGACTATCACGGCGAAAAATAAGATGTGAACTAACTTCGGGCATTCCTTCGGAAACAAATACAAGACCGGCTCCACATCTAAAAGGATAAATAATTTTGTTTAACAAATAAAAAACCTTTCTTTAGCCATTTGCATTCCAATACTATCCTCTTGTATTGGATAAATATAGCCACCTTTTAAAACTTTATCTAACGCCTTAGGAACTGTACTAGCTATATGAATTGGATTTTGAGCAATTGCAAGCCGCAAAGAACGATAATGAGAAACGTTAGAATTGTGGAGTTCTTCAAAATACCTTTGTTTTAAATTTAAATATTTAAATTTAAAAATTATTTAAAACCAATTTCCAATATAATTAGTAATTAATTTAAAACGTTGACTTCCAATTAATCTAACCATTTCTCGAGCATCTCTAAAAGGGTTATCAGCCACTGGCTGTAAAAGTGCCGATAATAATAATGTTTGGTACATATCAAGTAGAAGACGGCATTGCATTATCTTTGATTTTAAAAAATTTTTTAATGAAAGATTTGTTGTTTTTTATAAAAAAATTCTCAACTGTAAAAATAAGTATAGCAAAATTTCCCCCAGCTGTTCGAAAATCAAAGCTGTCTGGCTGATACAATTGTAAACGAATTATTTTCCAAAATATTTGAAAAGGTTCTAATTGGTTACGACGCCCAATTCTTACTTCTAATTTAGCCACATAAAGACAAAACTTTAAAAATTTATAAAAGATCTTGAAAAACCATTAATTTTCAAATGAAATACCAAGGTTTGCAGGATTAACATAACACCCATTGAAAACCAAGTAGAAGGAGAATAAGGCATAAATGCATTCCAAATATTCCATTCATCATGTTGACTATGAACAACATAAGTTGGTTTTACATTTGTTATTGGATAGGAAAAAGAAAAATGTTCGGCACGAAGTTGGGTACGTTGAAAGAAAAGACAGGCTGTATCAACAGTATTGTTTTGAATAAACCCTAAAACTCCATTCCAAGTACCATTATCCTTTAAAATTAAATTTAAAAAATTTTTCAAAATACTTACATGAGATCCCCAATTTAATTCACCAATTTGATTATTAAGAATAAATGGTTCAATTTTTAATTTTAAATATTCAGTTAAATAACTAATAATCTAAGTAATATTTTAAAAATTAAAATTTAATTGTTTTTAAAAATATATACCTCAACACACCATCCTGGAAATGGACATTCAACACTTGGTTTTAAAGTTGGAAAATGACGACATTCATCAAAGGCATCTGGAGGGTTTCTAGCAAAAAGAATTCGGATTTTATTATTCATTTATTTTAATTTTAAGGGTAAAAATATACTTATAAACTCGCCATCCTGGTTTATTATTTACATTAAACAAAAAGCCTTTTTATTTAGGGCATATCCATATTAATTTCATCCATTCCAATACTAAAAATTTTAAAAATATTGAACGCCCTTTCAATTACAAAATTAAGGGATAATAAATAAATTGTTGTTCGTCTTAATTTTTTTAGTTAATTATATGGTTTTTGGCCTTTTGCGCATATCACTTAAATGATTAATTACAAAAATACAAACCAGTTATTCTAGTGTTTCGTCATAATTTACTATATTTTTAGTCATTTTTAAATAAATTCGTTAGTTGCAATTTATTTTTAAACATTTTCTTGCTTAACTTTTATTAATTTAAATAAATTTAAAGAATATTTTTTATAGTAAATTAAAATTTGGCATTATTGCTTTCAATGAACTTCAAATTAATTTTAAATTTATTTACAATATTTGTATTATTTAAAAACACAAATGCACAAATACCTTCTCTACCCCCCGGTGCAGCAATTGCCCCCGAGGGTGTCCCACACGGTCCGCCCGGAACTATTAATGAAGAGACAATTCAGCCACCTACAAATATTAAACCTAGTGAAGAAGAAGTCATTGGGAGGTAAAATAAAATATTTTTTAATATTTTTTGAAATTTAGTTTGCTTAAAAATCCTGGATTGCCACCTGCATTACCACCCTCATTGTCTACAAATACAGAAAATAATGGAAATAACCCATTAGCAAACAATAATGAAGAAAAACCTGAAAATAACAAAAATTTGGAAGATAAAAAGGAAGAAAAAATTAATTCGGGAGAAAATAAAAATAATAATGAGCAGATTAATGAAGAATTTAGAATTGGACAAGGTATATAATTTGTTTCTCTTGAATATATTTATTTAAAAACAAAGAAACAACTCTACCTTCTTTAGCGGATTCAATCCCGACAAATTCTGAAGGTTTCCCACCAGCTTCACCACCTAGTTATATTCAATGTCTTCACAGAATCCAATCAAAAATATGCGATCCAGATAATGTTTTAATACAAAGTCAAAAAAGTGAAATTGATGAAATGCTTAAAGAATTAGAAGATGCTACTCGAAAAGTAAACTTTTAGAAAAAATAAATTTGATCCTAAAATTCTAAAAGGATAATTTACAAAATGAATGCGATCGTAGTGGACTTGAAGTGATGGTTATAATTGTTAAGCATTCAAATCTACTTGATAATACTTTAGATGTTTGTTTTTCTTTTAACTATAATACTAAATATATCTAGTTAAATTTAATTTTATAGTCTGTTCAAAAGAAATTAAGTGATGCATTAAATATTTGGGTACAAGATCCAGATCATCATTGTGAAAAACCTTTAATTTTAATGATGAGTGCTGATCCTGAAATTCCAAACCGAAAAGTTTGGACAGGTCGTCATTATTCTGTTCCTGTGGATCCTGCTGAGCTAGTCAAACTATTTATGGATCAAGTAATAAAGAATTTTTGTGACTCGAATTTATTACCTATTAAATTATAGGAACAATTACTCGCAAAAGAAAAATATTCGGAAGTAATATTAAACATAATAGACGGTGTTTTGAATAAATACGAACAAAGAGCATTTAATGGATAAATAATTAATCATTTAATGAATAATAATAATTAATATTATAATAATATTTTTCAATAATTTATTAAATCTATTTTTTAATTAATGCACTATATACTTCACGTGTAAGTCCACAGGAATTCACACCTCTTTTTAAAAATAATAAAAATATGTTTAACTTGTTTAACTACCTTCTCATATGCAAATATCCTCCATTAACTCCATAACCACTTCCCCAACTATTTTTTAAAATCCAATAAGGAATGTCTTTGTCATTTACTCCATATCCTATAACCTCCATTGAGTGAGATCCTAAAGATTCGTAGTTACACTCTTCTGAACTTGGTGAAAAAATTCCTCCTTTATAATGATACATGCTTTTAGTTGCATTCATTCCTTTTTAATTTTTAAAAATATTTTTTTTAATTTTAATTACCAAAAGTAACAGGCCCGTTTGTGGCAATCCAATCAGCAATTTGATCCTCATTTGAAGGCAAAGAACGCCATTCATCGATAAAAACGCGTTGAGTTGGATCCTTAATATTTTTGATTTTATAGATCAAATTCTTTAAGGTATGTTCTTGATATTAATTAAATTTTATTTTACTATTGGACCAGAAGGAAGTTGGCATTTTCCATCATTACCACGATACTTAAATTTTAATTTAAAAATTATATTGCCAAATTTCATTTTTTAAAAACCCACTGGATAGGCATTTTCTGAGAGAAGACCTTTATCTCGAATATAACTAAAATTAATTTTTAATTTTTGAAATTCATAATAAATTATTACCGTAATGCATAAGGACGGAAACCACCCTCACATCCATTTTCAGCCGAATCACAATCAATTAATTGCTTTAAAAAATTTTTTAAATATTTTTATTATAGAAATAACTTGTTCTGAAAGTCTAACAAGTGTTCCATTTTGAATAGCATGCATTGTTTCGACCATTCCAACAACAGAAAAAGCCCAACATGAGCCACAATTTACTAAAATATCAACTTTTTCTATTAGTTTTTCTAACTCACATTGGTTTTTAACGTGTGTAACAACACCTTTTTCTCGCCAGTCCCATTGTTTTGGACGTACATATCCTTGTTTTGTTTCAACTTTAATAACTTTGTTCAATTGTCTCACTTTTATTTGTTCATTATAATTATGTGTAATTAATAACTTAATATTTAAATATTTATGTTATGAATATTTTTATTACTTTTGCTATTTCCTCTTCAGTCCAATCAAAAAATTCGGTTACTCCCCAAATAGTTTGGCCTTCAATTCCTTGTTTTCTTTCCTGATCCAAACGTTGTTCAAGTAAATACATGTTTAAAGAAAAGGCAATAAAACGTTTATTTAGTTCATCATATGAAGAATAATTACGAGAATAACTTTTAAAATTAGTTTTTAAATTCTAGTGAATATTTTTACGTTTTTTGGAATATCTTAAATTCATTATGAAGCCGTTTATATTGATAAAAACGATCTTTATCCGTCGTTAATTCATTATTATTTAAACACAATATCCGTTGAAAAAGAATTGCTAATCCGGTCATCAATAGAAGAAATGAAGAAGCAAGCAAAAATATTTTAAACACAAAAGAACTTTAAAAAATTCTTAAATTATGCCGTTTGTAATTATCTCTCAAACCTCGCCAAATATAACGAACGGACAGAAAAATTAAACTTGTATAATTCTTCAATTGAATTTATTTGGGGCAAAAAATAATTAGAAATATAATTTTTTGATTTAACTGAATTTATCTCATTAGATGATTTTACTGGCATATCATTAGGGAATAAGGAAGTTGGACGATCTCCGTAGTCAGATCTGGCATCGCTTTTTTGTGGAAAATCGTCAATTTGATGGTAAATCATTTAAAATATTTATTTTTGAGGGGAAATATCTTAATTAAAAATTAATATTATTTAAATGATTAAAACTTCAGTTAACGCTAATATTATACCTATGTTTACTATTGTCTGATTTCTGATAAGAATTTTAAAACTGGTGTTATTTTGAATTCTCATTTTATTAAATAGATAAGAAAAATCAATGATAGTTATATTATTTACTTATTTTATTATTTCCATGATAAGAATCTTAATTTCGTTTAACGGGGCGCCGCAAAGGTCGTGAGCCACAAATGTTGCGCGCCGCAAATGTCGTATTGGACAAAGGTCTATGAACGCAAATGTAAGTTCCATAAATGTCGTTTTCGCAAATGTCGCATTAAAAATGTACAAATTTTTTTAAATTTTTTTTTAAATTTAGATTTTAAAATTAATTTTAATAATTCTAAACCTACATATACATGCAACCAATAAATATTTAATTTAATCAAATAATATGATTAGCCAAAATCCGTCTACCGATCAATCTTCATTTTTTTCACCATTGTCAGAAGATATTTTAATTAGTCCAGCAACCAATTCTAATGAAAAGCATAATCAAACACCACAATTAAAGGTTTTAATTTAATAAAAATTATAATCCTTAATTAAAATTTAAATTATTTAGTGTAGAAGAAGATTAACTTTGGAAAATTCAAATAAATCTAAAAATACTGGAACTGAAATTAAAAATAATAAAAATAAAATCGATAAAGAAACAAATGAAGGTTTGACTTTAAAGTATATTTAATTTTTCATACATGAAGGTGGAACCGATTCTGCTCGACAAGATAGTTCTCTTCTAAGTCTTACTAAGAAGTTTTTGGCTTTACAGATGCAAAAACCAGGGGTAATTTTAATGGAAAAATTTTTTTATTTTAAGCACAATTACTTCTTTAGAATATTTTTTTTAATTTTTAAAGGTTCTCAACTTAAATGAAGCAGCTGAATTACTTGGTTTAATACGATTATATTTAATAAAATTTTTATTTTTTGAAAAGGTGTTCCAAAAAGACGTCTTTATGATATTACCAATGTACTTGAGGGTGTTGATCTTATTGAAAAAATTGGCAAAAATAGTATTAAATGGAGGTTATTTTTGATAAAATAAAAATATTATACTTCTTTTAATTTTTCTAGGGATCAATCAGAGTTTACAAATTCAGTAACATATCAAAAATTAAACAAAGAAAATATTGAATTAATTAATGAAGAAATAGGTTTAGATAAATTTATTCAATCAGTCTCGTCTTCACTTAAATTAGCAAAAGAGGACCCAACAGATGCTTTTTATAGGTTTTTATAAATTTATTTTAAGAATATTTTTTTAATAAAGTTATTCTCTTTTAACTGATTTTCGTTCCTTGGATAATTTTAAAAATAAAATGTTAATTGCTGTTAAAGCTCCAAAAGATTCATCATCTTCTATTGAGGTTTGTATTTAACAATTTTTAAATAAGTGATCGTTCCGAATAAAATATTTAAAAAATTTCATATTTTTTTCGCTTTTAGGTTGTTGATCCAAATGAAACTCAAGTAAATAATTAGTTTACATTTCTAAATTATAAAATTAAATTATATTTTAAATTTTAGAAATTTGAAGTTATTATTAAAAATGAAAATGGTGGACCTTTAAATTCTTTTGTTTGTCCGGAAGATATTAATGAAAATATTGAAGAGGTTCTTTATTATGAATATATGGGTACACCTCACGAACCCAGGTTACCGCGAACCTCCTATGACTTCGTTCAGAATTTTTGAATCCGGGACGTACTGGGATGGCTGAATCGAACCATACCACGTGGTCTCGGATTTGACAATTTTGGCTCGGCGGTACCTTGGTCTTCTCCCAAATATATTTTTTATTTTAACTAAAAGTATTTTTATTGTAGAATAATTCAATAAATAAATTAACTCCTTCAAAATATTCAAATAAACAACAAAAACAGCAAGAATGTAGACAATTTACTCCCCCTTTTTCACCAATTAAAATGGCAATGCTTCTTTCTTCACCTTGTAAAATTGACAATAAATATTTGCAAACTGAAGCAATTTCTTCAAATAAAATTGTTTTTATTTTTATTAAATTTTAATTTAAAGAACAAAATTATTTTTTAGGAATTTTTACAAGAAAATACTTTACTTTCATTAGACCCTCCAATTGAAGAAAATAATATTAACCCTTATTATAATTTGTCACTTTTGGATGAACAACAACAAAATTCTGATGTTAGTATTTTAAATGCAATATTTGGAAATGATTTTTAAAAATGGTTTGATTTTTTAATTTTTTTCGCAAATTTATTTTTTTTAATTATCTTGTGATTGAAGGCAACGAAATTAATGTTACGGCTAAATTTCATTATAGGGTTATCAAAAATTTTGGCTCTGGTCCATTAAAAAGTTTATGAATCCAATAAAAACTCGTATAAGTCCAAACAAAATTTTACGATTCCAATTTAAATCGGGGAGTACACCTTTCCTCTGCAAAAGTTTTTATTTTTTTACAATTTTAATTTTGTTGTCTTCAATTCATTTTTGATTATTCCTTTAAATCTAAAGAATTTTCAGTTTAAAAAAATTTTCTAAAAAAATTTCTGTTTTCGCCATTTATGTGCATTAAAATTTTTTGTCAAATAAATCTTTTTCTTACTTAATCTTTTTTTAAACAGTGAGAATTTATAGGTAAATATTTTTTAAATTAATTTGTCAAATAATTAATCAAATTTAAAGTAATAATTCGCCCAATTTGTCATTTTTATGGTAATTTAAATTAAAAAAAAAACAAAATACAAACAAATAAAATATTTTTTTAAATTTTATAATAAAATAATTGAATGACGCAAAAAGATATGAAGAAATAAAATTAAAATCAAATTTGATGCGCATACAGGCGTAAATTTGGCGAATTATTTGAGTGTTTTGATTGAAAAAATGTGAAGTTGGGGGACATTTTAAATAAATGTTCGTCCGTAAATAGATTTGCGGACAAAAAATTTTAACAGAAAAACAAAAAAAGAATGGTAATATTTTCTACATTTTATATGGATAAAATCAAAGTTTATATGCTAACTGATCTTTTAAATTAAATAGAAATTGTTATCTTGTAATTTTACAAAATAAATGCTATTTCATTTTAAACAAAAAATTTCAAAAAAATCCGCAAAATTAAAAAAAAATCCCCATTAAATTTTTACAATCAAAAAAAGAAGAAAGAAAAGATGATCGAAAACTTGACAAACAATTATAAAAGAACACAAATTATTCACTTCTGGCCAAATATAAATAAAAGAATTAAATTGTCTATAAAACAATTTAAAGAAAAACAAAACTTGAGAAAATGAAAAGATTTAACAATTTTTCTTTGATTATTTTTCTATTTTTGCTAATTTTGTTGTTAAATTTATGCCAAGCAAAGATGCGATATGAGTCAGTATTATCAAGACGGACAAAACGCTATGGTTATGGGGGATATGGCGGATATGGATATGGTCTGTATAAAAATATTTATTATTAGGAATTTTTTGTGACGTAAAATTGGCGTGAGATAACATGAATATTTTTTACCATCCTGAAATTGAAGTCATTATTTTAACTATAATTATTTTTAAAATTATACACTATATATTTCAGGTGGAGGTATGGGAGGTGGATGTTGTCAGTGTGGAATGTGCGGGGGTGGTGGTTATTCTGGAGGCTATGGAATGGGTGGAGGTTGCGGATCTTGTGGAGGAGGTAATAAATTTAAATGTTTAAAGACATAAATTTTAGTAGGAATAATTCGAATATTTTCTAAAGGACAAGAATATTTAAAAATATTTTTTAATGTTAGGATATGGACCGTTTGGTGTTGGTGCTGCTGGACTCTTACAAGGCGTTCTTTTCGGAGGAAAATAATCCTAAAAAATTTGAAATGAGGATGAAAAATAGTTGATCCTCTTTTATGTTATATATGTACATAATATTCATTTATACGACAGTTGAAAATTTTGTAATTAGGACTTTCGTTGAACATGTATTTTGGTAGTTTAGACTACCTTAAAACCTAAAGCACAAAAATTATATTAATTTTCTTGTTCTGAATTATTAAATATGTATTTATTCAGCACTTCTATTTTTAATCTCAGAAATTTTAAAAATTTAAAAGCATATTTTATGTTAAAAATACTGATAACATTGTTTATTTTTGATGAATATGGTCGGTTTTATATTATAGTTTTATTAAATCAAATAATTATTTTTTATTGGTTAATAAATATTATAATTAGCTTTTCTGATAAATTCGGTAACACTACAAGCTGGAGCCAATCTTGATTTGAATGTAGTAGTTCTGGTACAGAAATCTTTTGTCAGAGAAGGATGCAATGATTTGCTCTTGTTGGATGGTAAGAAAGGAATTTCTAGTTAAATTGATAAATAAATTGCCATAAAATAGTCCTGTACACGGATAAGCGTCTTGATATTATCTGTATCCGTGTCCATGCACAGGTCTTTAGTATGAAAATTTCTTAAAATTCCCCTATCATCGAAAGATTGCATTAAACGCAAATGTACACAGAATGTCCTGTATAAAGTTGATTTGGGTTATAGCAAAGTGAGAAGAAGTGCGGAAGGTACATTAACAAATTATTCTCAAAGTATGATTAGACGAAATAATGAAATGCTTGAAAAAATTGCAATAAAAAATTCTCAAATGCAAAATGATGCTTTCCAACCTTTTTTGTGAATTTAAAAATACTTTAAAATTTTTTTAAAATATTTAAGATATTTAGAATTTAAGCGTTTAATAGAATTATTTTATAATGGAAATAAAAGAATATTTGCACTTTTCAATATTTCAATGTTTGAAAATAGAGATGATTTCAATTAAAAAATCTTTTTTAGGGAAGAATTGATTAATGAAAAATTAGAAATTGTTGAAAAGAATAATTATTGTGATAATAAACTGGTATTTCTATTTATTTTTTAAAATAATTCTATTTTATTAGCTTCCAGAATTTGAGAAAATAAAAAAAGAATTGTTACAAATCTTAACAAATAATTGGAAAAAACCAATTGTTTCTTCAAGTAACGACTCGAGATTGTCGGTTAACTTTTTTGATGCAATTAAAAGGAGAATTATTCCATCTCCTATTCAAGTATAAAATTTTTCTTAAGTATTTCATAAATTATTTAAAAAGATGATAGACGCAATGAACAATCCAATTCAAAAATCAATGATTATTAAAGTTATTTTAATTATTTTAAATCTTAAAATAATTAACAGTACACTAATCAACTTTATTTGCTTCTGTTACGTTTATCTGTATTAAATGGAAGAGGAGAAAAACAAAAATTAGATGGAAAATGCCTTTCACTTCTCAAGGAAGTCAATCGGATAATTGAAGTAAACAAAATGTTTTAAATTATCAAAATATTTTAAAACTCTGATAAAAGAATGAGCCAATAGTTATTCGCTTGAATTACTCGCCTTCTCGTAGTCTTTTCATTCGTGATCTTGAATCATTACTTAAAACTCGTGCATCACGTGGTCAACGTGGATCTTATTATGAAAATAATATGTCTACGTAAATTTAGTACTCTATTATAAATCTATTAATTTTTATCCAGTATTAGATTTCGTTTTATGTCAATGACTGCTATAATAATGGAAGAATCACGTGAATATAACAGTTTTAATTTAATGGGTTTTAATTGAAAATAATTCAAATACTTTAAATATTATTCTAGTCGATCTTGGCTCAACACTTGGACTTTATTTTGGACTAACAATCTTAACAATTTTTGAATTTATAATTTTTATTCTTTATCGTTCTGCGTCTCATAACCCAGCAGAAGTACAAAAACCTCCACCGGAATCAGTTATTTACAACATTCCTCTTAAAACTAACATAAACAAAAAAGAATTAAGACAAAGAAAGAAAAAGAAAAATTATATAATACCTATAATTTCTTAAAAATAAAACATTTGAAATTATAAAACGTATCTTGAATAGAGTTGGGACAAAACAATGTAATACCTTTTTGCCTTGTACCATTTTGTCTTTAATACTATTTTGTCGCAAGTACCATTTTGTCTTTAATACCATTTTGTCCCAAGTACCATTTTGTCAATACTAGTCTCTAATTGAAAATTTTATAATTGAAAATTAAATGTCTTTAATGTTTTATTCCTCTTTGTTTCTTGTTAAAGGAATTAATTATTATTCTAGACGAGGTCTTAAGGTAATAAAAACTTTTTTTTCATTTTTAAAAATATTTCCTAGACTCGTCTTCCTCTTATTTCTGAACTCAATAAAATTAGAAATATAGGCATAATAGCCCATATTGATTCTGGAAAGACAACATTAACAGAACAATTACTTTATCAAACGGGGAGTACCCAATCTGTTGGTTTTGTAGATGAAGGGAGTACAATAACTGATTTTATGGAAATTGAACGGGAAAGAGGTTTTTATTAGGAATTTTTTTTAATATTTTAAAAATTTTCCCATTATTTTTTAAGGTATAACAATTCAATCTGCATCAATTTCTTCTCTATGGAAAAATCACAGAATTAATTTAATTGATACTCCGGGTAAATTTTTACTATAAAATTTATTTAATTTTTTTTAATTTTAAGGTCATGTAGATTTCACCGTTGAGGTCGAAAGGTTTTTATTAAAAATTGGTTAGCTACCTTTTATTTTTAGAAGTTTACGAGTTCTTGACGGCGTTGTTACTGTTTTGGATGCATCAGCGGGCGTTCAGGTTTTTCTGAATAAATATTTCTATAATATTTTCAGGCTCAAACTTTGACAGTATGGAGACAGGCAAATAAATTTAGTTTGCCTTCAATATTTTTTGTAAATAAAATGGATAAACCTTGTGTTGATTTAAGTTTTTGTGTTGCATCTATTGAAGAGAGACTAAATGTTAAAGGTTCCTGGCAAAAAATATTTTTTAATCATTTTTAGTTATTCCTATTGTTTTACCCTTTTTTAATAAAGATGGGCATTTGGAAGGATTTATTGATGGTAAGTAAATTATGTATAAATAATTTTTATTTTCATTTATTTTTAGTTTTAAACAATTTGTTTTTAAAGTTTACAAGAGAAAATAGAATACAAAATAATAGTTTTGAATGGATACATATAGAGGTATTATTTTAAATTTTTAAAATGAAAGAAATTTCTTTTAGAAAAATTCTCAAATAGAACAAATTTTATTATCTGGATTTGAAGATATTTGCCTTAACCTTGCTGATATTGATTCAGAATTTGAAAAAGAAATAATAAAATATCCGAATTTAAGAAATATTCCTAAAGAAATGGTTATTAAAGGTTTTTTAAGTTACAATTATTTAATATTTTTATATAGCTCTTCGTAGAAATTTAATTTCAAGAAAATTATCCCCGCTTGCTTGTGGTTCAGCTTTGCATTGTTCATTGAGTATTTTGCCTGTTTTGGATATGATTGTCGATTTTTTGCCGAATCCTACTGAAAACGATTATAAAAATAATAAAATTGATGATGAAATTATTAAAAGTTGTGGAATTGTTTTTAAGGTTCTTAAATTTATAAATTGTAAATAGTTTGCTCTTCAAAAAATTAACATTTTTAGATTCATATTCTTTAAAAAAATCTTTAAATTGATTTTCTTAGGTCAGTCACGACACGAAAGAAGGACAGTTAAATTATGTTCGTCTCTTTAAAGGCGATATTGAACTTCCTTCAGCTGGTAAATATACGTTAATCAATGCAAATACAGGTTTGCCTTTAAATATATTTAATTATATAATTTTCACAAATTTATTATAGATGAACTTCAAAATAATTATAAAATTTTTACACCATTTAGTGATTATTTACAACCAATTGAAAAAGTTGAGAATGGGAATATTGCTGTATTTACTGGCCTCAATAATACTAAAACTGGGGATACCCTTATTATTTGGTATTTTAATAATTATGCAGTATCCTTTAAGATATTTTTAGTGATTCTTCATGCAAAAATAAATCATTTGCTCGTTTTGCATTGGAAGGTATTAATTCACCATCCCCGGTGTTTTCATGTACAATTGAATCACCAACTTTGGCTAGTGAACAGAAATTTTTAAAAGCACTTTCCGAGCTTCGTAATAATTTTTAAATATTTTTAAAAAATTATTTTATTGAAATTTATGAATTTATTTACTAATCGATTTTAATTTTCAGTTGTTGAAGACCCTTCTCTTCGGATAAGGGAGGATTCCAACACTGGACAAAAAATACTTGAGGGGATGGGAGAATTGCAAATTGAAGTCCTTCGTGAACGATTATTGAGAGAATATAAATTGGATGTTTTTATTGGGCCTATAAGGGTTTAGACAAATTTTTATAAAATTTTTTAATAATTAAAAATTTCTCTTTTTAATTGTTTTAATTAAATTATATTAAATTCATTAGATTGGTTACCGTGAATCTCCAACGAAGCCAGTTGAACACTCAAAAATAATTGAAGACTCATTATCTCAAAAATTACATCAATCTTGGATTTCTTTGAAATTTTATATTGAACCTATAACGAAATATGATAATTTTATTAGTGTGGAAAATAGATTTGGAGTATTTACTGGGGTTTGTTAAAATTCCTTTAATTAATTTTTAATTATATTACAGGTAGAGTTATCATTAGAATCAGAAAATACAGAAGAAATAGAATCTGCAAATGAAGTACTTTCAAAACGGCCAGAGTTGCTTAAAGCAATTAACGATGGTTGTAGTGTTGCTTTATTCAATGGACCAAAAATGGGATTTGCTGTTACCAATGTTAAAGTATTTTTAAAGTAATTACATATTTAAAAAAGATGTCATTAATAGGGCGTCACAAGACTTTGGAAACCTTCATAAAAATTTAATTTTTAGTTTTGTTTTCAAAAAATTTTTTAGATCTTTTACATTTTCCGGTCGTATTCAACCAACTTTATTAAGTGCCTGCGCTAGTCGTTGCCTTTCTGGTGCTTTAAGAAAATCAGCAATAAATATTCTTGAGCCTTTAATGCAAATTGAGGTTACTATCGTTGCTGGAATTTCTGGTTAATAATATTTATTTAAATAAGTCTTTTTTAATTAAGGTTTTCCTGATGTAGATAATATTTTGCATGAATTATCTAAAAGGAGGGCTCGTGTTATTAGCGTTGACAGCCAAAGTAATTATATTTACTGTATTGTCAAAATATTTATCTTTAGGAAAAACATCAATAATTACTGCATCAATTCCTTTATCAGAAACAATTGGACTTTCCAAAATTTTGAGAACAATTTCTTCTGGATTGGCAAGTTTTAATTTAGAACAAAAAGGCTATCAATCTGTTGATGTTGAAAATGTTCATATAAATATTTGAAACTTTATAAAAAGGTTTGTTGATTTTTTCATTTTATTGATAAAATTTTATATAAAAATTTGCGTTATTTGTTTATTTTAAAATTATTTTTAAATATTTTCAATTTTTTCTTTAAATCTTCTCATTCTAGCTTCATTACTAGCTGCCACTTTTTGTCTAGCATTCAAAATTGGTTTTACATTTTTTAGTTTTTTCAGCCAAACAATGATAAATATTATATAAAGGAATGGTGATAAAGCAATTAGAATAAGAAATAAAACAATATAAGGAGCTAAAAGTCGGTCCTTGATCTTTGGTGCACATGGTTCCTAAAATTGATTGTCTCAACAATTCCTCCAATTAATATTTACCTGTATTCCCATTTGTTCGAGTAATTGATGTTCTACTTTTAATTTACAACCAAAATTATTTTCAATTGGATCGGAAAGTGCTTTTCTTTTGTCTTCTGGAACTTCTGAAGTTAAGTAAAAATCCAAAAGCTTGTCTACTAATGAATGAAATGCAAAGGCGTTTGGTAATAGAGTAATAATAAACATAAAGAGTTGAATAATTAATAAAAGGCATATAGCAGCTAAAATCATCTAAAAATATTTTTTGGAATTTTCGATTTAAATTTAAAATACCCCGTATGCAATTCTACTGCTTTTACTTGCTTGTATGCCACCACGTCGACGGCAAATAATTATTCCAGCAATACTCAAAAGAATTCCCAAAATACAAATGAGAATAATTAAAATAATTTTTTGATCAGTTTCGTGGAACCTTTCTTTATATAAATTCAATTCGGATATTTGCTCTGTTCTTCTTAAAACAATTGGGCGAAGACTATCTGCCGTTGATTTTGTTGTTGGGGAAGTTTCTAAAAGGTTTGGCAATAAATTAGGTATACGTCTTTGGTTTGCTGAAACAGATTTTAAAGGCGAAAGTAAATTTAACAAGCGAAAGTTCAAAAAACGCGAAACTAAAAAAATTTTTCCGATATAATGGAAAATCTGAAAATCAGGCAAATCAAAGCTTAAGTGAAACACGTGTTTCATACAAACCTTACCTTTAGAAATTGATTCATTTCCTTCAGTAGATAACGTGCCAGTTTCTGCAATTACTGTTGTTTTTATAAAACTAGTTGTAGTAGTAGTAGAACTTTCAATTCCCACAAACTGAGCAACTTCTTTTTGCTAAAATCTTTTTATTTTTATTTACAAATAAATACCTGTAATTCTAATATTTCTTTTAGAATTCCTTCTATTAATTCAACTAATGTTCCATTTGCAGATTCATGATAAATTGTGTTTATTATTAATACAGTAGCTATTGTAACCAGACAAAAAAGCGAAATTGGGCCTATACGACTTTCCAATTTTTTGCCAAAATTGACCTTTAATAAATTTAAAGAAAATTAAAATTCTCTAAAAATTTACCAATGTTTCATCTCGAATCGAAAGTCTTGGCCTTATTCCTCCACCACGTAGACCACCACTTCCAGAATGAGTAGGTGACAATTGCTTTTGTATTTGTTGTTTTTGTGTTCGACTATTAGTTTCTTCCATTAAAGTTTAAAAACTAAAAAAATTTATTCAAAATGTAAATTATTATATTAATTCTGAGAGAAAGAATATGAAAATTTTGAAATTAAATTATGATAGTTATTAGCGAAATTGACAACTGTGATAAATTATCTTTTTTCAATATAAAATTATTGAAGAAATAAACATATTTTCTTTTTTTTTAGTTTTTCAAGTAGTTATCATTTCAGTACATGTTTGCGTAAAAAAAGTTTGTATTTGCTCATCACATGCTACAAATATAAATTGTAAATACTTTAAATTTAACCTTGAAAAAAAATAATATAAAATCTGTTTTGATGTTACATATAATTCTTCTAGATATCTACGTTTTAGAATTTTGTTTTTGAATGTTTTGAAATATTTTGAGTGTTGTAGTTATTTAATTGTAAGTTTTCACCACAATAATTCCCACAAAAAATATTTAATTAGAAGTGATGCGCAGTGTAACTGTTTTTAATTGCGTATTTTTACTTTCGCCTTTTCAATAGTATAGAATGGTAAACAAATAAAAAAAGTTTTTGGGATGAATGCCTCTTTAATTGATTGATAAAATTTTTTCGTTAAATTTAAAATAGAAAGAGAGAGTTGACGCCATATGATTTTTTGTTAACGTTCATTAAAATAAATACTATTACGTGAAAATGGCAATTAATAATTGAACTTTATGGGTTCAATAGCAAGTGTAAAATTGAAGAAATAATTTTTCATATCAACCTTTTTTACTGTTTATGGCATTCTGAAATTCTAAGGCGTTATGACAATCGGACAATGAGACAGTAAGACCATTGGTCGGAGAACGATTAGACAGAAAATGACAATTTTCATTTCACATGAGGACATACAATAAGACATGATTCGTTTTCGTTTCATACATTTAAAATGTAGAAGGCGAAATTTTACATACATACTATTTTCGATATCTCTACCCTGATCTACCTACTATAAATAATCAAATGTCCTTAGACCAAATGTTTTCTGTCCAATATCTATCTGTCCAATTGTCGTGCCACTTAAATCATATTTTTACTTTTGAATGTCGTTGTCATGGTGATGCGTTTCTCCTTATCTATGTATTTGTAAACCTAATTTTAAACAAAAATGTCAGATTCTGATTCGCAAAAATATCTAACAATAAGAAATGAAATAGATGTATTTGTATTAGCTCGTAAACAATTAGAAGAACGGCGAAAAATTGACGAGGAACAAGAACAACGTTGGGCAATTGTTGCTAGAAAGAAAATGAATCAAGGCTCGGGGAACGAAAAACAAGGTAACTTTTGAGGACTCGACTTTTGAGGATAATCTCCATTAAATTAGACATAAGGTCAGTGATAAAAATAATATATAGAAGAGCTCATATTTGTGAAAATAAACCTATTTTTAGGCGTAATTTCTGAAATTAAAAATATTTTTACATCTCAAAAAGTTATGCAGTATCCTCGAATGTCGAGTAACCGAAATTCTTAATTTGACTTAAATTTTTTAGAAGAAAATTCCACAGATTTGAATAATACAAAATCAATAGCAGGTTTAGATGATTCTACTTTAATATTCTGTGGAGCACCAAATTCAGTTATATTACTTTAATTTATTTTCTTATTTTTCCCTTAAGGGTAAATCAACGTTATTATCTCGTTTTATTGAATTTGGCGGTGCTCCTTCAACATCATTTCGTCAACAACCTACTGAAAAAAGTATTGCTCTTGAATATAAATTTGTTAACAAAATACTAAGAGGAAGTGTTAGTTTTTACATTGGATTTTGAAAAATTCTAATCATAATAGAGTCGTCAGTTAGTTCATTGCTGGGAATTGGCTGGTGGTGGTTCAATGACCAATTTGTTAGAAATCCCTTTTAATCAACCTTCTAGGATCGCTTCTATATTGCTTTTTGTTGATTTGACAATGCCTGAACAATTGCAACAAATAACTGATCCAATTATGACATTTTGTCAGAAGCAAGTTGAGAAATGGATGATAACAGATATAGAGCCCCAACAAATAAAAGAAGAGTCGAAAATTATAAAGCCTCTTGGTATTCCATTAGTACTTGTATGTGGACGTTATGATGACTTCCAGGTTTGGATATAAGATTCGTTTTTTATTTTATCTCTTAGAATTTTGAAAGCGAACGCAAAAGATTAACTTATCGTTCAATCAGACAGTTTGCACATATTAATGGAGCGTCAATAATTGTAATTTTGTGTTTATCTATTACTATATTTTTTTGTATTATTTAATTTTCAACTCCCAGACATTTAGTGCACGAATAGATTCTTTAATGCAAAAGGCACTTTTATTGCTTTCAAATGCAGTTTTAGATGTGCCTTTCCCAAGAACATTTGCAACTGATCCTCAACAGCCTCTTTTTGTATTACCATATGGAATTGACTCTTTTGAGGTAATAAATTTTGTTTAGGTAAACAAGAAAACATCGTTTTTCAGAAAATTGACCCTTCAGAAGAATCTTTAATTAATTCTATAAGTTCATATAGTGAAGCTATGTTTAATTATATACAATCATTAAATTCTGCTTTCCCTCAACTACAGCAACAAATTGATGATGCTGGAGGAGGTGAGCGAGATAGACGACAACAATTCGATGAACCTAGAATTGATGCATTTGTAGAGGAAAGAATGAGGGTATTTTTAACAATATTTTAAATAAATTTTAAAAATATTTTAAAGAAATTAGAATTGCATGTTAGAGAATTGCAAGATAGGTTAAAAACAGAGAAAAACTTGGAAAATCGACAAAATATTTAAAAAAGTTTTTTAAACGTTATGTAAATCTTTTTTATTAATTTAGCTATTAAAAACTCTAACTACTAAAAAATTCAACTTGCAATTTTGCCCTTTATTTTTTATTACTACTTGAGACAGAAATCATAGAAATATTGTCTTCCCTATTGTTGCTTTTAAATTTTTTATATTTTTAAATCATTTATAAGAAATAGGATTTGTACTTGGGATTTTTTTAGTATTCTTTCTAAATTTGCTGCTTTTGAAGGAATTTAAAGAGTCTGGGGCAAATATTTTGCTTATTTGTTTTCCTTTCTAAATATTGAAAGGAACAGCGCACAGGTCAAACAAAAAGTTAATATGGTATATATAATGGGCAATAGTGTTAGAGTTAAAGAGAGATAGATGATTCTATGACTTTTTTAATTCGTGTATTGGACAGTAAAACGATCATCCTCTTTCTAATAGTCTAAAATTAGCCTATGTTGTTCCTGTTAAAGAAAAACAAACAACCACCTTTCTTATTCTTTGATTTGAAGCGGATGAGCTGGTGAGAGAAGGAGAGCCTTTCGGGAAGAAGTATAGAGAAGGGATATGTCAACCCGAAAGATCATAGCCGAAATGCAACGTTTCTAAATAAAAATCGGTGAAAGGGCAAAATAGCGGTGAAAGGGTAAAAGTATATAAACAGAATTTTAGCGAGGAAGAAAAGTGCGCAGGGTTTAATGGGAGGGCACATATAAGCATTAAGCAAAAAATTAAGAGGGAAAGTAGTTGAAGAGGAAGACAAGAGGGAAATTCTTTAAAAGTTAAGGTCCACAAATCACCTGCTCAATTATTGACCACAATCTAAAGAAAGCAAAAGCTGACCATCATCACTATATTTAAAAACTAAAATTTGTCGATTTAGCCATAAGAAAGGTTAAAAAGAAGGGAAAATTTTTCCCGTTTTTTTCTTACGCATGTTATGGGCAAACAAATTTTAAGGAACAATTCGCCGCACAAGCAAGATGATCATTATTATTTAATAAAAGATCATTACTGTTTTGAATACATAATTTATATTTTGAAATTTATGTTTATATTTTGCAGGCTCAAATGTTACAATCTTTATTGATTTTACTATTATCACTACAAAATATTATTTTCAGCTTTGTACTACTTTTACCAACATCATTTTGTCAAATTATCAATGATGGTCATAACAATTATCAGAACATGCCTATCTCTCAAATTCAGAGGAATAACTTTAATAAATGGCAATCTGGAAGGCATCCATCACTGTTAAATGGTATAATTCTTGTATGGGAGTAAACGGTAGCATGACGAGAACTACGATGCGGAAATTTTGAGTTTTCTGATCTAGGGGCGATTAGTGTTCGAAATTTATTCCGAGTAAGGATCCCGTAGTCAATACAGAAAAGTTATCTGATCTTATCGTGATTATCTTATTTCTCCTAATTGTTTTTCACGGTGGGGAATTATTCTGCGAGTAATTTTCCTTGACCATTTTTAAGTTTTGAATAATATTAATCAACAAACACTTGAACAATTACATCAAAGACAGCAAAATTCTCAACAAAATTCTTTGCAATTTCCAAATTATCAACAAAAACAGCAAAATTATAATCAACAACAACCATATTATTTGAATAATCAAAAAGGCTTGATTCGTCTTCCAAATAATAATAATGCTGAAAGTAGTGAAAAAGGGGAAGCAATAGTTACTGAAATAAAACCTGCATCGCTTACTCATATTTCTGGGCAACATTCATTTTTGGTAAATTAAAATTCTATTTTTAACTTTTGCGCAGGATTTTTTAGGATTTTTAAATTTAATTGCAAGAAAGCTCATTCTATTTATAGGTTGATAGTCGAGAAATATTAATCCCTCCACCACCACCACCTCTTCAGCCTTGGCGTCGTTTAAAAAACATAACACAAAACGAGGAAGAAGAAAATGAAGAAGAGAATATAGAGCCTTTTGAACAACAACAACAAAATTTATTATTAAATGGACCTTGTTTAACTGCAAATTGTAAAACCTGGATAACAATAACTATTCCAAGTGAATTAGTTGGCATACCTTCAGGAATTGGTAGTAATAATGGTGGAGGTGGTAAAACAGAAGAAAATGGCAATGGAAGGCATCGACTTATTGTTCCTGTTTGTTTTCGTTTTTAATTGTTTTTTTATTGTATGATACACTTGCCGACAAATATTTATGATACACCAGTGGCAATTCCTCCGAATTCCATTAGATGTAGATTTTCTCTTTCTTTTAGGCTATAGAAATCAATTTGTCTAGAAGTATCCGGCATTTGATCATATAAACAATTTTTGGAATATTTTTTCATTTTACTTTTCTGTTTTTATGAAAAAATTAACTTTTAGCCAAAACCATTACCTTCTATCGAATCAAAACCTTCAATGCCTCCATTTCCTCCAAAACCAATGCCCAAACCTTTACCGCATCGCAGTAGAGGTTCACCTTCTCCAAAGAACAGACCTAAAGGAGCAACTACAACAACAGTTAATTCTACTATATCTTCTGCTACAACAAAAGCTTATCCACCGGTTTGATTTAAAAATTTATTTATGAATTCCAATCTTTTTGAATTTATTTTAATATTTCACTTATCTTACTTATCTGGTTTATTTTTTACTTGATTTTTTACAATTAGTGAGTTAAGATTTCCGGTATGCTTTCGAACTGATTGTCCTAAACAATAATGAAAGATCCGCAAGTCTCGACATGAAATTTCATATTATATTTTCTTTATAGGACTTTGTATTCAGCACAAAATGGATTTTGCCTGTCGATGGTAGGACAAAGAGCAATAATGAAACTAATACTGATAGTAATAATACTGGTGGAACTATCACTTCTTCAACTCAACCAACTTCTATTCGTGGAATTGAAAGCCTGTAAGTAAATATATTGTTTTTAGTATTAAAATGATATTTTCTGGAAAGAGAATTCAGAATTTATTCTTTCCCAAGGATTCATGATAAAATCAAATTTTTAAACTTCTGCTTTAGACCCTTTACAATTCGACCAAAATCATCAAATGCATTAATACCAAAGGAGAGGCCATCAGCTAAAAAGCCTTCCAATTCAATTCCATCAAAACCTTGGACACATTCTTCCGCTTCATCAAATCATGCAAAAGCTCGTCCTCCGTCGGAAAAGCAAGCTCCACGTCCTCAAACTCCAGATACAACAATTGAACAGGCTGCTATTTGGGTGTGATAATTTTTATTGAATTTTGCGAATTTTTTTATTAGGCTAGCACAGAACTTATTGATGCTATTCGTGAAGCGCTTGCAAAGTTTCGTGCAACACTCAATAAGCATGATGAGCAACTAAGCCATCAGCATCCTCATATTTCAAAAAAAGAAGAATTTGATAATCCAGAAGAGGCAGAACGTGAACTTAATGCACAATTACAGTCTGCATTGGAAATATTACGAGGTTGACTAAAAATGTTTTCTTGAATTTTTTTTAATAGTTGGGTTTTGTTTTGTTTTTCCGGAATTTTTGTATTTTTACCAAATAAGGAATATTATTTTTAGGGACATGGCTAGAACATACTGTTGAAGATCTAGCCCAACAAACTGATGCATTAGGTAAAGAAAGACGTGCAAGAGAAAATTTAAGAATAAAACGAAATGAAAAAAGGAACTCAACAACAACAAATAATTAAAAAATATTATTTTAAGTTTTTTACTATTAAATTTACTTTGCCATTTCTTTTTTTTCTTTTTTTATTTTTTATTTTCGTGGAATTTTATAATTTTTTTATTAATATTTTAGAAAACATTCTTTCAAAAAAAATTTTTCAGCAATTTAGTCTTTTTAATAAAATTAATTTAAATTTTTATGTAAATATTTACTAACTATATTAATATTGATTATTTGAGTTAAATTTTGATGGTTAGGAAATTTAATTTTTTATTTGTTTCTTTAGGCCTAAATATAATAATACGCAGATGTTTGATTTTCTCTATTATGTTGGCTGTTTTGAATGGGGTTTGCAAACTTTTATTTACTTCTATGGCACTTACAGGCTGTTATTTAACCCAACAATTAAAAGCTCAACAGCAAAACAATTATATATTTATCCAAGAACAGATAAAAGGTAAGTAGATAATTTTTTAATTTAAAATTTTCATTAGAATTTCACCGCTCGCCTATTTACCACCACATGTACAATACAAAGTATTCACTTATTTGAGCAGGAAGGATTTAGACAATTGCAAACAAATTCTACCATATTGGGAATGGATAATTAATTTTGGTGATGGTACACTGCGTAAATATTCTCGGAAAGAGCGAGTAGGTTTTAATTAGTTGTTGATTTGAAAATATTAATCGAACCTAAAAACGAATTGGTCTTTTTGATATTTTGTATTTATTACGAATTAATACATACATGGTTTCCTTTGATTTTAATTTGAAATTATTTTCAAAAATAAAAATTTTCAGAATAAGTTTAATTAATTTTTGTTTAGTAAATAATCAGAATTAACACAGTATTTTTATTTTTACTATAGAAAGAGATACGGAAATGGAAAATTCTAGCTAATATTTTCTTTGCTTCACGCATATGTGGCGATTTGACTGTTTTTCTCTTTCTTCTTGTGGCATTCCACTTACCATTTATCCTTAATTATATTTATTATACCATTATCTCCTTATGGGTGTTGGAATATATTTCAGTGTCAATAGTTACTAATGAGCTTTTAGATGGCAACGGTGGAATGATTCAAAAATATATATTTGCTCTCATAGATAAAGAGGTTTTTTTATTTTTACATTTTTTGCAATTTTCAAAATATACTAAATAAAAAATAGTTTTTAAAATTTTTTTCATTTATTCAGAATTATGAGGAGTTGAGTTTTGGATATTTATTCTATTGGTTTAATAGCACTGTTTCAATAATAGTCAACTTTACCGTTATTTTATATGCAATAAACTATGTTCCAACAATCATTCTTTTGTCAATTTATTCAGGATTGCTAATTGCGAGCTTCGTGCTTAGCTCTAGGGAGGTAAGTAGAGTTTTTGAACATTTATAAATTTTATGCCTTCTAAATTTGTTTTAACCTCGAATTGCTTTTGGATGTTTTTAAATTTTGGACATTTTTAAAGCTTATATTTATTTTATATTTTTCATTTATATTTTTCATCTATATGTAGATTCAACCATGTCTCTGTATGGCTGAATCTTGCCCAAATATATTTCCACATATTTTGACGACCGTTCATCTTATGGTTTTACTTGTCTCTCTTTTTACAAAGATTTGTTACTTATTTATATATTATTTAGTGCCTTCAATCTATTATGTATTAATATACTTATCAAATTAAATAAAAAATTGTAAAAACTTCCTAACATAAAATGAAGATTATATAGTCTATTTAAATAAATTTGAGTTTAATTATGTAATTAAAACCTTTTTCTTTTATTTCGGAAGTTTTGAGCTCCTTATTAATATGTATTCTTTTATTAATGATTCTGCAGATAAATAATTTATAATACTAATTTATAAATATACCTATTTGATTTAATATTCCAGTTAAATCTATTTACTCTTATTCTCTATATTTATTCATTAAATTATGAGGGAGTCTCAAAAACTTCGCTTTTTATTTTCTATTCTACCCAGTCGTTGCTAATGACAATTCTACCGAAAGTCAGCAATTATGCCAGGGCTCTCATTCGTACTTTATTTGAAAGTACAGTACTTTAAAATCGACCTCCGTACTTACAAAATTGAACTTGTACTTTATTGAAAGTATGTACTTTAAAATCAACATTTTGGATTGAAAATGAAATTAGGGAAGGATTGGGCAAAAAAGTGGATTTTTTTGGCCTACGGCCTTAGAAATTCTCAAAATTTTCGCCTGCGGCGCTGAAAAAGGAAGAAATCTGGCTTAAGGAACTCCAAAATTCTCAAAATTTTCGCCTGCGGCGCTGAAAAAGGAAGAAATCTGGCTTAAGGAACTCCAAAATTAACAAAATTTTCGCCTTCGGCGCTGAAAAAGGAAGAAATTTGGCTTCTTGGGTGCCAAATTTAAAAAATTTTCGTCTGCGGCGCTAAAAATGGAAAAAATCTGTCTTAAGAACCCCGAAATTTCCCAAAATTTTCGACTGCGGCGTTGAAAATGGACGTAAGAAAGTAGCTTGCTTGAGGTTAAGACTGTCAGGGCTTTACTTTTTGTGACAGCGAATTTTGACATGGCGTGTATGAAATGCACAAAATGCTCAGTGGAAACAAGAGATTATTAGAAAAATTCATTTAGCAGAGAAATAGTATAAAAGATTTGAGGGCGAATAAATATTTTGTAATTTAATTTTGAGTGTCCTTTAAATTTGGAAATTTTGTCCCTATGTACTTTAAAATCGAGATTTTTGTACTCTTGATCAGACGTGGGCGAAACGTTTCGTTTCGTTTCGTTGTTTCGTATGTTTCGTGGGTTTTTTTGAGTATCGTTTCGTTTCGTCACGAAACACTTTTTAATTTGTTTCGTTTCGTTTCGTTACGAAACACCTGTGATTTTTCAACGAAACGAAACAATTTTTTAAGCCCAAACTAAGGCCAAAATCTATAAAATTTACCATTTTTTATTGAAAATTAAAAAAATTTTCGCCTGCGGCGCTGAAAAAAAGAAGAATTTCGGCTGCTTGGCCTTCCCAAATTGTCAAAATTCTCGCCTGCGGCGCTGAAAAAGTTAATTTTTTGGCCTACGGCCTTCTAAAATTCTCAAAAGTTTCGCCTGCGGCGCAGGAAATGGAAGAAATCTAGCTTAAGGACCTTCAAAATTTACAAAATTTTCGCCTGCGGCGCTAAGAGAGAAAGAGTTGTAAACAATTGTAAAAACTCACATGCCCCCCTGAAGCTAACCCCCTGGATACGCCCTTGAAGGATTTTGGGATTAGAGGGGATATAGGGGATTAATCAATAAATCCCTCAATATCTCTTGTAATTCCCAACCCGTAGCCCTTAATCCACCAATTTTAAATGTAAAATAATACCCTATGTCTCTATTAATTCCCCAAATAACTCATTACTCACATCGATAACTCTGTTAATCCTAAATTCCCTCAATACCTCTGTTATTTCCCCAAATCCATTTATAATTGAAAATTTTAAAATTTTTTTCAAAATTTTAAAATTTTTCGTCTGCGGCGCTTAAAATAAAATTTTAGTTGAAAAATATTCAATTTTAAATTTAAAAAAAGCGTCGCCAAAAATTCGGCTCCGAAAACGATTGATCCCCCCCCCCTTCCCCGAAAATTTTCCTTGCTACGGACCTGGCTTATGGGACACAATTGTTGTAAATAAACCAATAACTAAATCATTTATGAGTCATAGGCGACTAATAAAGTATATGAGGTCGAATAATTGCGAAATAAATGCAGTTTTGAAAATTTTTTGAATATTAAAATGTTTCGTTTTGTTTCGTTTCGTTTCGTAAGATTTTGGTTGTTTCGTTTCGTTTCGTTAACGAAACGATTTTTAAAAAATTTTGTTTCGTTTCGTTTCGTCAGAAAAAAATTTTGAGTTTCGCCCAGGTCTGCTCTTGATTGGTATTTTGTCGATGAGAGCCCTGAATTATGCTAACATTTCAGACTTCCCATTTCTTATATCTTTAAAAAGTTACAAAACTAATTTTTTAATTAAATTACTATACAAAATAAAAGATAACAGTTATTAGCCGTGAGGAATGTCAAATTTTTGTTGGGAATAATTTTTGATATTTTCTCTTCTTAATACTTTTTAAAGAAATCATCGTCTAGTGCCATCCTCAAAGAATACGCCACCATCAATTGCACAGTACTTGGGACATATTCCTTTTTCTCCTGCTTGACCTGCTTGACCAGCTATTCCTGGGGGCCCAGGCATTCCATCTGAGCCAGGTTGTCCATCTGGGCCTGGTTCTCCTTTTGGTCCAGCTGGTCCAGGTGGACCATCAGCTCCTTGTGGTCCTGGAGGACCTGGTGGTCCGGGCGGGCCTTAAATGATGGATTTGACATTATTTTGGATATCTCATCTCATTTACTTATATACAGGATGACAATTAAATTTGTCATTAAATCACATCGAAGTTTATTAATCATCCTGTAATATATTTGCTTCGCTCACCTGGATCTCCCATCTCTCCAGGTTCACCAGGTACAAGCGGCTCACTTTGTGCAGGAACGCCAGGTTCGCCAGGTGGTCCTTGTGGTCCAGGTTCTCCAGCTGGTCCAGGAGGTCCTCTCGGGCCAGGCGATCCAGGAGGTGCATCAGTTCCTGGTCTGCCAGGTGTTCCGGCCTCTCCAGGATCTCCAGGTGAGCCTGGGGGGCCTGGAGGGCCGGGTGGTCCTTGAGGACATGGTTTGCATGGTGGAGGTGTTGTAGGCTCACATGGTGCTGTCGGTGGCTTTCCTGGTGTGCCAGGTGTCCCAGGAGCTCCAGGTTTTCCAGGCCTTCCACTCTTTCCGGGCGGACCTTGAGGTCCAGGTTGACCAGGAATACAGCATTCTCCACATGTAGGTGTTGGATTAATTTGAGAAGAGTATCCTCCAGCTGCTTGATTGCTAGCTTGACGTGTTGTTCGATTTTTACCTAAGTTTTCTGCAGTAAATGATCTCATATGCCCAACTTCTATATAAATATCTTTGGCAGAACTCTTAAATTAATTTCAGTTTTAAAATATTAAAACAAAACAACTTGCCTTGCAAAAGCCCAATTCATGCTGCATTTGTCTCCGTACATGTGCTACATAATTATAAACCATTGGTAAAGTAATTACAACAGAGAGAACAGCAATCACAGAGAAAGCAACAGCCGAATAGGCCACAAATTTGTAGGCCTTGATTTTGCTATCTCCTTTTCCTAATTCTATAGAATTACATCCCATACTTGTAATGGTCATTTTCTTAAAATTCTAAATTATTAAGAATATAGAAGATAAATTAAAGCTTGTTAAGTTTCTATTAAACTTTATGATGGGCAACCGTTTTCCTACACCCGCCGATTCCCGCTTCTTGGGCCTCATGTTTCCGTGTTAATTCTTTTCACCCTTTATGTTAAATAATCATCTCCAATTAAAACTGGATGATTAAAAAAATTAAGACTGTATGCTGAATTAAATTAAGTTATATATTTAATATCTTCTTTTATTAGGTAAAAAATTATAAATGAAAATATTAGATGTTAATTTAAATATTTATATACCCTCTATTTTTGATTTAAAAAGCAAGTTTTTCTTCTAAAAAGAAGGAAATTACAAAATAGTTTAAGGAAAATGAAATTTTTTAAAACTTTTTTTGCGATTTTATCTTTCTAATTTGTGAAATACTTATGTGTATAATCGAAAATATTTTTGGTCATTTAACTAAAGAAATTAGAAATTGAAAGCGGTCACTTCGTTTTTCCTTTTTTTAATTATTGCGCTGTCGTTTAACTTTAGTTTATTTTTATTTATTTCCTCTTTTCAAATTTCTTTCCGTCATTAAATTGACCCTGCTAGGGCGCCTTCATGAATTTGCGCAGAAATGGTAAAAATCTAGAAAGGATAACAGTTTGAAAGATCACCAAAAGCCTTATATACATAGTATGAAGAATATTTTTTTGTTAAAATTAGGAAAATTTCTATATTTATTGATGAATTATTTAACATTTATCATTTTTTCCTCAACTAACATAAATTAAACATGAACATTTCGTGGCTAAGTTCCAGAATGGAGCAGAGGGGCAGTGAAACTTCGATTATGAATTTTGAGTTTTAAGATTTTCCCGCTTATGTTGTCTTTTGTGATTGCAATATATGATACACAATGCATATGTACAGTTATTTATTTTCTTTCTTGTTTAGATAGTATATGTATAATGAAAATCCTGTTTTACTAAATTAGTAATTTTTTATATAAATTTTTATCAAGCTAATTTATATCTATATTTTGTCTAGTGGCCAATTATTAGTGAATATGTATTAAAAATTAATTGTTTTATTAAAATGAATTGTCATTAGGATAATAGGAAAGGATAATAAAAAATAAAAAAAACAAGCTCTAAATATTGTATTAATTGTATTATTATAATTCTCAAGTTATTTAATTTTTTAATTTTAAGTTTATTTTCTATAATTTCTTTAATATGTATATGTATATTCTAAATTTTTTACTAAATTTTATCAGTCTATTTATTTGATCTAACACAATTGTCTGTTCACGAAACAATTTGTTTCTTTTTTAAATTTTCAAATAAATTGATCAATTTCTGCCATAATAATCAAATAAGATAAAAATTAATTTACTTTTAAATACAATTCATACAATTAATATTTCCTCCATTTTATCACATTTTTATTGTCTAATGTCAATTCGTGTTCATCAGAGAGATATTTATTTATATTAAGCCCACACGAATATTTTTTAGATAAATTCTTATAAATAACGAGATTTTCTTTTTATCTCTCCAACTAACTGCTCCATCACCCGCATAGATGACCAGCTTTAAAAGAATTTTTGAGAAAACCACAATAATATATAAATATATAATTAAGAAGAAGAGATTGACAGAACAAAATTTTTTATAAAGTTTTGGCCGAGAAGAGTTTTTGAAAGATAAAATAACATTGATGGTTATCGGCGTTTGGAGGTGATTTGGTTAATTTCTGCATAGAGGAAGTTGCTTCTTTTTATTTTTTCCCTCGTTGATTTCCTTTTGTTGCCGTACTTCCCGAAGATATATGGAGAGAAATAGAAAGAGGGAGCAGTTGACTTTTTTTTCTATGCTTTTCCGATGCTTTTTGTCAACTTCCTCCCACGCCACTCAATCCTACTTTTCCCTCCAAAAAACCACTCCAAAACCATATGATCCTGATATTTTTTCCTTCCTTTCTTCATCTTCCTCCTTTCATCATTACCGATATCTCTTCCTCCAATTTCTTCAAAACCGCTTCCTTCTTTCTATTAATCGCTAACGTTTATCGTATTTTTTTCTTGTTCGTTGCTGGACAACTTAAGAATAGTAGTAACTTGTTTGTAAATAAGCTAAAAAAGTTAAAGCTGGCCGATGGCGTACTACTAACAACTATTAAACGCCCATCATCACTCTTTTTGTTCGCCCAAAGGCAGTACTTAACCCGCTCGATTTACGGACCTATTTAGCAGAAGATGAAGTCTATTTTTGCGCTATTTTGTTTTATTCATTTTTAATAGAGATGAAGCTAATAATAGCTAAAAATAAAGATGGATTTATTTTTAGTTACATATTTCAGTCAATTAATAAATTATTCCAAAGCTTTTTAAAATTTTTTATTTACAATTTCCTCTTAAGAAACTTCAAAATTTATTCAAAAATTAATTTATTTTCCTTAAAGCCTACTAGTTTGCTATAAATCAGCTTTTCAGTTTTATTAAAATATTAAATTAGGCCAATTATTTATTTTGTTGCTTTGTTTTATAAATAATTTTTCAATTTCCAACTAGTAAATCCGTAAAATTTAAGTTGAAAGAGGGATGGTCGAAACAGATAGCAGAATCAAGGCTTACAAATTTGTGGCCTATTCGGCTGTTGCTTTTTCCGTAGTTGCTGTCCTCTCTGTTGTAATCACTCTACCAATGGTTTATAATTATGTAGCTCATGTACGGAGACAAATGCAGCATGAATTGGGCTTTTGCAAGGCATGTTTCTAACTTAAATTCTGACTTTTCTGGCTGGACTCTGATTAATTTCTAGATAATTCTGATTCTAACCGTGTCAATAATTTCTATTTTACAAGTTTTTAGCCGTTATGTATTTTTTTTATTTTTTTTAAAAAAATAAAAATTATTTTTTTTAAAAATTATTTACCGTTATTATTTTTTTTATTATTATACATACAAGGATTAAAACATTTTCCCAACCAATGTTACTCAACAATCTCAGGATTAACTTTAATTAAAAATTAACTCAAATTAATTTAAACATTTTAACAGGGTTCAGCAAAAGATATTTATGTCGAAGTAGCACACATGAAAACTGCAGAAATGGGGGGTGCCAAAAATCGAACAGCACGTCAAGCTGGTGGATATGCTCCTGTAGTGAACGCGCCACCTACATGTGGAGACTGTTGTCTACCTGGCCAACCTGGACCTCAAGGCCCACCTGGAAAGAGTGGAAAGCCAGGAAAACCTGGAGCTCCTGGGACGCCTGGCACGCCGGGCAAACCGCCAGTCTCTCCATGCGAACCAGCAACACCACCACCATGCAAACCATGCCCACAAGGACCGCCCGGCCCTCCAGGACCCCCTGGACCACCTGGAGAGCCTGGTGAGGCCGGAACACCTGGCAGACCTGGAACTGATGCACCAAATGGCGAACCTGGTCCACGAGGGCCGCCAGGACCACCTGGAGAGCCTGGACCGCAAGGACCCCCTGGTGAACCTGGAACACCAGCTACACCTGAAGCACCCGTACCAGGAGAACCTGGAGAGCCTGGAGATATTGGTAAAATTCAAATCAAAATTAACAAAAATTTTTTATTGTTATTTAGGCGCCCCTGGTCCACCTGGACCTCCAGGACCACCAGGTGCTGATGGGCCTCTTGGACCTCCAGGACCAAAAGGAGAACAAGGACCAGAAGGATCGCCAGGATCAGATGGAACACCTGGCCCTCCAGGACCAATTGGACAGGCAGGAACACCAGGAGAGAAGGGAATCTGCCCAAAATATTGTGCAATAGATGGTGGAGTCTTCTTCGAAGATGGAACTCGACGTTAAAAGTTTATCTTTTTGCTTTTATTTGGACACACTTTAGATTGTACCATCTCAGCAATGTTTAAAACTTATAACCTTTAAATGAATCAAATCGAGAAAATTAACTGATCTTATATTAATAGTTATAAGTTTTGAACAATTGACCTAACAATTAGACGCTCGAGTTTTATTTTGTTCTCCTTCCTGCCAACAAAAAAATTAGCAATACATTTATATTTGTTGTTAAAAATGATCAAAATGCTCATAAAGATATATTATTGTCCTTAGCTATTTTTTGTATACTTAAAAGGATTCATTATTAAATTTAAAATACTACAGCTTCTACATATCAGCTGATTATTTTTAATTAAATTTGAATAAATTAAGCGACTTTTGAAAAGATTGCTATTTCTCGGTATCACATTTTTACTCTGTGATATATGTAATGGGTTGTCAGATAAATAATGAGCCCTTTGCGCATAAATTATACAATTTACTATAACTGAATAATGAAATGAAATCAAAAAATAATTTAATGTCCATTATTATCTATCACTTCTTGCCTATTGCCTGGCAGTTTTTGAATTCCCATTTGATAAAATTTAGTTGCAGATTTGGTATTAAGAAAGTTGGCAACCCAATTTTAGAGTTGAGCATTGTATTGGAACCTCACCTCCCGCAAATAATTTTCATCTAACGAAATAACTGCTAGTTAGACGGCGCATTATCCGTAGAAAAAGGAGGATCAACTAAAAGTTCCCATCCGAGTGTCTCCGTGATGTAGGCTCGAGTTGCGTTCGCGCGACGCAAGTGTGCAGTTACCTGTTGAAAGACAACTTTATCATAACGAACGTTAAACCATCGATGGCAATCTGAACTATGTCCAATATTGTTTTTTAGAGTTCGCCCGGCAATCCATTGCCCTTAGGAGTTAATTCCCAGTGTAAAATCCCAAATTTAGCCCAAATTTGGGGATTTTGGCTTCTAGACCCATATCTCCATCACGGAATTTTTTGTAACATCGCTTAATTGATGCAAAAGATGCCCAACTTGTGCCCTTCAAGGCGGCATTTTCTTTTTTGGATTGAGTTGTACCTAGACCGCGTTTGAAGCAAAACAAAATAACATCCCGAATTTCAGATTTTGAGGACATAATTTTAAAAAATTTTTAAAAAACTGCAAAAATAAAAATTTATTTTTTAAATGGTTCTGGCTAGTAGAAAAAAGCTGGAACTATCGACTCTAGTAAATTTAAAATAATTCTAACTAGAATTCGAATACCTTTATATAAAAAAGACTAAAAATGCGCAAAGGGCTCATTATTTATCTGACAACCCATTAGTTAGTCTTTACATTACGTGCTTACATGTTTCTTAGACGTAAATCTGTCATCCTACTTTAGAACTAGTGTTGAATTGGTATTCAAAAATATTTTCAAATCATAAATTTTTAAAGTCCCAACCTCCTAACAACTTATAAACTACATATTCTAGATACAAAACCGGAGACAAAAAACAAATTTCTCTAAAATCAAATTAGTATCAGACAATAAAAGAAAATAGCTTTTCAGTTTTATCACCCCTTGGGCATATCACTAATATATCCGCAATTAACACCCATACTAGTTTTTCTCTCGTGTTTTCTTTAAATATTTTGTCATGTTGAGCTTTAGATTATTAAAATCCTGTTTTCTCTTATGAATGATTTACCTTGCAAAATGCCACCGAATCATTGACATTGTAAGGAGGGAATTTATATTCAAGGGTGGTCAATTCGATGTGATTAATTAAGAATAAACTTTATTTTTAAAATTAAGACAACAATAACATAAATATGTAGAGTAACAAAAAATAATGTAAAAAATGAACAATTTCTGTTTCACTTAAATAATTCATTATCTAATAATTCTAAAACAATTTCGTCTCTTCTTCTTACATCATTTTCGATATCAAAACATAAATTAGTTCTTAAATATTCAACTATCTAAAGATAAATTAAATTTAAAATCCATGATAAAATTAAAAACCTTTTGTTTATTTATTTTTAATTTAGTTAATAAAAGTTGTTTTCTTCTTTCAAGATTAACATTTAATTTATTTTCATTTTTCTCTATCTTTGAATGATCAAAAAAGCCTTTTTTTAAATGATTAACTAGCTCATTAAAAATTGAAGTTAATTCGAGCTTCTCTTTTATTGTTGTTCTTGAATGCTAAAAAATAAAAAAAAAGAAAATTAAAAGCGGTAATTAATTACATAAATTGCATTTGTTAACCAAGTATCAAAATCCAACCGCGTAAACAAATCTTTTGCTTGAAGTTCAACATAAGAACGAAAAATTTTTAGTAAAATTAATTTATTCCATAAATCTGCCATTGGAGTACAGAACATACCCATAAATGATTCTATTGCATAACTAAAAAATTTTTTTAGAATAAAGTTTAAATAAAGGTCAGGCTATTGACTCTGAAGACCTGCATACAACCTTTATATCGAGGATTATATTAACTATATGCAAGTACCAAGTCCAGTATTTTAGAATCTATGGTGTGGTATTATGATTGTATACAATAACACTGGGTGTAGAAATCTTTATCCCCCTGAATCACATTAAATCTATCGATATCTCCTTAATTCCTCGATAAATATTCACTTTCAAAAGTTGTAGGTCTTCAGGGACGGATTCATTGAATAGATAAAAAAAATTCCTTCTTTTCTTACATTTTTCCCAATATTTGATAATCATTAAAATCAAGAATAGAATCATCAATAAGTCTAAGCATCCAACGCCTCTCTTCTCTACAATTTTCTGAAGATGAACTAAAAAATAATTTTGAAAATTCCGGAACAGATTCTAAATCCATAAAAGGTTTTTGAATGAAAAAAGAAGTTAAAGGTGAATACAATGGATTTGTTGGTGTTAAGGCTATTTTTGAATATCTGGCAAAGAATTGACTGGCAACTGAAAATAAAAAAATTAATATTTAAAATGTTGGTTATTATTTAGGTTTACATGACAAAATCCTCATTATACATAATTGGAGTTTGATTTTTTAAATTTTTGTCAAGTAAACCCAAACATTAATATAATGAAATTTATTGAACTATTCTTACATTGACATGCCTTCTGATTTACTGTAAGAATACTATTTTTGAAAAAATCGATAAAAAATCCAAAAAGAAGTTTTTGCCGAAAATGTTCATTCTGTTGCTTTAATCTTTTTTGAAAATTTTGTAAAACAGTATAAGCAAGTGATCGAAGAGTAGAATCGTAAAAGCTTGTTGAGGCAAAGCAAAACGATAGAGCATTTGAAGATATCATAATTTTACAATTGAACTGGGTATTTAAAAAATAATTGTCCAAAAAAGTAAAAAAATGAAACAACCTTTAGATCCATTTCCACTATTTGTAAAAGGGAACGCAAAACAAAGCGTGGATCATAACATTTTTCGTCAGCCTTAATTACTCTTCGATTTCTTTTTGTCTTTTTATGATGAAACCTAGTCATTTTTGTTAAAGTATCCCACATAACTTTTTGGTCAAAATATTCTAAAACCTTTAAAAATTTAAATTAACATAAATTTAAACACAATAATAAAAAAGATCACGATTAAAAATAATATCGTAAAGAAAACAAAAAAACCTGTTCAGGAGTCAATTTTTTATGTAAAATATTTCCATAAAAAATTAAATCATTATAATATTTTTTGGAAGATTTACCAAAAACAAGAGGAGATATCAAACTTTAAAATTAGAATAATGAAATTTAAATGTAAAAAACCTTAAATTGACATTCAATTTATTTTCCAGTAACACCAAAATATCAAAAATTAATAAGTCGGTTTGATTCAGAGTGCAATTATAACAACTCAGTAAATTAGTAACAAACATAATATCACAAAGTGGACCAATTTGAGAGATAAATTTCGACTAAAATTAAAAAAAGATTATAAAAAGTTACTATAAAGTAAACATACATTGTAAATATTCTTTTGAAAAAAATCATAAAGTCTTTTGAACAAATTAATGTCAATTTCCTCATCAGAACAGAGTGTTGAGCGAAACTGATTAAATTGATCAATAAAATTCGATTTTTTAAAAGAATCGGTGCGTGGCCTTTTAAAAGAATTGAAACATTCATTTATAGAAAATGTAGATTTAACTTCAGTAAATTTTCTTTTGTTAACCATCTAAAAAGCAATTATTAATTTTCAAAAATTAAAAAATAAGAAGTAGAAATGCGGGTATCACGACTCTTTGGGTCTTTCCTGAGATGGGTACATCTCAACTATTTTTCAAAAAATCTACCTAAACGAAATTTTGAAATTCTTTAGGCTCTGAAAATTTTTTACTCCATTTTTTCGAGTAATTGACAGAATAACAACAAATGACACTTTGACATTTTCCAAAATTAAATTAACAGAATTAATTTGCGTTGATATTTAGTTCAAATTCATTTGGCGTCACTTATCGATTTTCATTAGTTTTCGGAGATTTTCATTTTCTAGTTGTTATTGTTAATGACCTTTTACCTTTTTCGCAGATTTGATTGATTTTTATGTTTTACATATGTAATTACACCATTTTCATATTTTAACATGAGCGCTATCTGACTAACCTAAACTTCTAAAAAATCCTAATCGTCTAAACTTTTCTTGTTTTTCAGCTATCATTAAAAAAATCTTTTAAAAATGTCTAAAGCTAACGCTGTCGGAATTGATCTGGAAACAACTTATTCCTGTGTCGGTGTATTCCAGCATGGAAAAGATGAAATCATTGCTAATGATCAAGGTTTGTTTTCTCGACGAGGTTACGCGTTCTAACTTTATTTCTTCAGAAAATCGCTCAACTCCATCTTATGTGGCTTTCACGGACACAACGTCTGATTGGTGACGCTGCTAAAAATCAGGTGGCAATGAATCCGTCGAACACTGTTGGTATTTTCTTTTATTTTTGATAAACAAGTCAAAAATCATTTTCAGACGCGAAACGCTTGATTGGTCGTAAATTCGATGACCCTGCATTTCAATCGGACATGAAACATCGGCCGTCCAAGGTTATCCAAGGAGAAGGTGCTCATCCAAAAATCCAAGTGGAGGTTAAAGGAGAAATGAAGGCGTTCTTCCCTGAGGTTTGATTTGGATTTTATTTGGTTTGAGTTCAATTTTCTGGTTTTTAAGGAAGTCTCCGCCATGGTTTTGACTAAAATGAAGGAAACGGCTGAGGCGTTTTTGGGACAAACCGTTAAAGACGCTGTCATCACTGTGCCTGCGTACTTCAACGACAGTCAACGCCAAGCCACAAAGGATGCTGGAACGATTTCTGGACTTAATGTTTTGCGTATCATTAACGAGCCAACTGCTGCGGCCATTGCTTATGGTTTGGATAAGAAGGGTCAAGGCGAGCGAAATGTTCTGATTTTTGACTTGGGCGGTGGAACGTTTGATGTGTCAATCTTGACTATTGAAGATGGTATTTTTGAGGTTAAGTCGACTGCTGGAGACACTCACCTTGGAGGCGAAGACTTTGACAATCGAATGGTTTGGAGTTTTTGAGGCTTTCTCAACTGAAAATATTTTTTTAAAGGTCAACCATTTTGTTGCTGAGTTCAAACGTAAGCACAAGAAGGACCTTGCCACCAATCCTCGTGCTCTCCGTCGTCTTCGTACTGTTTGTGAACGTGCTAAGAGGACTTTGTCTAGCTCTACTCAAGCGAGGTTATTTTTGAAAAATTTTTTTTTGGCCTTAACTTGAATTGATTTTAGCATTGAGATTGACTCTCTCTTTGATGGAATCGATTTCTACACCAACATCACTCGAGCACGTTTTGAAGAGCTTTGCGCCGATTTGTTCCGCAGTACTATGGATCCAGTTGAGAAATCAATTCGTGATGCTAAGATGGACAAGTCTCAGATTCATGACATTGTTTTGGTTGGAGGCTCGAATCGAAATCCAAAAGTCCAGAAGCTTCTGTCTGACTTCTTTTCTGGCAAAGAACTTAACATGAGCATCAACCCGGACGAAGCTGTCGCCTATGGAGCTGCAGTTCAGGCTGCAATTTTGTCTGGCGATAAGTCTGAGAATGTTCAGGTATATTTTTTGGGGGGTTTTTGGAAGGGAAAACTTGAAAAAATTTTTTTTCAAAGGATCTTCTTCTTTTGGACGTTGTCCCACTCTCGTTGGGAATTGAAACTGCTGGAGGTGTCATGACTCCGTTAATCAAGAGAAACACGACTATTCCAACCAAGACTTCTCAAACGTTCACTACCTATTCTGACAACCAGCCTGGTGTTCTTATTCAGGTTGGAAAAAATTTTGAAAATTTTTTGGAAAATTTTGAAATTTTTTAAAGATCTATGAAGGTGAACGTGCTATGACTAAGGACAACAACTTGTTGGCCAAGTTTGAGATGAGTGGAATTTCTCCTGCTCCTCGTGGTGTTCCTCAAATCGAAGTCACTTTTGAAATTGACGCCAATGGAATTTTGAATGTTTCTGCGCAAGACAAATCGACTGGAAAGCAAAACAAGATCACCATCACTAATGACAAGGGACTTCTTTCCTAAGATGAGATTGAGCGTATGGTCCATGAGGCTGAGAAATATCGTGGCGAGGATGAAATTCAGCGTGATCGTGTTTCGGCTAAGAATGGACTTGAGTCTTACTGCTCTAACATCAAGAAGACAATTGAGGAAGATAAGGTTTGTTGATTTTGAGGGATAAAGCTGGGCTTTGGTGTCTTAGGGATGGGTTTTCGTGTTAAGGGATTGGATGTTTTGTTTGGGGATAGGGTGGAGGGTTCTGTTGGGAGGATTGGAGCAGTGATGAGCTGGGGCTGGATTTACTGTTTTGGGGTGACTTGGGAGCACTACTGGGTTGTCTTTTGTTGGGGGATTGATTGAATTTGGGTCCTTCGTTTTTTGAATCCGGCAGGGTCCATAATAAGGGAAACTTTAATTTTGCAAAAAAATTTTCAGCTCAAGGATAAGATTAGCGAGGACGATAAGAAGAAGGTTTTGGACAAATGATAGGAAACGCTCTCTTGGTTAGACGCCAACCAGACTGCTGAGAAGGAAGGATTTGAGCATCATCACAAGGAATTGGAAGCTATTTGCAATCCGATCATCTCGAACCTTTATCAATCTGCGGGATGTGCTGGAATGCCTGGAGGTATGCCTGGTGGAATGCTTTGAGCTGGAGCTGGTATGATATTTTCTCTTTTTTATTCTTTGCAATGAGAAATATTTTTTAAATTTCTCACCTGTACTGGGGCATTGAACGGTAGGTGGAAGGGGGTCGGCATTTTCTAGTTTCTCCTGTCTCCTGGTGACAAGGAAATGAATATTTCGTCGGGACATCGGATGAATTAGGAAGGATATCAGCGGATGAGGAGTGATATGCGGGTATCGCGGGGTTAGGAGGAAATAGATGGATTAATTCTCATAATAATTCCTCTAAATTTTGCATTTTTAATTTTAAAGGTATTATGTACATAGATGATGCTGGAGCGAGCAACAAACAATCCTGGTACATGTATGGCTGTCGGCTCTGAAACATCAGCAGCTACAAACAAGAAGTACTGAAGAAGTGTATAGAAGTGTTGTGAGAAGTGTTCTTGATGATCATTGGACTGCAACAAATTGATGATGAATTACAAGGATGAGAGAAGCTAAAAATGTGGCAAAGATGCTTCCGCCACATTTTGAGGTCTAAAAGATATTTGAATATAATATGTTTTTTATTATTTTTTAGTGCTTTTCCGTTTGCGTCGAATTTTTTTTGTTTTATTTTTTTCAAGTACAAAATGTTTTAAAACAGCAGGATTCTTAGATGGAAAAACGGAAAAGCACAATTAAGCCACTTGTAAAAAAAGGATTTATGCGGATTCGTTTAGAAGAAAGCAAAAAGGCCTTTTCTTTACAAGTGGAATTTTTTATCACATAATTTTTTTTGTTGGTTAAAAATGGGTTTGGGTGGGCCCACCTCTCCCTACCCCGGGTTTACCCAACTCTTCCAAGCTCCGAGAGCTTCAGATACTCCTAAACTCCAAAACAATCCAAAAAAACAACCTCTTTTTTCTAAAAATTCAGACTTTTTTAGAACAAACTCCCAGATGAATTCCAGACCAGGCTTTCATACCTCCGAGTTATATCCAAAGGCACGGGTTCTTATTCAATAGGTGTAGACAGTAGGGCACTTAGACCTTAGATTAGACCTAGAACCCCCCCCCCCCCCTTCCTGCACTTCATCGGCCCGTCTACAACTTCAACGACTTCTACCAGCCATCTACAACTTCAACTGCTCCTGCCAGACGTCTACAACTTCAACTGTGCCTGCCACTCGTCTACAACTTCTCCTGGACCGACTCTACGGGTTCCCTCGGCCCCGACTCGGTACTCTACTGCTCCCCCGGGTCCAACATGGTGCTCTACTGTCCATACCTATTTTATAAGACCCACCTTTCTTCCCCACATCCAAGTCTGACCCAAATGTACTTCCCAAATCGTCCCAGACAAAACGTCACTCCCCAATTCGTCCCAGACAAAACGTCACTCCCCAATTCGTCCCAAAGACAAAATGTCACTCACCAGTTCGTCCCACAGACAAAACATCACTCCCCAATTCGTCCCAAACAAAATGTCACTCCCCAATTCGTCCCACAGACAAAATGTCACTTCCAAAAATGGCCCACACTGAAAATCCCGCAATGAACTGACCGACCCCCCTTCTAAAAAATATTCTCTCCATAGGTTCAGGCTTTCATACCTCCGAGTTATATCCAAAGGCACGGGTTCTTATTCAATAGGTGTAGACAGTAGGGCACTTAGACCTTAGATTAGACCTAGAACCCCCCCCCCCTTCCTGCACTTCATCGGCCCGTCTACAACTTCAACGACTTCTACCAGCCATCTACAACTTCAACTGCTCCTGCCAGACGTCTACAACTTCAACTGTGCCTGCCACTCGTCTACAACTTCTCCTGGACCGACTCTACGGGTTCCCTCGGCCCCGACTCGGTACTCTACTGCTCCCCCGGGTCCAACATGGTGCTCTACTGTCCATACCTATTTTATAAGACCCACCTTTCTTCCCCACATCCAAGTCTGACCCAAATGTACTTCCCAAATCGTCCCAGACAAAACGTCACTCCCCAATTCGTCCCAGACAAAACGTCACTCCCCAATTCGTCC